GGAGATCGAGCAGTCTGCAATACGGCATGTGCCAAGTTGCCGGATTTTTCAGCTTTGTGGATGGTGTTTCCAAGCAAGTGAAATGAATGCATTGCGGATGTTTATTTACCTAACAACCTTTAGATTGGGTAGCCGCTATCATGAATGAGGCCACTCTTGCTGATAATTTAAAGTCTAACCACCGCTGGGGCGATGTTCGTATTCCCTCCATCAGCCTTCATTGATCTAATATTTCACTCTACTTTAATCATCTAAACGTACAACATAATTTTCACGAATCCATTTGTCCTATCTCATGATGAAGTTTATCTTCTTTTTACCCATCCTCTCTCATCTCTTCTTCCGTGTCGGAGAAACTAAGATGAGCGGGCGCCTTCAAGCGCGTGCGATTCATCCAGACAGTCAGGACATCAGCAGCCGCAGCGAGAGGATACGGCTCTCATATAGTGGTCAGGATGATTTGTCGGATAGCGAATCAGATGACCCGTCCAATAACCTATTGCGAAGGCGAAAAAACGATAAACCCAAGAAAAAAAATACAGGTGGTTGTAAAGATACATTTAAGAAACCACCTAAGTCGTCTAAAACAAAATGTGACAAGAAGGATACAAAGAGTGGCAAGGATGATGCCAAGGATAAGTCAAAGAGTCATAAAAAGAGTCATAAAAAGGATAAAAGGGCCAAAAAGAAATCATCGAAGGGCAATGGTGATTCAAAAGGTTCAAACACTGCGACATGCCAAGCTGCAGGCGGCGGAAAGATGGTCGCAAACACCAACGACTGCCAAGCGTTAGTTGATCTCTGTTTTTCATCATCACTGTGATGTTTCATGTCACAAACAACATGCTTGTGGTATCAACCCGGCCTCTGCACCCAGCACTGATAAGCAAATGACTTTTATTTCAAATGGGTGGATGACACAGTGCTGCCAGACACGCGGCCAAAAACAGTATGGCGTGTGTCAAGTTCAAGAGCTGTGCTGTAAGTTAGATATCATCTCAGGTCAATTGATATGATACACCGCAAGCTGAAAGGCTTGGTTTCAACAGGTCATGACAAGGATTGTCACCAAGAATCTGAAGAAAGCGCAAGCACTTAAGGAGTATGTTTCTAGCCAATGATTACCTCTGATAACCATCTTTTGTCAACTAACAGAAACATGGACATTCTGATTGATCTGTCTGAACACAGTGCACCTGGGGATGAAGCTGAATATTCGTTTGGAAACATGCTCAGTAATGAATGCAATGTTGAATGTCCAATCCCCTGTGTGAGTCTTGCAATCCCACCTCTCAAGATGAGAAACTTGTGCTGATCTTGGTCTCCACATTGTCATCTTGATTCCATTCCTTCTGGAGTTGTGAGTTTGATGTTTTATTTCATCACCTAATCACCAACCTCCCCCTTAGGATCACATGTTCTTTTATGTTATCCTAAGGTACGGGGGGGCGCCGCCGGCGGGCCGCTGGTTTTGCGTCGATGAGAAAAAGGCTCTCATCTGCTAAAACCCTGCTTGCTCCTCTCGTTGATCTACGTCACTAGGGCTTTGGGGTGTTGTCCTCCCATCTGTTGAGGCTGCCTGTGAGTCTCAACCCGTCGAGTCACCCCATAGCTCGCAGGGATGTCTTGCTTTGCTACTGTCCTTCTTCGCCCTTACTTTACCCCTACTTGAGTGCAACTTCTAGGTTCTCAACCTCGCGGGTCCTTTCCAAGGCGTTCAATTAAATAAGGTTTAACTCAGTAGGGGATCTCGCTCACTTCTACTCTCAGTTCTAACAAGTACCTGCAAGGTATATGCGGGTTTAGATCTCTTCTAATTGTATGTATCACATGTATTCATTTCAACTGGTGGCTGCTCAGCCAATACAAACCTCCTCTAACTTTGTCTGTCTTCTCAAACTTTGTCTCTATTATCGATAGCTCTTAGGAGTCTTTTTGTTTCTTCTAACTCCCACTGCGTGTAATTCTTCAAGTAAGCATCTACTGCATTAGATTCCCATCTTCCCTCTTTCATTATTGCTTCCTTTGTCCATCCTAGATTCCAGCGCAACGAGGCTCCTCCAACTCTGAACGAATGACCGGACCATAATCCGTCTTTCGCTCCGCTCTTACCCCAGATCTGTTTCACTTTGCTCATGAATAGATCCTTGGTCAACGGTACTCTGAGAAGTCCTCCTCCCAAGCCGAATAGAGCGTCTGTTCCTATCTTTCGTGGGATCTTCTCCAACATCCTCTCGAGGGCTGCCACCGGGTCTAATACTGAGCATTGAGTCCCTAATCTACTCGGATATGTACATGTCAGTATCATTCTCGTCTCATTGTCTACTCCGAGACAACCTTACTGAGGTCACTAACCTGATTTCCTGCGTTTTCCCCGGCTTCGCCGTCTTTGCTTTCCACAGAGTTATAATCGCAACTCTCTCTCTTCCTATCCCCTCAAATCTGAGGTCGTTGACAGTCAGCATGCCTTCTTCTCTCGTTTCCCTGGGCAACTCCCCCAGTCGCATCATCCCCCAGAAGGCCACCAGGCCTGTCGTAGCTATCATCTTCGTCCAGCTCATCTTTTCCCGCGAAGTTAAACACCAAGTGTGCCATCTGCTTTGACCGTCACCGGTAGCTTCTCAATCTTAAATGCCTCCGCCACATCGTCATCTAGTATCGCCTTCTCTTCTTGCTCGCTCCGAAGCCTTCAATATCCCCTAAATCATCTTTTGGTCCAATCGGGTGGTTTCAGTTCGGAAGCCATTTGCCATGCCTGCAAACCTGCTAGGTACTTCTCCAGTGTCTTGGCCTTCACCACTCTTTTAGCCGACGTCTCCTTTCTCGAATTCGAAGCGCTCGCCCACACCAGGAATCCGTATACATCCTGGGCTACTAAAGGTATGGTGTTTTCCCATTTTCGACCTCTACTCTCTATGTATTCCTTATATTTCGTGACTGCGCTGCCGTACCCCTGTAGCGTACTATCTGCCCAGGTGCCTCCTACCATATGACATGTGACTTGCAATTTCGTCGGGTCCTCGATATCCTTCTCTATCATTTTAAAATTGAGCTTTCCTGTTTTCTCCATCTTTTCCTCTTGATTCTACCGCTTGCGTCTCTTCCAAGTAAGTGGTTAAATCCTCTGGTAGCTGGAAACTGATCCGGTTGTCTTCTCTTTTGAAATCTGTTCCTCTCGAAAGCGCGTCTGCTTCGTTTGCTTTTGAAGTGACTCTTTTCTCTTCTAGATCACAATCTAGCTCCGCCAACCGGCGTTGAATCCTTCTCCACTCATTATTCACCGCGAGGTGTTTCGGCTTCATGTTTCGCACCACGGCCTCAGCTGTCGTGTTATCGGTCAGGAATAGAAGTCTCTTCCCTCTAACTTCCATCGACCTGGCTGCTACCTCTAGGCCTAGCCGTATTGCTACCGTTTCCGCCCAGTTGATATCTCTCTTCACTCCTATTGCGTCTCTCTCTGACCATCCTGCTTTCAACTTCCATTGGTTCCAATTACCTCCAATCATCACACCTATACCAAACTCTGTCGAGGCATCTCCGACCCATCCGATGTCAACCGCCTTTCTCCTTGGCACTAGTTTCCTGTTTACGAAGTCTTTTAAGCACCTTTTCCATTCCCACAAGTCCTCGGTCACATTCTTCGGCATTTCCCTCCTCGCCGACTTGTTCACCCACGTAGCCAACCAATGGTAAAAGCTTGGGCAAAAGCACTTCATCTGCGGGACAATGTTTGTTAAGTGTACTAACCGTCCTATCAACTTTTCTACTTCTTTGTGCGTATGACCGCCTTGCTTCATCAACGCTTCGTCTACTTGTTGTTTCCTTATCTCCAACTTCTCTTCTGGTAAGCGTACCGTCTTATCGCTACCATTCCATATAAATCCGATATATTTTTGTTCCGTCCTAAACTCTGAATACTTTCCTTCATTGGTACGTACTCCCAGTTCTGCGCTTGCTTCTACAACATCTTTCATTGACACCTTTATCTTCTCCTCCTTCTTTCTTATAAATAGGTTGTCGTCCACCCACCTGAAGACCATCAGGAAACCGAATTTCTTATGCATCAACTCCTTCCACGCGTCAGCAGGACCACCGAAGCTTCCGCATCCCGCTACTCCGCCGAAGGAAACCCTCAAATCAAGGTAGATCTCTCCATCCGGGCCGCGTACCATCAAGTACCTCCACTGCGACGGATGTAGGGGGATTTGTTGGTATGCGCTCTCCCAGTCGAAAATACCGAACTCTATCTCCTCCTCTTGCTCAATCAAAAACTGTAAGACCTTTCCGAAGTCATCCCAGGTTGTTTCGAACTCCTTTTTGTTCACGAAGGAATTTACTGACGGGGTGTTTTCGTCGTTCTTAGGATATGAGAGATTGTTGATTATCCTGGTCGTGCCGTCGCCGTTTACTACACTGCCCATTGGGCTTGTTCGAAAGAAACCTATTCTCTCATATACCTCTTGTTCCGAGAAAGGACCTACCATCCTCCCAGCTCTCAACTCCTTCGCTATCTTTTCTCTAATCATTTGTTTCTCAGATTCCGTTTTTACGTGATTATCAGGTGAGTAATACCTTCTTCCCCCAAGTCTATGCTCCGGTATTCCTTGGTGAAACCCCATTCGGAACCCCTCAATGATATCCATGTGTTTCATCCCCAAATTCAACTTCTTCGCCAGATCTAACCAAGCTGTTATATTCATCTCACACGTCACTTCTGTTGGCCACGTCCTATTTTCGACCTTGTCCTCCTGTTCCTCTCTCTCACGTGCTGGATCTTTCTCTTGTTTCTCATTCAATCGGTTCTCGGCTTGGTCCACCTCCACTCTTACAGATCCCTTGCCTGTTCTTGTTACTGGACTTGAACTGCAAGTGACAAGCATCATTGAATCAAAGTAAAGTAAACTTAAAGTCAGTATTCTTTCCATTCTCAATTTCTCTCTTTCACGCTCTCTCTTTCTTTCTCTAGGCTCCTGTTTGTTAAGACATTTGAATTAACATCTTCATTTCTGCTTCCCGACATATGACGGCTTCCCTTTAGGATTACAATCAAAGCTACCGGTCTCTATCAGGGTTACAAATCAAGAACGTGCACATGTATAGAAGTAAAGGACATCATTTGAGCACCCCGATCACAACTAGGATGAGAGATACGTTTCTCTCTGGTGATCATCTCCGTCTATCTTTATCTTCCCCGACGCGTCGAAACAAAAAGAAAGGAGGGGGGGTTGCGATGGGATGGTAAACGGGAAATAATCAATTGAGATTCTTTTCCATGCTTGATGGGACCTTTTAAGCTTACCAGCTGGATTTTGGTCCGTTTGCATTCTTGCCTCCTCCCACATTCGTCCCTCCTTTCGAACTCGACATTCCCTCTCCGTTCGGGTAGTTACTGACAAACTGCGCTCCGCCTTGTTGTCCTTGGTCCTGCCACGTGTTCCCGTAGGCTTGGCTATGGTTTGGGAAACCGAAAGGCCTGAAGGGATTGGAGTTGTGTTGAGCCAGTTGGAACGTCTGCTGGAAAGGTTGGTACCCTCCATAGGTCCCCCCATTGTGGTTACCGAAAAAGGGGCCTGTGTTCGCTGCCTGGTTCGGTACACCCCGGTTGCCCCAGTTATTGTTCTTGTGCACCTTGGCCCTTCCTCGCCAGCCGTTTCCACCTCTTCCACCTCCTCTTCCTCTACTGTTTTCTGAGGCGAATTGGCGTTTTTCGAACCCGGTGGTGGTCCTCTGGGTTGCAGGTTGACTAGCTACCTGGGTGGTTTGGTCTGCCAGGACTTTTTGGCCTAAAGCGTAAGGATTTTCTACATGGCTTCTCTCTCCCAATGATTCTACCTTATCTTTCACCGCTCTCAAGATATCCTCCTGCAGCACTCCCGCCTGGCACATTTCCCGTTTCCCCGAGTCTCCGATCCTGACCTGCATTACAAGTCGTCTGACCTGTGTATCGCTCATCATCATCAGGCTCTTATTCTTTAATCTGCTTATCAAATCTTATGGTAGGATTTCGGAACTTCTGGCTTACTTTCATGCAGTACCTCAGTGCTATCATCCAGCAAGACGTCAATCTCCTAATCTCAATGACAATGTCTTTGTGCTTGCGTAGCATCTTTGCGCACGTCGTCATATGATACTGCTCGTCTACGTATCTGATGAACAGGTCGATGGCGTCTATCCACTCGCCGTACGTCATTAGTAGCTCCTCTCTTGGCGTAAGTCCCGTGAACGTCGCTCCTTCATCTTCCTGTAACTCTTTGATTGACTTTGGTTTCTTCACCGCAGCTTTTTGAGAATCTAGATCGATCCATTCCATATTGAAGACCGTCAGAGGGACATAGCCGGTTAACTTCGTCATCTTCTTGTTAATGCCGCTTGATAGCTGAAGCAGGTTTGTATTTGAGAATTGCTTCTCTACAAAGACAATTTCACTCTCTGGATCTACCAGATCTCTAACCTCTCGTTCCTTCTTTCTTGGTCTTTCTGTTCTCGTAACCGCCTCTTCTTTCTCTAGTTCGAGCCTCTGTTGGGTTGCCGGTTGGCTCAGATCATTCCTCCCCGCGATTAGCGATGCCGTTCTCTGACGTTTGGGGCGTTCGGTTGTTTGCTTCTGGTCCGTTCTCTGACTCGCCAGCGACGCTTGCCTCAAGTCTTCGATCTCATACGGTACCACTCCATATGCTGCTCTGTAAGCATTTAGCATGATTCGTCCAACTGTCACGTTCTCGTCGGCGTATGTTTTGACTATGGACTTCCACCATAAATCTCTAGCGGGGTCTCCGCTGCTCTTCGGCTGACTGGCTGTAACAGTTCATTCGCATATCAGTTATCCATCTGATATGTCATCACTCTTTCACTTGGTCAGGTATAGCCCTGCCAGCCTCGGTTTCCCGGATTCCATCACCAATGGTTTCGGCTCTTATATCGTCTGACATAGTGTGTTTTCCTTTTACAGGTCTTATACTCCTGGCCAGATATAGCTCTGCCTGCCTCAGTCTCTCTACTGGATGTCCTTTTATGACGTTTCAACACAATGGGCTCTCATTCTCGACTATCAGGATTTAGCTCCTGCCGCCTCGACTTCTCTGGTCGGTGCCCTTAGCGACTCTCTCCCACGTCTGTGTTTAGAGGTCTGGTTTTCCCCTTTGTGGGTACCACGTGTTTTGATGACGAGGAAAATGATGATAGAAGAACAGAGGAGAAGATGAGAAAAAATGAAGTGTGTTGCTTGTCTTACGATTTAAGCGTAACATTAAACAACCTCTAGGTTCCGCCGCCTGTTCTGCTTGCGGTGGTCCTGTTCTTTCTCCGTCTTCCGTCTCCCTTCCTGATTCCTCGTCCTCTTCTCCTTCTTCCCCACCGTCCTCTTCTTCTTCTTTTCCTTCGTCCTCTGTTGGTTCTTCACCGTTACCTTGTTCTGGCGTTTCTGGGACCAAAACTCCTGCATCACTTGTTTCTTCGTTTCGTCCGTCCCTATTTCTCGATTGACTTCTTGTCCCTGCTCCTTCCTTCCCTTCTCTCAACGCTTCTTCTGCCAATCGTCTAGCTTCCTCTAAAGTTTCGTCAAAAGTTGCCATTTTCTTTTATTCTTTCTTTTTATTCTTGTTTTCTACTCTTCGAGTCTTGTGAGAGCAAAAATTTTTAAAATTGATGAAATAAAAACTATCAAAACTTGTATGAGCTGAGTTGTGTGGGATTGTGCAGGGGAAGAAATTTGCTGAGCAGGAGTTTGAATTGTTGAGATTGAAAATTTCATATTTTCTTCTCATCTCAATTCTAGGAGGGGCTTCTCGCGCGGCCCCTCACTACAAGCATATTTCTTACATCTATCTACAACTAACCAGCTCATGGAACTCCGCACCAAGTCGTGCCTTGGTTGGTGCTCACACAGAAAAAATGGCCAGGCAAAAAAAACAGTCCCAACAACAAACTAGAATGGTCATTTCTCTTTTTCCAAAAATTAGAAACATCCAAAACTCCTGAAGCTTGTGATCAAGAGATATTCAACGCTTTGCAGGAAGCTCCTTGACTAATGCTTTTCCACAAGGTTTGCCTGTATGATGTATGGTTTCAGCTATTGACAATGCACTTTTACAATCCCAGCTGAAGATAACTGTCATTCAACCTTACCATGTTTTCAGTAATTTTTTAAGTAGCCAGGCTTTAGAGATTTTCTTATCCTGCTGCTGACAATGCATAGCCTTTCTGTATTCCTTGATCTTGATTATGTCATCACTTCTTGTCTATTGTTTCTCATTATCTTTAATTTCACAAGATCAAGATTTTTTTGCGAGTATCTCAATATGCATGATTATGGACTACAATCAATGGGACTTTGAGTTCTGGGATGAAACAATTACACTTTTTTCACCAAACCATGTGTCACTGTACTATTACAGTAAAAATCAAAAGAATCCAATTGCTCTGACTAGTACAAGTTGACAACCAAAGGTTTTGATCTAAAATTTGCTTGTATTCATTAAGATCACATTGTCCTCTCTTCCTCAATTTTGTTGAGATCACTTTTTTTGGAAAAAGAGTGACTTCTTTAATTCTAGGTGTTCCATAGCTCATCTTTTCAAAGTCAATTTGAAATTGCTACGCAGGCTATTTTTGTTTAGTTCACTTTAATTTTTGTTTGATATCAATATTTCAAATTTCAAGTGAAATATTGATATCTGTTCTTCAAAGGAACACCCAAATATAGGACCCCGGAAAGCTCCAGGGGAACTATCCAAGCTAAAACCACCCAGATTGACCTTACCGATACCCTGTGACGCGGTAAAAACCCAAAAATTGAGCATAAAAAATTCCGGTTTCATTGGTAGGTTCAAAGAGTAAAAATTTCCAAAAATCTCTCAGGAGAACAAACCATTCATTTTTGGTTGGTACGTACATTCAAAAAAGCGTGTTTTTGGCCTTTTTTCCCTACCAAGACAGAACCATACCTCTCATGTCGGCAGGTCTGAATTCAAAAAACACGGTTTCAGCTCCAAAAAAAAACCAAAAAAACCTTTTTCATTGGTACGTCAGTGTTTTTTTCAACCATCAATCCATTCCATTTAGGTCAGATAGTTCCCCTGGAGTTTTCCAGGGTCCTCCAAATACTACCTAAACTAGTTTGAGAGAGCACTCATCTATTGATTCAGTTGTAGTAAAAAAAATACATATCAATCATACTAGATGACAATAGTGCCTTAAAACAACATTACATCTCAGGATGGGGGTGCAAAATAAAAAACACGCCAGGGCGCGCGCAGCAAATGGGGACCGGTCCATCCGGCTACAAGGATATGTGAAAATACATGTATGTCTATACGTGGTTCTGTATATTGACCTGAGAAATCTCACAGATAATCCAGAACCCCAATGCTCCCCCAAAATGATACATCAACTGATCTACTCTCTTTGCCTTCAGAATCTGTTTTTCTTTGTGTCCTCATCTAGATATCAGGAAACTAGGTATTTATAATTCCTTAGTTTGCGTTAATTGGAGCATTTAGCATAGTGAGAAATGAGAACACTGATGGTTTGTCACATGATTAAAGTGGAAAATCTGCATGTGAATCAAGTGTATATTCAGCAGGTCCATTTTCAAGATTCAGATATTCACATTTTGAGCATCTGAATTTGACTCAACTAATGAGATGGTTGTTACATTCAAATATCAGAGCTGTTCATGTGAAAGAAGAAGCAATTGAAAACCAAAAATGACTCCATATAGTGTACAAACTCATCCACAAAAATTGTGGATATCAAATGATGAACTCAGTTTTCCTGTTTCAAATTGATCTTACAATGGATGATGATTGAAGCAATCTGTGCATTGTCTCAGACTTCAATGAGTCAACCACAACAAACAATCTTATGACTTCCTCAGTTTTTGGATGATTCAGAGCTGCAATGACCACTCATGAAATCAATATGTGGGCATAGAATGTTGCTCAAATTCAATGGATGAAAATTGTGGAAGGCATTGTTCAGAATTGATTCTTTCAAGTATCATCCATATGATACTGCTTTCAAAACTAAAACTGACAGACCAATGTTGACATCTTGAGTGTGCTGCCCGCTGCTGATCTGTTGGTGTTGAATCATTGATATTCTGATTGAGTATAACTGTTTGGTAAACCTATAGCTAAATGAACACACCTTACACCTGTGAATATCAGGTTGTCAGCTTATTCTAAGCTGTACACTGATCAAGAAGGCATGAAAATAATCTGATATTAAAGAGGATTATAACTGTTTGAGTTTGATAGAGAAAAGAGAAAAACAGTGGACAGTGTATTGAATCTTTCAGATAACAACACCTGACAGTGACATTATGACCATTTTGACACAAGTCCATGATGTGTAGAAGAAAAGAAAGGAATATTGATAAGCCAAAGATTACCATCAAAATTCAGGAGCGTCCTGCAACGCGTTAAATATCTCTGAATCACAAGCTTCAGGGGTTTTGGATGTTTCTAATTTTTGAAAAAAGAGAAATGACCATTCTAAATTGTTGTTGGGACTGTCTTTTTTGCCTGGCCATTTTTTCTATTAACATGAAAATGTGGGGACCAAGATCAGAACAAGTTTCTCATCTTGAGACATGGGATTGCAAGACTCACACAGGGGATTGGACATTCAACATTGCATTCATTGCTGAGGAAGTTTCCAAATGAATATTCAGCTTCAGCCTCAGGTGCGCTGTGTTCAGACAGATCAATCAGAATGTCCATGTTTCTGTTAGTTGACGCAAGAGGTTGAGGTAGTCATTGGATAGACACCTACTCCACAAGTGCCTGTGCTATCTTTGATTGCTTGGTGACAACCCTTGTCATGACCTGTTGGACCCAGCTTTTCAGCTTGCGATGGATCATATCAATTGACCTTATTAGATGATATCAAACTTACAGCACAGCTCTTGAACTTGACACACGCTACACTGTTTTTGGCCGCGTATCTGGCAGCACTGTGTCATCCACCCATTTGAATAAAAGTCAATTGGCTTATCAGTGCTGGGTGCAGAGGCCGGATTGATACTATTACCACGAGCATGTGGTTTGTGACATGAAACATTACGTTGATGATAAAAAATAGTAATCAACTAACGCTTGGCAGTCGTTGGTGTCTGCAACCATCTGTCCGCCACCTGCAGCTTGGCATGTCGCAGTGTTTGGACCTTTTGTCTTTTTGGCCCTTTTATCCTTTTTATGACTCTTTTTACGATCCTTTGACTTATCCTTTGTATCCTTGTTATCACATTTATTTTTTGCAGATTTAGGTGGTTTCTTAAATGTATCTTTACAACCACCTGTATCTTTTTTCTTGGGTTTATCGTTTTTTCGCCTTAGCAATACGTTATTGGACGGGTCATCTGATTTGTTGTCCGACGAATCATCCTGACCGCTATATGAGAGCCGTATTCTCTCGCTGCGGCTGCTGATGTCCTGACTGTCTGGATGAGCCCAACGCGCTTGAAGGCGGCCGCTCATCTTAGTTTCTCCGACACGGAAGAAGAGATGAGAGAGGATGGGTAAAACCAAGATAAACTTCATCATGGGATAGGAAAAATTGTATTCGTGAGAATTATTTCGTAAGATTAGCAGTGAGTACTAAGAGGTGATTCAAGTGGAGTGAAATAGTCAAAATGAAGGCTGATGGGAGGGAATATGAACATCACCCCAGCGGTGGTGAGACTTTAAATTATCAGCAAGAATGGCCTTATTCATGATAGCGGTTACCCAATCTAAAGGTTGTTGGATAATTGAACACCCGCAATCCATTCATTTCACCTCACTGGAAACAATGTCCTCAAAGCTGAAAAATCTCGGCAACTTCGCACATCCAGTATCACATACTGATCGATTGCCTTCGCGACTTTAAGTTTGACCGGATATCACATCCGCAGGAAGTCTTCGTGACAGTGAGAGTTGATGACGTACAAGAGGTTATACCAGTGACTTCTGTAGTTTCAAGACAAGGGTTGACCTGGTTGACCTACGTCTTGATAGCCAGCAGCGGCAACAAAATATTAAGGTTGCTGGGTAATTGATCATCCGCATTTCATTCATTTCACTTCACTGGAAACATTGTCCTCAAAGCTGAAAAATCGTTGCAACCTGACACATTCAATATTGAAGTGCTCGATCAACCTCCTTCGCGAGCTCGATCCTACACGACCTTGTACGGACTACAATGTGAAGTAACCGGAAGTATTGGCATTTGTATAAGCTTAAGCCCCTCTTAGCGCGTTCTCCGCCAAGCTAAGAGGGGCTTCGTTAAGCGTAGCATTCGTACATATCACACCCAGTGAGAATTTTCACTCTTCTTCTCTATAAAGAGAGATCTTTAAGGACTGTCGGTTTTGCCGCGTCGGAAGAGGAGCTTAGTCAAACTTGATCAAAAGTGGTTGTCGACGCTAAAGGATTGATTCCCTCAGTTGGTATCCTTTCAGAGATTCTTCAGCAACATCTTTTCAATTATTCTTCTCACTGTAGCAAAGAACACCAGTGAATGTGAGATGAACATCGAGACCTGCACAGTACACTATTCAACCTCATTCAACACTGTGCACAGTACCAAGGTCGCGAAGCGGATGAATCGAGCTGTATCATTGAATCTGCTAGGTTGCAGCGATTTGTCGGCTTCGAGAACACGAGAACGAAGAACGATGACAATACTAGCATAGTAGACCTCAAAAAAGACATTAGGTTGCAGAGATTTGTCAGTGTTGAGGACACGTGGACTGAGATGAATGCATTGCAGTTTGTTCGACTACCCAACAACCAATAAATATGTAATTACCGCTGCAGGCTATAGTATCATGAACCAGGCCACTCCTCTTGCTGCTTACTTAAAGGCTCACCATTGCTGTGGTTTCGAGCGTGCTTCTCATTAAACTTGATCTATCAAATCTTCAACTTTACCCCAGACACTTTTTGGTCCTAGATACTCACTTGCCATCAAACGCGATCTTTCTCTTAGATTCAATCTTTCCTGTCTCATCATGAAGTTTGTTCTTTTTGTACCGATCCTCTCTCATGCTTTCTTCCAGGTCGGAGAAACTAAGGTGATTGAGACTCAGAGCCTTCAAGTGCGTTCCACCAGGCATATGATTCGTCGCGCTGACAACAGCAGCATCGTGAAAAAGAATAATCACACCTTGCAGGAGGCTCCAGTCAACTTGCCGTCTAATAAAACACAGTTGCCAACCAATGCGACCGTCGGAAAGAAATGCAATGGAGTAAACCTCGTGTCATGCTCAACTGGTGGAGGTGGGAACATGACTGCTGACACTAATGACTGTCAAGCGTTAGTGATCACTCTTCCCCTCGTCACAATTTTTCATACCACAAACAGCATGTTTGGTGTATCAATCCGACTTATGTGACCTGCACTGGTAAGCTGATCTACTTTTACTTCCAATGGGCGGGTACACAGTGTCGCTCGATTCATGGCAAATGCAAGTGTGCCATGCGCCATGTTCAAAAGCTGTGCGGTAAGTGCGATGTGATTCAAACAAGTTATTCAATACAATTCACCGCAAGCTGATGAGCCGATTTCAATAGTTCATGACAAGGAACCAAGACCTTGTTCCAACGGCTCTTGTGAAGTACGTGTCTGGTGAAACTCTGCTTCACATTTAGTGCCAACTAACAGAAATGTTGCTATTTCGATCCATCTTTCTGATCACAGTGCGCCTATGGATGAAGCTGCGTATGCTTTTGGAAATTTCCTCAGCGAGGAGTGCAAAGTCGAGTGTCCAATCCCGCGTGTGAGTCTTGCAATCTCACTATTGAAGATGAGAAAACTCTGTTGATCTTCTTCCCTCCAATATTCTCATTGATAGCAAAAATGGACCTCCCCACCGAGCCCCAACGATAATTTGGGCTTGACTTATTTATTTTTCAACAAATTGGAGACCGCCCCAACCCCTCAAAAGTGCGACGATGATGTGTTTGGAGCGTTAAAGAGTTCCCCTCCTTGATACAGTACTGGCACTGTGTCTTTCGAGCGGGACAAGTCCTTTTTCGTGCAGTTCGCTTTTAGAGGTGTATGGGTCAAGTCATACTTGCACAATCCTATCTAGAGTCCGAGAGATGTGTTATCTGATCTTATTCGACTTTACACTCTTAAGTCCTCCTTGACCTGATAAATTTTTGGAGCTTCTCATTTTCCCGCTGCTGGCACAGCTTTGATGTTGTCTTCCTTGACCGCTCTTCTTGCTTCATGCTTTCTATATTGATCCTTGTAATACCAATTTACCAAAACAAACAGCTCTTACACTACTCACTATCTGTGTGATGATCTACGACGATGAGTTGTACTTCTGTAACCACCAAGATAGACAAGGAAAAAGAATAAAGTTGCTGCTACGACTTGTCACCTACAGGTGCCAATCCTCTTAAAGTCTCATTCAGGTCTTTCTGTTTACAGTTTGAGCCTTGGTTGATTGCCACACCGGCCAAATTCACATTCTCAATTCCTCCGATGGAGAGATGCTTGAATCCTGGCCAGAACCTCTAAAACATACCACTGCGCGTTCAGTGCCCATTGTCGTGAGGATTGGTAGTGAAGGTGATATATATAGGTGCGACGATGTTCACGAGGTATTATGATCGTTACTAGGGAGATCTATTATCAAGAACACAACAATCTTTAATAAAGTGTTAAGGAAATATGATTCTCATGAAGAAAACGGTTGTGAGAAAAAGTGATCAGTCTTGATGTTTATAGATAGTACAAAATGTTTCCTTATCAAAACATTAATCCTTCAAATCTCTAAGATACATTGACTGGATAAGAGCCCTACTAACAATCTTCGCATTGATGTTGCGAGGGTGAAGAGTTGGATCCTTTGAGCTATACTTGTTTTGCACATTGTTTCCAAATGAAGTAAGATGTATGGATGACCTCATGCTCGATTATTCAACAACCTCATTTCGTCATCACCAATGCTAGTTTCCCTTCATGATGTTTTTTTTGTGTGTGTACATTTTCAAATTCCTTCCATCATACTTCATCAATCCAAGCCCACAATCAAACTGGAATACCTAAATCTTATTGGATGCTACATACTCACTTGATCAAACAACAAAACACCATTTTCTTGTTACATACATACATTCTATCTATCATCTCTCACCTCTAGCATCATGCATTTCATTCTCCTTTTAGCTATCCTCTCTCACCACTTCTTCGTAATGGGAGAAACCAAGATGATCGGCCATCTTCAACAACGCTGGTTTACAACTCAAAGTCTTAGCATTGTGCAAAAACGAACGATATCATCGAGTAAAAAGATTACAAAAAGCAATAATCCAGCTTGCAATGGACCTTCGCAGCGAAAGAATAGACCACTGATGGGAAATATGGCAATATGCAATGCATTAGGAGGTGGAACAATGGTTGGTGATGTCAGCGATTGTCAAGCGTTAGTATTAAATTTCTTTCACTGTCATCCTGTTTTTGCATCTCACCAAGATTATAAGATATGACAAACACACCTCGCTTCGCACATTGTGAACTGACGAATCTCGATTTATATGTTGGATATGCACCAGTGTTGCTTACTTCATGGCAACACATGGTATACCGTGTGCCATGTTCAGGTCGTGTGCCGTAAGTGCGATGGTATCTCAATATCTAGACATGATGTCAAGCTTATCACTACATCCAACGGCAAGCTGATATGACCATCCCCAACAGTTCATGACAAGGGACTCGAATGATAATCCGAAGGCTCTTGTACAGTAAGTGTCTCTCCAATGAGTGCCTATAGCCATCCTATACTTGACTAATCGTAGTCTCTACGATCCATCTACCTGAGCACAGTGCATCTCCCGAGGAAGCTATGTATTGTATTGCAAATCACCTCAGCAAGCATTGCCAGGTTCAAACCCCATTTCAACCTGTAGGTCTCAAAGTGTTATCATTGATTAAAAAATATTCTCTGAGGTTTGACTCTATAAAATATTTCACTTCATAGAGACCAGGGCCTACTATACCCTCACCCAATGATGATTTAACCATCACATTCCTCTTCTTCAACATACTAGAAAACAGTCCGATTCCTCAAACTTGTGACTCGGAGATATTCAATGCCTTGAAAGATGCACCTTCTTGATCATATTGGACTACCTCTAATCTTTGAATCCCAATTTGTGTTTTGAAAATCAGAAACGCGCTGTAATTTAAACCCACTCTTCTTTTTTTACCAATCGATTGAAAATGTGTCGATTGTATTTATCAAGCTTTTTCATTCATAGCTCATCCTTCTTGTCTTCCAGTCCCCTTCCCTTCGTACCTTTCTTTGTGTGATGAGTCTTATCTTTATTTTTATACCCTCTAAAGAACCTTGGAATTGAAAGGGATAAATTCATTTCTTTACAATTGACACTAGTATTGATTCTAAACAAAATACAAATATATATAATCATAAACAAAGAGTTTGTAAGGATCTGTAGAACAGACTCTTTTCTTAAAGAGCCATGTCATTGTCATAAACTCTTGATCTGAAATCAAGATTTCCTTTACCCCGACTACCCGACTGATATTCACCAATCTAAACCTACAACGTAAGAATAATATAAAGTAGGAAAGAAAGAAATCGTAAGAAATATAATTTCTCTGACCTATCAAGCAGGAATTCAATACAAACCTTCAAGGTAAGTTTTCACACCAAAAAACATAATCTAATCCTACCTCTTTGCCCGAATACCTGAGGCTCTACAAATCTACTACTCTTATAAATAAAAACTTTTCAAACCCCAATCTGTTCAAGATCAATCAAATTCCAATCTTAACCCCAATAAAAAAATCAATTTCAATGAATCAAATCACAAATTGTAGACCTCATCATTGAATATTTGAATAAGTGTTACAATATTGGTAAATAATTTCAAAGAAAACCAAAGAAAGAAAAAAATGAACAATAAATTGATTTCTACAAATCTTCAAAATGAAAAACCTTTTTTCAAAAGAAAATTATTCACACTTATATACAAATCAAATCGATTTGATTTCTCTTCTTTGTAACCAAACAAAAAAAAATCATCAAGAATCCCAATTAAATCAACAGCATAATCCTTTTTGAAGCGGAATTGACTTTCATCAATATGGGTCGGACTACAAAGCTTGAACCCTGAGTATAGCCAGTTAGAATGTCAAATGAGCTCAAAGACCAAGCTTGGGTGCCTTTCACAACCCCAACGCCCATGTGTCTCAGAAGTTTTTTTGTGACGTAAGACTGACTTCTGTGAGGGAAAAGAAGAAAAGAAAGGAAGAAAACACTGTAAGATTTCAACTGTTTGGAAATCAATTCCAAGAAATCCAATCTTACCAAAACCAAAGCTAAAGCAAAAACCCCTTGTCTTACGATTCATGGAACCTTTTCAATCGATTTGGGTTTCATCAAATCCAAACCACCCATACTTTTTTTGTTGATTTCTCTTTTATCAATCAAATCAAAACATATACTTTGAATGATCGAAAATGAATTAGAAGTAAACCAATAAACTAAAACCAACTAAACCATTCCCTCCCAACCACCAAAAAAATAAATCATCATCATCAAAAACCATGAGATTCCTCAAGTTGTATAGAAACTGTCGAATTTATAAAAAAACCAAAAACTTACAGCAGGTTGAAAAGAAGCATAACCCATCATAAACACACCGGTTAAGAACCCAGCATTCCGAATCCGATCAGGACTCCAAACCTCTAACCCTCTAGCCAAAAAACTTTTCTTCTCATTCGATTTCTTATCATCAATCTCGCCTTTGATTTTCTTTTTGTTCAATCTTAAAGCCCAATTAAATTCTAAATTAATCAAAAAAACCATCCAACAAGCTAAAGCTAAACCTAAATCATCTGTAATCAAACTTTGACCTAAGATTGGAGACGTTTCTAAAACTAAACTGTGGGTTGGATCCATCGATCCAATCTCGCATGATCTTCTTAATACATTTGTCATTAAATAGATCACAGGAATATGGATCGTGATTGATCCTATGATAGTTGTCATCGGTTTACATTTATGTAAGATTTGTAATCTATTCAATTCTTTTCTAAACTAACCATAACCAAAGAAAAAGAAAACAAATCAGATAAACCATTTACAACTCACGACTTCAATCATTATTTTCTTTGATTGATTGATTGATTGATTGATTGATTGATTGATTGATTGATTGATTTCAAAAAAAGAAGAATCACTTCAATAAAACCAAATGATAACTTACCAATCTTTTCAACGAACGTTGATAAACCCCAATTTCATCCTGAGATCCAAAATTTCTTTTAGCTCTTTTAGCAACATGAGATTTAAATTCCTTAAACTCAGGTAAAACTCTTTCTTCTAATCTTTTAATTCGATTTCTAGACCAAATCGAAATAGGTAAAGTAATTAAACTTCTTAAACTTAGCGTAATCAAAATCGTTTGAGTTAAAAATGAAATATTAGATGAAATTGGTTGTGATAAGAAGATGATGGACAATTCTTGAATGGTCGTATCATATGAATTACTGATGGTTGAAAGTATTGATTGGTTGGGATTTCTTGTACTTGTGAAATTTCTTTTGAATTGATAGTTTGGTTTGAATTCGTTAAATCTTGGTTTGGAAATCAGTTTTACATTTGTTCTTCTTATGATTTGAGACCGATTGAAGAACATTTCTGTACATTTGCTTGTTCTTCTTGAAGATAATCAATTTCCAAAGTTTCATGAGCGAGAACCGAGAACCTGTGAAGTGTCCTAATCGAAGCGAAAAGAGGAACAAGCGAGCGAGCGAGAAGGCGTGAACAAATGTCACAAAGGTGACACTAACAGTCAACACAATTCAATTGAAAATCATTCGCTTGGTTTGTCCGCTCACCTGAAGCATGGCATTGGCACATCTATGATTAACGCGACATGTACCACAAAAGCGGAGATCAATTCATTTGTTGATGAACCAGATTTCATTGATTACCCCAAACCATTCAAGATCCTTGCCATATACCCAAAATACAATCCTGTCGTGTGCAATCGGATTAGCCATACAACGATATGGGATTACAAAACAAAGAAAATTAGCTAGTTTGCAAAGAAGAAAGAGAAGTTGATCAGATCAATGATTTCAACCTTTTACAACAAATCATCATCATATGTACAAACATTTTTTGAATGCTATACTATATCACATGCGTAGCTTATACATTATATATTACATTACAATATGCCCCAAGTAGTGGTAATTTTTTTACTGAATATCATTTGAAAAAAGAGTTTTGCCTATACACCGCTGCTATTAGCCCTTTGTCCCAAAAAAAAGATAATTGATGTAACAAAAAAAGTGAAATGATTCCCAAAATGAAGAAAGCCCACAAGATCCCAATAAACCCAAAGATAACAAATCGAAGAAGAGATAAGAGTCCAGTGGTAGAGAAGTCGAGTTGAAAGAAGGGGGGAAAGAGCCATACTCAACCGGCTCCAACTTCAACTTCGTCTTCCAAACCCATGTGACCTAACAACTCATCGAGGAGTTCACCATCCCTCAAAACTGATTGACTCTGAGTCCCTAACCAAACCAGTTGGTATGTGGGTCGATAATCATCCTTGTGAGGGCCCGTAGCTGACTTGCTCAAACGATTCACTTCCACATCAACTGGAAGACGTTGTGAAGAAGGAAAGATAGGGATCGATTTCCTGTGGCGTAATGTAATCGCATGACCAAACTTTTCATCAAACGGATCGCTTTCGGAGACTTTCATCACATTGGGGGCGCTTTCGGTGTACCAATCGGGTGTGAGGGATTGAAGTGCCTGTTCGGATGAATTTGTTGATACCATGATTTCTTCATCAATGCTCCCAATCGAAGCAGGTTCATCGCATCCAACACTGCTAGTACTGCAAGTACAATTACTGTCGAATCGGTTCAGTTGAGGTCTTGAAGTGGCATTGTTTGTGGAATGGGTGGAAGGACCGCTAGGAACGATGGTGAAAGATGAAGAGATCGTGTCACTTGAATCAGTCCGGAACGAGGATGAGGTGATTATCGATTCGAACGCCAAATTTTCATTGACTCCATCCCTTCTGAAGTAAAACGGGTAATTGGCATGCCCTGATTGATTTGATCCGAGAGAAATGGTTGCAAAAGTAGGTCGAGCCTTGCAGGTCGTGGATGTACGATGTGATTGGGAAGCGGCCAAAGTCGAATCACAAGACAGTTGTAATGCGTATCTGATGTCTTGTTCTTTGAGTGGTTTGCCAATCACTCCATTCATGCCTACCTTTTTGTATATTTCAATCTGTGATAAAATAGCGCAAAGAGAAAAAAAGTTAGATGTGGATAGTCAATCAAAAGTAAAAAAGATTGATGAAACCTAGCACGGACCTGCCAATCTTGCAAATCAGTTGTGACAGCACAAATGTCAATCGTTCGATTATGGTTCAAAACCAATGACTTTTGATTCGGATCTAGATCTCTAATCCTTCGACAAAGTTCGATTCCCGAAATACCAGGCATTGAGATATCCAGTAAGATCAAGTCAAAGACATGTTGAGATAACAACGCCAATGCTTGTAATCCAGATGAAGCGACTCTCAAGCTAGGTAAATGAACCAAATCGGGAGTTTTCTTGGAAAGGATTTGTCGCATGACTCTCTGTGGTGATCGAAGCGGAAGTAGCCGTTCTTTAGGTTAGTTAGCATTGATTCATGAAACAATCATGGATAAGAAGGTGTTTAGATAGATGTAACTGACTAGATTCAAATCATTATCGTCGACCACTAAGATCCTAAGTTTTAAAGATGGGGTAGTGGTAGGATTGATAGAGTTTTCCGGCTGTTTACCGTATCGATCAGGGTGAAGAGAGAATGGGGATGACATCTTGGATGGGTTTGATAAGAGTGTAGTGATGAAAGGTAAATCCAAAGAAATGTAATTTAGTGATTGGGATTTAAAGTGGATTGAAGAAGAATGAGATCGGATGAAGATAGAATGGTAAGGAAATCAAAACAAAGACAAAAACCAAAAGAAAAAAAGAGTAAAGTAGTTGTAGTTTAGGTAAAGAGGGAATAAGATATTGGGTTTTTGAAAGAAAACGGTGGAAAGAGAGAAGCAAGAGTGAAGGTAGGCTTAAGTATATAAAAACAATCGATGTCAGCTGTGATCAGTTGGCTGGCGTAGTGATCCAAATTAAAATCTTGGAGTCAATCGAAGATGGATGTGGTTCAGTTTCAGGATCTTGTGATCTCGAGTGTTAATCGTTCGATGGATATATAGCCCTTCAATGAATTCCCTAATGATTATCGTAAAAACTTCCAACAGTTTGTAAGATCACTAGAGTCTAGACTTCGGTTCAGTTAAATTTAATCATTCAAATTTCATCCTGGTCTCGTCCTGTCTTGTCCTAGTCTTCAACTGTCCCGTCCCAGTCAGTTTAACTTGATGAATTTTCTAAAAAAAAAAACAGAAGAAGCAAAAAAAAGCAGCAGAAGAGAAGAGTTCTACACAACTCACAAATCAACTGAACCAAATCCGATAAAACACCGTCTTTTTATTGAGCTTTCTTGGCCATTTCAGGAGTTAAAATGGTGATGAAAATTTATTGAACCACATGCATAGCACGGTGTCAATTCAAACTGAATTTCTGTGAAGGTCTTAAAACTCACAGCTTGATTGGTGTTCCATCACCTTTTCAGACAACGAGAGATGATTGGACTAAAAGCAGATTGATCATGAACTTAAACCAGCTGGTGCTTCACATCAACGGTCTCGGCCCGAAACGGCGGCGGTGTAGTCAGACACTCCGTGAAACCACAGCATCTAGATTCTGTTTGCCAGGGTCCCTGAAGTGTAATTCACATGAAGCTCCAAGCTTCATTAAGCTCCAAGCTTGATGACTTTCAACTACATTGGAAATCCCTCACCCTTCTCCTCGAAGGCCCTTTTCAAGCCATCGATTTCGGTCCCCGAACCTAGCTTATCCGATACCTTTTCAAGGGCTCGCTCCTTTTCTTTTCATCCATTCCTAAACTACATATGGAACCATCCGCAACAACCCGCGACATGCTTTTTTGAATCAATCCTTGGCAACCTACAACACCACTGCCTCCACTGCTTAAATTGGATTGGATATCTTCGGTCGATCGATTTCTTTCTTACATTTCAATAGAGCTTAAAGTATCATCAAGAAATCAATCACATCGAACATGAGTAGAAAAATTGACTTTCAATCTTACTTTATGATCCATATATATCTATGGAGCTTATCCACCTCTATATGACATTCAAATTGAGGTATATACCCCTTTTTTCGTTCTTTTCTTTACATCTTTAAAACCTTGCTTTCAACGCAAAATCATCAGTTTGGAAAACGTTTTTGAACTTTCATTTCATCAACGTTTCGGAGATCATACCATCAAAAAGATCTTAGTGATCTTAGATTTTCTTGATTTCAATTACACATTCGAAGATTAAACTTTTCTGGCTTATCTGTCTCTTTCCGATGCTTAGTGATCGATCAACGATCTTCTTTCACAAACGAATCACGATTTCATTCTACAAAGTTCATCTTCGGTCTCGTGTGAAGATTTCTGATGTGATCGGCTTATAACCGTTCTCTCATCAAGCGTTGAAGTTGAAGCACGAGTCTTGAGGTTTTCTCCCCCCCTTCCGAAGTAAGCCGATTTGCTAAACCGATTTGGCCACTGAAATTAGCCAAGCTTTTTTCCAGAATGATTTTTCATCATCTGCCACTCAAGAAGATTTCTTTTTGGCTGGGTGATTGGCTTCAACAAATCTACGTACTCTCCTGAGTCATGATAGAAGAGGAAAACTGTTGATCATTGGACGGATGACCAATCACTTTCACTTCTCGATCATGCTGTGCATTCTTTGAATCATCTATAATTGTCTTGTGATGTTGTACTTACTCTGTAATGGGGTAAACACAAAGCTGTGTTACCGCCTCCTGTCTCCGAGGTTTTCGGTAGCATACATTCAATCATTATTCAAGCTTTGGGCCTCAATTGGGGTGAGAAGCACATGTCACTCATTTATATTTCACTACAAATCCATGTGATCTCTAGATTATCATTGTTTGAACTTTTATCTCACCGATCTCATGTCACGGACTCACGATGGGCATGATATCAAGCAGGAATGCTTCGATTGACGCTTGTGGCAAAAAAAGTTTGGAATCTGACCTTGGATCATACCTATGTTTGCTCACAAACTCGCTGGAAATTCCCTTGCCATGGAGTTCGGCGACAACAATTTAGGAAACCGAGGCCAAAGTTGCGGCAAAAAATTGACATTTGCAATGCTGAGGTACACAAACTCTCAGCATCATCTCTGAAACATCTCGTGAATCAGACATCAAACAAGTTCAACATGAGCTTTCCCTCAAACTTTCTGGACATATATCGATAGCTATAGAGCATCAACTTGAAGAGATGAATCAATCATCCACCACATCTCCATCTGATTATACAATATCATGTGATCATCACCAACAAGAAGGTCACTCACAAGAGGAGTCTCCAATCCCGCTCATTTATTTTCCAATACTCAACTTATATTCAATTAACAATGCTGTCGAATCTCCACATGTGAGCCACGACCACTAATAATATTCTTGGCTGTTTCGTTGTACAGCTGGGATCATTCTCCTATTTATTCAGCTAACAAGCTATCGTTAACTGAGCTTTCAAGCATACTACGTGGTACTCGAAACGGTGTGCGCCTTCTTGACTATGGAAGCTCATCATAGATGCTGGACGGATATGAAAGACACATCAGAGTAAAGTTAACCAAATATTTCTCCAAGATATATGCTACTGATGAATAACAGTGCTTTGAGATATCTACCCTGGGTGTAGCTGATTCTCAATGATTGATGAGTAAAGACTCAATTCCAACATCCGTATTATTAGCTGAAAACTTTCTCTGTATTGGATTTTCTATAGATCTTCTAGATGAGTAGGAACTCCAAGTTTCACAATATGATAAAATCCTGAAAATGCAAAAGACAAAATTGACATATCAAAATTACATTGATGTCTGGTTATATGATGATATATGCATTTTATCTAGAAACAAACCCCAAGTATAGAAACAAATCAACAACAAACCAAAATGAAATCTAACTGATGTACCATTTCAAAAATCTTTTACTACAGTTTTTCAGATTGTAAGTACCCAGAAAAAAAAACCCCACAACCAAAACCTTTCAGATCTCACATATCTTCCAACCTAATATTCTTGATGATCCCTTCTTCTTCTTTCTCTTCTTCTGACTCATCTTCATCATTCCAAATCAACTTATCTAATTTACTTAATGTCTCTGACATTTGTTTAACTCGATCAATTCCTAAAACACCTAAAACATACACCCCCCAAAAAAGTTTTCAATATATCAATCCACGCTCCTTTGCACATCTTTTTACCGATCAAAAAACTAACGAAATACGTATATAGAAAAAAAGAACTTGAAACAAACCTAATTCAGTTACATAACCACTAACAAGTTCAGATCCAATACTTTCCCAAGCATCAACATTTCCAAATTCGACATTAAGTTTATCAACCACTTCAGCTTTTAACATAGTTTTCCAACTATTTAACATAGCTTCTTTGGTGACTTTAGCAGTCTTTTCACTCAAAGTGGGTCGATTTGGCATATGTGTTGGATGGATTCTATCTAGTCTGACAAGGATCAAAACTGGTGCTCCTAGAGCTCTTGCTGTATGGGCCGCCTATAAAATAGAAAGTTTTAAAAAAGACTTCAAGACATGAAAGATTGGAATTCATGGAAGTGCGACTTACTGATAAGGCACCCAGCTTACAAACCGAGCTTCCATTCGGTAAACTGTTATCATAAAAAAATCCAAATCAGCCAATTCTCATTTGTTGGTACAGACCTATCTAGATGACACTCACACTCGGTCAGCAGCTAAGACCAAGACAGGTAAAGATCCTGTTGATCTCATTAAAGCTGAACGAAAGCCCGCATCAGTCACCAACTCAATCTCCACTCCTAACTTCTTCTCTCCTTCACTTTTCTTTCGATCCTTATCCATCCTGAAGAAACCCCACCAAGTTTTGTATCTTACTTCAATTCCGTTCATCACACATCTCAATCAATAAAGAAAAACTCAACTGTGCTAAGAGATCAGGTAAACGACCTGGTATGATTTCATTCCCTTCAAATTCAATCTTACTAGGTTGAAAATCATATCGATAACCCATTCCATCACCACCTAATCCTCCAGCAACCGCTTTGGCATGATCAGAATGAAGATAAAGTTGTTCAAGATTGAGTTCAAGATCATCAGAACTGAAATTGGATGATTGTTTAGATCTCATCGACATTGGTTTCTTGGTCCTAGTCTGAGCTCGCTGGGTCGGGGGTTTGAAGATCTTTTTAGGTGTCTTTCTTCCGGGTGGTACTGCAAGTTCTGCCAATTTGGATGCCAATATCACTCCTTCATCAAATGGTTGGCTTTCAGAAATCGTTACTTTCAAGGTCTCTACTCGTTCAGGAGCTTCAACACGTTTCCAAGTTTGGGTACGTATCACATGACTCGCTAAACCATTTTTTGGAAAATTTTCGTCAGCGACGAGTGGTAAAGGTAAACAGGGGTAAACAACAATCCCTAACTGACCCAAACTCGAAAGTAAGCTATAAGTAGCACTTGAAGATCCTAATGTAAAGAGATGAAGATGTCGACCCGGAAGTTGTTTATCGTTTAGGATATTCAAGTCGCCAAAGAGCAGCTCAGATTGCGCGTGGTTGACAAGTTTGTCAGTTGCCTCTCGACATCGATCAGCTTCCCGTCCAATACTTTGAACTATAAGTTTTTCCATCTGAGGTGCCCAAGATCGAATACAAAATAACATCCAAGTGAGATAAGTTGATATGAAAGATATGTCAAATTGTGTCTTGTCAGAAGGATGATCGGATAATAACATTCATTGCTTCTCAAGAGATAGTCTTGAGGTAAACAAGCTGAACTTGGAAACTTACTTACGTCTTCTAAATTGAGTTTATCATCCAAGACCGCAGGCTTAACACTAGCTAGTACTTTATTCATACTATAAGCCACTGAAACATGGCAACTAGGCTTAGCCCTCACAAGATGCCAACAAACAACCTGTGGGTAGTAATGGATCCTCTTATGAGCCGAGGATGATGATAACTGAAATCAAGTGTAAGATATCCACCTCTGTCCAATAAGCCCAGACTCGGCATTTGAAAGCTCTTTCACGATCTAGTTCAGTTCGAAGTGTTTCAGATGATGTTTGAGGATAGAACCGAAATCCCTGTAAGACATCGTACCCATCTTCATGTGGGGTCAGAGATAAGATCATATTCCGTAAGCCTATTGTTGGTGGTGAAGACTGACGTCGCGTGCATATCCCGCTTGGATAGTTAGATACAAGGTCTCCAAAGCCCTAAACCATCAGTTCCAAAACAATGGATTGAGAGACTGCAAGATGATCGGGAGGGTTAGATGATTTCGAAAGGGACAGACACATACCTGAGTGAAACAAGATCCGGCCTGTTTGGGCCGTCTTCTTGGGCAATCTCTTCATATCCAACGTTCAAAGCAACCGGGAAAGAGACTGAGCTGGAGACATCCATTTCATTCATTCAGCTATGGCATATCGTCGACCGTTGATGAAAAGTTTGTATGACGCACGCAAGTGCTGTAGCTACTAAATGACTTTATGAATTGAGGTACATGATTAGCAACTCTTTCCTGGTAGTGATGTATGACATGTTCTGATGGAGCCAAAGGACGCACTTCTCAATGGCTGAGTGAAGGTTACTACAAAACATACAGCTGTCAGAACACCGAAAATGTCGCACATGTGAGGAAACAGTTCAATCGGACTTACTTAATCGGTGACCAATAATGAGCATCAGGCCCACCCAGCTTCGCAGAAAGACTTGGAGAATTTGCAGGGGATTCCAGCGAAGATTGCAGTCGGTAAAAGAAGACGACAAGAGAAGTACCAGGTTCCCAAGACAGGGTGGCACTGGTTCGTACTAGCTGGAGGTCTACTGAGAAGTCCAGTGCAGGAAGGTGCCGATTAATCGAGCGCTCCGAGAGTTGACCGGTGTTAAGCTGCGTCTCTGATTGCGCTTGAGGAGGTCCGAGGAAGGTGGGCGAGGTGCTGGAAGCATCGATGAAGAGGAAGGTCCAGACATTGGGAATCTGTCTTGGGCTACCAGAGAAGGCAAATAAATGAGCCAAAAGCGTGATCGGAAAATCCCAGAGATTTTAGCTCCAAGGCCAGAGCACACCCACGCTTTGCGCAAACAGCTTGGGGGTGGAGGAGCAAGAAGATGAGAATTAGGCTTGTAGAAGAGAATCTCGGTCCTGTTGAGCATATCGGATATTGTCAAGTCAGATACGATTCCAAGACGACTCATATGATTTGTTTCCATACCCTTGTCCACGAGGACGATCGGGAGGTCCACGCGTGATGAAAGAGATCACAATATTGACTGGCTGAGGTTGAGGAGGCTTTGAGCAAGCTCTAGGCTTTGGAACGACCTTGGGACTTGAATCAATAGGACAGGTTGACGGGGTGGATTTTGGTTTAGGAGAGTATGATAGGAGTCTCAGAGAGGGACTAGCGGTAGGTAGCGATGAGGGCGTAGGTGGCTCTGGTGCTGATACTGGTAATGGTGTTGATGTTGATGGGATTGGTGAGTCGAGTGAAGTGGTAGGTGTTGAAGGAGGTTCTACTAATCTAACAGTCTTCTTTTTTGGATTCTTTTGAGTGTTTTTCTTGAATCTTGTTGGACGAGGTGGTCCTAACATTGGAAACATGATGAATGCTGAGCTGATGTTGAATGTTTTGATCAAGTTTTGTTTGTGTTCTGTGGTGAGAGCTGGTCAGAGGGCGTTGTTGATCAATTCAGTGGGGCATCGTGACGGTCACTCCTCAACGGGTTACAACCCCATGGTAAAGTCTACGCTAAGCCGGATCGGATCGCAGCATCGGATCGGACCTAGGTGGATACCACAAAAAGGGTGATCAATTGCTGATCGTGACACTTCTCACTGGCACTTGATAGGCACTTCGTCTTATATGGTTGGCTTGACCTCCTTGACCAAACAGGCCTGAGGCTCATCAATTCAAGTCAGATTTTTGACCCCAGACCTCAGGTTTGAGTCACTTGTGCCTTAATCATGATATTCATACGCATATCAATTTTTTGGATTGGAATCTCTTTATTGCAGCCAACAATACTCAAAAATACCCACACATGCTGCACACCAGAACTTGGATACAATGGGAAATAAGATCAAAAATAATCTGATTCTGCAAGAATGACTTGGATGTAAAAAATGGAAGTGGTATGATTACAACAACATAGAATACCCAATTGCCAGCCATAAAATAATAGATTAAGTATAATGCTTCAATTCCACATTTGAATGAGAAAATAAAAAGGTACCACTTATTAGGAAGTAAGGTCCTAGATGCTTCAAGGTCACATAAAGATGGATACATTCAATAGAGACTTCACATGCAATGTGTAAAAGATATTCATGGAAAAGACAACAAATTACATCAGACTCTGAGTTACAAATCTTCCCAAAACCTGTATCTGGAGCAAATCAAGCTTACATAACAGGTTGTGTACCTCACTGGTGGGCTTCTTTCTACCAAAGTTATCTCCAAAGCTTCATCAGCACAATTGATCTTGATCGAAACAGTATCCTGTTTCCATTGTTCATAATCTGTAGAAATGATCTTCTTGGGGTCTGCAAAGCTTGGAATACTTCCTTGGTGAATTCTATTTTTCTATGGGGGTTGTACCAAGAGGTGTTTGCTAGATAATCTGATTGGAAATTTGTCCGATCTTACAGTGATTTGATTGCATGGACAGTGTTTTGGATTTGAAAGCCGGTGTGTTTGTATGAGTAATACAATTGTAAGACTACCAAGCAAGAATGTGGATATTAGATGTCTGTATAGCTAGCTATTTCATCCTTTGGCATTGACACACACAATTGAGATTGCTGATGCGACAAAATTCAAAATTTTCATTGGTAAAGATGACTGATGAGCAAAACAGGTTTAGTAGAAAGAGGCAATCAAGGATGTACCAGGTCAGTCATCAGTCAATCACTTACTCCTGCAATGTGTTGTAATGTGCCAGTGCAATACTGCCAGATGGAATACAAGATTTTAAAATAGTTTGCTCACTTCTAAGATCAAGAAAGGCATGAAGGTGGTACCACTAACCAATATAATGAAAGAAAGCATGATGATGACACTTTGCTCACAAGCATAATTGGAAGCGGATTTTTGTGCGGAATTGATGGTGGTGATAGTAGGATTGGTCTTGTCAATGAATATCCATACAATAGTTGTCCAGAGGCCATCATCTGGTCCCAATATGTTGTTCCACAGATGCAAGGCAGATGAAGATCAATTGCACCTAGTCATGAGAGCCACAAGATTCATCATTATATTAGTTTCTTCAATGATTCTGGTAGAACACTTCTTACCCACCAACACTATGGGAACAAAAATACTAAACCAAGTAATGACACCCATTTGTATCACTTTGACTATGGATACCTGTTTAATGACCCGCACTGCTCCAGGAAAAACTCCTGCAACATATATGACTCATAAACCAAATCAAAAGAAAGGGAATGTCAAGATATCTTCAATTCATGATACACCTTGTATCTCAGGAAGGTGAACTAACCAAGCTCCCTCCCATTGGAAAATGGATTTGAAGCCACATAGAGCCGCCCTCCCATGCATATTATCTTTACTCTTTGAATGAGCTCCTGAAATCCACACCACAGTCTTGCTGACCAACAGTATGTGATGCTAGTTTAGTGCCCTATGGGATCTCATGGAATTTGCTAGATCTACTCACAAATCAAAAACACAATGCACCCAAGTGCAAAGCAAACGGCTGAGTTGGGTTGTAATATAAGCTCTGAAAAGTCAATCAAAGATGGTTATTTGCCTTGCAAGTTTGAAGCTTGCACTCACACCTTGGTAGGAAGTGAACTCACCTTGAGTCAGGGATCCCAGATTAAAAGTCCTGAAGTGTATCTTGATGAAACAGATTGACACAGCCATGCTTAGTAGTCTACAGAGGTATTACAAAACCCATGACAACAGCATTGACGGCACATATCCCAGTCTCCAATGTGCCCCAAATAAATACAATTTAATACTCATATCCCACTCTTCCAGCTGGGAGTGACAACCAATGGCGCAAGGTAGTCACTCAGCGCTGGGTACAGCTGTGGTTGATCACGGAGGGGGTCAATAGCAGCTAATAATGTGAAGAGGTTGCAGACATCTTTTCCAATGAGGGTGGATTTTTCAGGAGTACCGGAGGATGCTTGACAGCCTGCAAGATCAAATTCAACCCAGATATGATAAGGTGTTGATGAGTGAAGCAGAATTGAGGTTCAATAGTCACTTCGCTTCGAGGCCAACTTTGATGATAATTCAAGGTTACAATGCCATCACCCCGGCAAACCATTGTTTGTTCGCAACATCATTGCTTGTGTGATCCAAAGATTTGGTATGTGTGTTAGACTTTTGCATTGTACTTCAGACCAAGTTGTGGTGAGAAATTCATTAGACAGATCTTGAAAGGTTATTCAAGAAAACCGGCATCAAGCTCAACATAGTAAAACATAGTAAAACGTATCTTCAGAAACCACGTCAATGTTTGGTAGGAGTATTTGAAGGATATATGCTTCCTTTCCTTGATGGTCCGCGCTGGAAACAGTTTGGAACTTTGCATGCTTAGTGATTCCGTAATTTCACTATCAAAGTGGCTAGGTGCGCTTGTGCACCGGAACGCGCGGATTAGGAGGCCGAAGAGTATCAGAACGTACAATGGCAAGCTTGCCTGACCTCGTCTACTGGTGATTACAAGCTAGGAGGAGGCTCATGCAACAGTGATTGCTAGAGCTCGAGGACAAATCTAACCTTCGGTCAATTGTGCGACCGGAAAATGTTCTCCGCCATAGCGGCTGGTGCTCCGTCCAAGGCACTGAGAGTCCTTTGGAGACACTCTTTAGTTCAAATTGCGGTACTTGATTCAAATTTTGCTTACCCTTGCCCATCAAACAGTTTTGAGGTTCACTGACCACATCCATTGTAAAGTTTCAAGCCAAAATCATATGAGACATCAAGTTCTGATTTGTTTACATTATTGAAAATTGATGTTGAATGGATTCAAGTTCTGATAAATGTTTCTGTTTATGATGATACAGATCACTTGTTGAGGATATACGTAGAACTTGATGGTATTTTGAAAACATTCAATATATTCAAAGCAAACATCCCTGGGGTGATTTGACAGAAATTTGTTCAATCATGAGGTGGAGTTAGTGGCGGAGAGCCATGAGTATTATTTCCGTTTGTTAAAGCGGTGGTAGTAGGATTGGACGTGTTGGAAGGATTCAAGTTATCTAACAGGCTGTCCAAGTGATTTAATGTTTGCTGATCATTTTGTTCGGGCCATTGAAGTGATATGATTGGCAAGAGTTATGTCAAAGAGAAAAGAAGTCATGAAGTCAGAATTCCATTACATCTTCAACTCAACTCAAACATACATGAAAACAATAATTGGTATGATCATGTTTTTTTGAATATCAAACCCAATGATAGGGGGATATACTAATAAGGATTGAAACGAGAACCAGGGGATAAGATATCTGTTCTCACGCGACCAGTTTCACTCAAATCATGTAGATTCTCATCTACATCCCCTACTTCTCCAAAGAACCCGTCGTCTTCCTCTGGTGGCATGTTGGAAGGATGTAGGGATGCACATGCTGACAAGACTTCAAAAATTTCCTCCACTTTTATTGTTTGTAGAAAAAGTAATATATGTTCAGTCAGACCAGGTCATCTTTTTCGAGTTTGGAAACGTTGAACACTGACATCGGGTTGGATCTTCGGGTACAATCCTTAATTCTACTGCTTCTTGCTCTTCATCTGCTTCTGCTTCTGGATCTGAACAATCATCCAATTGACAATAAATACAAGGTTGAGCCCCCGATTCTGTTCGTGAGATGGCGTGTAAACTGATGGTCGGATATGGTACGAGTAATGTCTTTGATCTTTCAGCTGAATAAAATCCAACTTCTCTTTGAACTCAAAGCGAACGAAAAAAAGAAACATGGTTTTGGATCAACATCAACCATCAAAAACAGACGACAAAAGTCAAATACCTTTCAGTAAGATATAATTTCAAAGACATGTTCTCCCATCCGGCATGACCATCAATCTTTACTGGCTCTAGCTGTAAGCGACAAATAGGCGGAAGCGAATCGAAACTAGCCGGTGTAGTCTGTGTGAGCTCAGCATGCTCAGCTGAAGTGACGCAAGAAGGAGGTCCATCGATAGTGGTGAGTGTGGTTGACATTTTTGGCGAGATGAATGTAATTTTTGGTCGATCGAATCTCAACTTTCAAGTGGTGGCTGAGTTTGTGACTGTTGACATGTGTAGACCTGTAATGTGTATGTAGCTTGGCTATTCAGACATTTCACAGATGTGCCAGGTCTCCTCGGCACTCTAGAGGCCGTCACAGCCGGTGTCTGGACAGCTTTAACCGGGATGTGTGTGTTTGTGTGACCGGGGGCCCCTTGCAGGAGTGACCCATTAAAGGCCCCCAAACACGAAAGACGACGACAGAAAACTACACTTGGTATCCCAATCCGAGATGTCTAATAACCCATACGTGACTGAACTCGAATTCGCAATCGGCTTGGCTCGACGTGCCGGAGAATTGATCCTAGAGGCAAGTAAAGATCGCCAAACCGGGAAGGGCACAACGGTAAATGATAAGAAGAATCGAATCGATTTGGTGACTGAGACCGATCAAGCTGTTGAGAAGTTAGTAGCTAAATCAATCAAAGGGAAATTTCCGGATCATAAGTTGAGTGATTCTTCGTGTTCTTTTGCAACTTGATCGAAATGTCATACTAAGATGAGGTCGTTCTTCACACAGATTTATTGGTGAGGAATCATTTGCGGCCGGAGAGAAGGCAGATTTGACGGTAAGAGCTTTGGGCCTCGAGACTTGGACGGTTGAATTCAGAATTCTTATTCTGCTCGTCTGATCCTTTCTCATTCTGAAGAATGATCCTACTTGGATCTGTGATCCTATTGATGGTTAGTCTATTTCGCTGTTACCGTATCGCAAATGAGATCATAAATATAAGATGTGTTGGCTATTTAGGCACTACCAACTTCGTACATGGCTTTCCTAGTGTGTGTATCAGCATAGGTTGGGTGGTAAACAAGGTGCCAACTGTTGGGTAAGCTCAAGAATCTAATGATCGATGTCTTTACAGCTAAAGTACTTTCTTAAACCACACAGAGTGATCTATAATCCATTCCTTTCTCAACTGTATACAGCTGTCAAAGGTCATGGAGCGTACCTTAATCAAACCACTCGATTACCGTTATCCTATCCAGATCAACTTCCACTCAACAAGCTTTCTGATGCTTTGGTAGGAGTAGAATGGGGTAGTGATCGTTCAAAAAATGTTATGGACAAAAAGTCGCGAAGCTTTGTAAGACTGGCGGGAGATCCGAACGAGGTGGACGGTGGGGTGATGTGCCACTCTCTGAGATCGATGGGGTAAGTGTTACTACAGTCCTTTTGCAATTCAACCGTCTTATGTGATTTCGATGGCTGATCCTAATTCTGGAATGGTCGTAGTTCGGCTGCCTTGAACTATAGCCACGTCGCAGCTGGAAGTCTAGATTTGTATTGGGAGATTGGATGTTGGGCATGGGACGGTGAGCATGAGCCAACGCGTTCTAGAAAAAATGTCTTTCATTGATCTTCCGCATCTCATTACATCCGATCTTCAGTCTGTGCAGGAACGGTCATTGTTCGGGAAGCAGGCGGCAAGTGTTATGGGAGAGGGGGGAAAGCATTTGATGAAGATGGGTCAGGAAAAGACCTGATGGGTCATCATTTCTTCGTGATCAGAGGTATCGCAGATCAGGATGGTCAATCTGGTTCAGAGATTCAAGATAGATTGGCACAGGAGTTTTTCAAAAACGTGGCAGAGGAATGGGATGCTTGAGGATGAGCTTTGATTTCTCAGATGTGTTGATACTGATACCAAGACTGATTATTTTGTACGAGGTCTTCTGGTCTTGTATTATATGGCGAAAACAGGGTTAGCCACTGTTCTCTAGAAGAGATGAGATATCACGATTGGCAGCTCATCGTACAAGCTCGAGGAAACTGTAGTGGACTTATGTCAAGTGGGCAGTTTCTTTGTTCGCATGCTTTTTCTACCCATCTCAACCTCATGTTGGAGTCAGTTGTGATTGGCATATGACTCCTTTGATGTGCAAACTTTTCACTTGGAAAGTTTTCAATACCAAAAACCATCCAATAGCCTTTTCAGAAAGCCATATGTATAGCTTGAACATAAGGATATGATGATAAAAACGATGGTCACTTGCTTTCAAAAGAGTGGAAAAGAGAAGTAGTGGAATGTACAACAGGATGATGTTGATATCACCGAGATTGAAACGTATAACAGAGAATACACGACCCGTCAGCAAAAAAGATTTGATTGATGTATTCTATCTTTGCCACAATCTAATTAATGATAGAGACGTTGTCACAAGTCAAATGGTATAGACACAATTGCTCGCAGGCATCGTAAAGATGAACTTTGAGAAAAGCCCTTTAATCGAAGTAATCCAAGCAAGAGGCTAATGGAAATGTGGATATAACTTATTAGATTGTGGTGTAACACTGATCCTCAAATTTCTGTCTAGAGCCAATTGAAGCTTACAAAAAAAGTAGTTATACTACGGATGGTCTCCTTTCATCCAGATATATCTCAGATAATTCATCACTTTGATTGATGTGTACTGGCAGGGGACCTTTATGCCATTTTTCATAATCTGTGACTGTAGTATCATTTGGGTCTTCCAATCTTAACACATCGCCTGGATAAGCCTTGTTTTGTTGTGATGATTCTACTGCTGCGAAGATACTAAGCTTCATTGGAGATTCTTCCGAGGTCACAACGCTCTGGTTTCCTCGAGCGTGTTGCGAGTTTGAAAGTCGAATGGTTTGTAGGAATATTACAATCATAAGCCTATTAAGAAAGGACAGAATCAATAAACGGCTGTGTGGCGAGTTTCTTCGTGGTTTGATGATGACATACACATTGGAGATTACTGATACGATAAAAGTGGAAATCTGCAACGATAAGGATGACTGATTAGTAAAAAGTTCCAAGCAGAAAGACGCGACGGAGGACGTACAAGGTCAGTCATCAGTGAACCTGTTACTCCTGAGATGTTACCTATGGTGGCAGTCCGATACTGGGTCATGAAGTTCAGAATGTAAGAGTCATGCAATACCAGATTTATACCAGATGTGAAAACATCTTACTCACTTGCCAGATCACCAAAGGCAAGAAAGCAACACCGGTGACTAGTATAATGAAAGAATTCATCATGATGACATTTTGCTCGCGAACATGATCCAAGGTAGCTCTGAGTCCCGAATTAATATCAGCATTGGTCTTGGGACTCATTGTCCGCACAATGGTCGCCCAGAGGCTATCGTTTGTTTTTATCACACGCCCTTGCAAAAACGCAAGGTAGATAAAGATCAGTTGTGCCTACATAGTCACGAGAGTCACATAATACATCAGTATATTTCTTGCTCCAATCATTCTTCAGGAAGAGTTCATGCCCACCAATATCAAGAGACATAGAACGCTCAACCAAGCCGCAATGCCCATTTGCATCAGTTTCACGACATGGACCTGTGTGATATCAATGCATAAATTGACTGATTTGTAAATAAAAACGCGTTCATGACATTTGCGGAGACGGACCAGTATAGGGAGAGCCTTGACAAGTGAGCTCAAAATTGGTATTGCTTTTGAAACGTCGAATGTGACAACTTTATGTTCATCTAGTCGCCGCAGCTTCTTGCAGGCCAAAGTGATCGAGTTCAATAGATCTCGGGCCTGCAATTCCAGCATTGTAAATGTTATCAGAGGAACTTTAAATGAGATGGCAAATCACGTTGTCCATCAGCGTTCACTCACATACGCAGTCAGTAAAAATGAGTCAGTGAGACTCACATATGAGAGCCAACAATGCCGCGACTATGAATGTTGTATTGAGAATCATTACCACCAGGGCCGGGATCTTACTGTGATTATGGGCTGGCTGCCAAGGAGGTCTCCATTTGCAACAGATGTAGTGACCCGCACTGCTCCAAGAAAAACACCTACGAAAGATGGATTGCGATCCAAATCAAAACAAAGGTGATGGTCAAATATCGCGAAGAGGGACGAACCAAGCCCCCATCCATAGATAGGTGAATTTCGTGCCAGCTAGAGCCACCCTCCCACGCGTATTGTCTATACCCTTGACATCATTTCCAGAAATCCACACAGCAGTCTCCGCGATTGTCGCTATGGCATAAATTAGTGACCCAGGTAGTTTAGCGGAACTTGCTAGATATACTCACACAACGAATACACAATGCATCCAAGTGCAAAACAGACAGCCGAGTTGGGTCGTAATATGCGGTCTGAAACGCAAATGAAACATTGATATCGGCCTTCCACGTTCGAAGGTCATCCTCACACCTCACTTGGAAGCGATCTCACCTTGATTTATAGAGCCCAGATGGAAAGTTTTGCAGCGTATCTTGACGAAACAGGTTCCAACAGCCGTGATCAGTAGTCTACATATGTGACCCAAAATTTACCGCGTCAGCATCAATCTTCTCAATCTTCGGCCCCCAGTCCACTTCAAAAAAAAGACGAGTCACATGAAGTTCAGAATGATGCTTGAGAAGGGTAATACCACTACTCCGCCTTTCCAGCGAGGAAGTACAGCAATTGAAGCGAGGTAGTCACTCAGCGCTGAGTACGGCCGCGGTTGATGACGGACGGATTCAAAGACAGCTAAGAAGCCTGCTATTGTATCTGCAGACATCTTTTGAAGTCAAGATGGATAGTCGACGAGTGTTGAAGAGTGCTTGAACGCCCGTGTAATAATTATAAGTGAAGCTGGGATGAGGGTGGGTAATCACTTCGCTTCCAAGTCAGCTAGGATGAAAACATATCAGGTTGTGATCCCAAGAGACCCGCATATGCTTGGTTTCTGAATGAGGTTGAGTGTGCACAACATTATTGCTCGTGCGATCTATGGTAGCAGTTTTCCACCGTTTTGCTACACGGCAAGGACACTCCGACTCCCCTGCGATGTCTGATCACTTTTGCAGAGGAGCGGTTGTCCTGACGGAGCGCACTGCAAGATGTCTGCTCGGGCCACAAAGCTCGGACATCCTCTGGATGTTACACCAGAGTGGGGCACCTTCACTGCATCTCCCAGATGCCGTGCGGATGTTTAAGCCCTTGGATGTGCAAAAGACATCCCGATCTGGGGTGTCAGTCCGATAAATTGGATCCCGGACAATCCGGACACCCTTTGGCTCAAAAGCGTCTTTGTGGTGTAGAGTTTAGGGGGAAATGAAGCCGTCCTCTTTGAGGACGAGTCACGACTGTATTTGTAAAATCATTCGGTTGGTGTGTTAACTCTGTGCTTCGTAATTGGGACCATGGTTCAAAGAATGAGCAGTTTATTAAAAGAATTCTGAGAGTTAATAAGGACCAGGCGCAGAGTTCGCGCGATCTTATATACCGCGGGAATCGATGTGTTCAAAACTCGATTGAAGGAGTTGCCAATCTTCAATCACGAGTCTCGTTTGCAGCGCGTTCACATTAGAGGGGTTCAAGTCAACCACACTGTGACCTCCCAGCCCCTCAAAGTTAATCTTTTTCATAATTTTTTTTGCCAGGAATGTGCTTCTCAGGGGGGACTTTCGGACAGTGTTTTCAAAATTAAAAATTTGAGTAGCATTTTGATGAAGGGACAGTTGTATTTCAGACATTCTTCCAACTTGGACCCTCTTGGACCTTGCTATCAGGTTTGCTAAGCACTCTTTTTTGGACTCACTACTTTATCTTCCCTTTCATGTTGTACTTGAAGCACTTTATGTATCCCTCTTTGTCCAGTATCCATGAGCCCTTCCATACTAATCCATCATGAAGGTCACCTTTGCAATGGCAAAATATCTCTCCAAGTCTAAGCAAAGAGACTTATGAAATGGCTAAAACCAAAAGTTGATGTCTATCTAATCACAAAGAAACACTAGACAAATATTTTTCCACACTGTTTCAAAACATGTGTACTTTATAAAACAGCTTATACTTTCATAATACTATATACTTCAAGAGATGTGAAGGCAGATGAGACAATATAATGAGATCAAAGAGTTGAATTTTATAATCGTGATGATGATAGGAATCAAGGATCTTGGATATGTGTATATACAAAACCATTGAGTTGCTATGTCTCATTACCTTTAAGTTTTGTGAGTGGTGAAGGGTGTTCACTGAGCCTAATATGAATGCATTGCAAACAACTTAACAAGACTTGTGATTGAAGAAAGTTATGAACCCAGTAGGGTAATCAAAAAGTGTATCAAAATTATATCTATGTACATGTATTACACTTACATTTATTTTATTATAACTCTCACCATGTGTTTTTTCCTTCTTTTTTACCATTACTACTAATTCATTATATGTTGGACTTCAGAAAAAAATCAAAGTTTTTACTACCTTAAAGAAGATTAAACTTCAAAGGTTACCACTGAAGCCCAAAAAATAGAGACATACCATGTGTTCAAATAGGTTCAACTTTCTGATAAAAGATGAGGTTTTTGTGGACACATTGATGTTCTGGTCCTTCCTGAGGGAATTACCTTTGAAGGAACTGATGCTGATCACAGATTTTACATTCCGGTGGTTATTAGGACAGTTGGCCGTACAAACTTGTAATGAGACCCCGAGTAGGTCTTGAAGGTGCCATCCCGAAATTGAAAAAAGAACCAAATCAATCCATGGCTGTTGAGATGATCATGTAGCTGGATAATTTTTCAAGCCCCTTTCACAGCCAAAGCTGAAGGATATATTGCTGACTCCACATCCATGAAGATATTCGAAATTTGAGGGGATTGTTTTTCATATTTTCATATCTTCAAGCCGCTACTTCTCAGTGATAAATTCTATATGCACCCCTATTGTTCAATTTGAAATCTTTAAGATTCTTGATACTTGTTCAACAAAACTTGAAGTTGTAATGAATGCTGAGATTATAGCTTCAAGTTGATGCCTCGCACAATGCTTTTGGCACAAGACCGCGCACCTGTGCGCCTGCCTGTCTGACAGTGATGCGGTACAACACAAGGCTTGAGCGTCGCCACTATTTGGCCAAACCTCAAGCCACCAATAACAAACTTGTGAGCATGCCTAAAGCAGAAAATGCTACGCAAGATCTGGCAGTGGAGCTACTTACAAAGTGGCCGGTTGTAGCTTTTGATGATCCGTGGTATGCCGACCGAACGCTTGCACTGTATGTTGGCCCTACAGAATGAAGCCCAAGATCTACCGGCTCGAACCACTACACCTTGCTAGGTTGGTGGTAGTGCTCATCCTTGATCCTGCGTGCGCGTCAAAGCACGTGCCAGTGCTGTCTCCGTGTAGGCAAGAGCTAACACATGGAGTTTTACGTTGAGTACCTCATCCGTCATATCTGACACTCGGAGATGACGGAGCAGGTTTCTGACTCGGCTCAATGCAATGATAGTGTTCTTTTTGATATCAAAGACAAAAGAAGTATGTACAACCGTTTTCCGGGTATGTCCAAGTGAGCCATAGAGTGACGGGCTGGGAAGGTTGCTTTTGGTCATCACCTTTTTTGTGCGGACATTTGTTGGTTCGTCATCGCGCATTAGTGTCTTGTGTTGTACTATACACACAACTTGATTTTCTTTCTCGGCGCGTCACGTGCTCTACGCATGCAGATCATCTAACTAGCTCATATCTGATGTTCCTAACTTCCTACTACGATTTTGCTGTATGCCAGTCTGAGTCAACGCTGAGCAGTCAAGGAATGCAGCCAACAAGAAGAAATGTAGGGCAAAGACACTTTCCTTGGTCTGAAAGAAACCGTTCGACATCCAGTCTATACATACGATCTAATTCGCCATTTAATTTCACCCCTTCAGCTACAGCTTGCAGATTTTGTGAGCTGACTGCAGCGGAGCCGACGCAAGGGAAATTCGCTTCGAGATCTTGAAATAGGGGTCGGAATGGAAGGGCAAAGAAGCTGAACACCAATGACAATTCATTGGGTTTCCTCCTCTCGCCTGCTCAGTAAAACGTATAAAAAGCATATAAACCTCTCCGGTTGGCCTCACCCCATCGACGACTTCTTGCCAACAGCTTACAATTACAATCCTGCCCTTCTGACAAACATGTTTTCCTCGCCAACATACCTTCTTTTGAGCCTTTTGTCCTTAAACTTGCTCACCCCAGAGGCACATTCTCTTCCCCATCGTCCGCCTCAGGAAAGTGCCCCGCTCGACTTTGTCGACCTCAGTCCTCATATCACGGGCAATCGTACCTTCTACCTTAAAAGTCCTTACACCCGTTCAATGGAGGCCAAGATCTACAACTCCAATGGCGAAGTAGCATATTCTCTTAATCCAGTTTCGACTTCCGAGACCAGCTCGATTCATCTCCAAAAAGCCAATACGACCGCGGAATGTCAGGTGATCAAACTGGTCAGTTGGGTCAGAGTTGTTACACACCTAAAAATATCCTGTCTTCCTTTGCTCACCCAGGGTACCATATCTGCGAACCAGTCCAACTGCCCCAGCCAGAAATTTCCAACGTTCTTTCACAGTAGCAAGTCCGGAGAATGGACTGTCGAAAGTGATACGGAAAAGCACAGTACCTATGATCCTCTATTCACGAGAAAATTCGACGAAGGACCAGTGGGTCCTATCTATGATTCGAGCGCTGGAAACATCACCCTTGCTGAGATCTCAGGTGGGAAGCTTTTTACAATCGCCTCATATTGGCATTGATGACTGACGACATGAAGTGATACGCGCTCCGGGATTAGCTCTCCACAAGCCTCCTAAACATGTACCCCATGGGGAGTATTACTCTGTTCACATCCCAGCAGATCGAGGACACGACCCATTCATTTCTCCGGTATGTACATACACACCCTTTCAACCGACCCTCCACTCAGCATGCAGTTCGCGATCGCTCATTGTTTATCATATTTTGCGCTCACAGGAGGCCGCGCTGAGCTTGTTGGTGATCCTTTTAGACTGCCGCGAACAACACTTCATACGTCTCCCAAAGCCTGTTGCTTTCACTCTCCCTCTCCCCACAGTTTGAGACAAGAACCCACACTGTACGGAGCCTTCATCCAGCTGCACGCCTTTATTTTATCACATTCTTTCCTTCCACTCATTACTTGATTATAATTTGACCCAGACGGATTGGCAATCTTAGATTTCTCGCGACAAAACTACTTTTCTTAGCTGTGCTACATTATATTTGTCCTTGATTAACATTAAAAATTACCGTACGTTGTCAAAGAGAAAGAAAGATTCACACCTTGATGGCAAGTATCAATGTTTTATCATTGATGGCTCCGTATACATGACCCACTACCTATTGTGGCCAATCATGGCTGAAAGATGTAACAGAGCTACTTTGTTATACATAGTTTGATATGTTAAACAAAAAGCTACCCAGATAATTCTTTTGAATAACACCTCTCGGCAAAAACGAGCGACAACACCTCTTGAACCCTTTGAAAATCGACACCAGCTCTATGTATAGTCTTCATCAGCCGGCGTTACACATTTTGAACCTATAAGCTCAAGGCTACATGGCGAAGTGGTGCACGAGTTGAAAGTCTATGCAAGCGCACCCTTATTCCAGATGAAGCCCACGACTACGAGTCCTGATACTCCTGACAAGATAGAGATTGCTGATGAAGCGCGTCGAAAAGGAGCAGAGTCTCCGGTGTAAATCTAACCCTTGAGTCCAGAGTCCAGAGTCCAGAGAGTTGATGTGAGCCAAAGCTCACGAACTTGAACAATATCCCCTCAGCTGAACCCTTGATACTCGCAAGCGTTGGCCGACCCGGACGTCCTTCAAACGGAAGGCATTTACGCCCTACAGATTCGAACGTGCCTCGGTCTCGCCCTCGACGCTCAAGCCTCGTATTACTTAATCGAAAAGATGTCCGAGCAAGCGACATGCCTCAGCAGTACGTTCCCAAAGTTTTTCAAAGCGAGATTGCCCGCTCAGTCTTTAGCAAAATTGCGAACTGGCATAATAATTGACTAGCGACCTCGACGCCGTCTGGTCGCCCAGCCTTCCGAAAGGGCGAGATCGATAGTATTCAAATGGCTATCACCGAGTGCGATCACAAACGAGACATATAGCAACTTGGGCCAACAGACAGGATGGCAGACCAATAGTGACGGATCAAAGATCAAGTGAACCAGATGGCTGCATGGCAGAGATGGCGGAATGTCAAGCTCGGCTTCCTAAATCTAAATCTCTGCGGATTCCGCCATCCCGCCGGGCTCTTCTCACTCGAACCGATTCAAGCAATGGCACGCTAGACAGTGACTTGATGGCTATTCTCCAGATCGGAAGACAAATCCAAGCCGCAGATGAAAACCTATATGAAGGGGTCTCTTTCTCCAGATCTGATCACTTCTTTTCCCATCCGTCTTCAGTCACAACAACTTCCAACCTTCATCCTATTCGTCTTCAGTCTTCAGTCTTATTTGTGCCCTGCAGTGCAGTACAATCACAAAACTCTCAACTTCACCCTTCAACTTCTTTTTATATCATTCTCTTTATTCAAACGCAATATCGAAACTTTCATACTCACTGGTGGAGAAACGTATCTTACAACAAATATCACAATCACTAGATCAACTCGACATGATTTCATCACTTTACGCGCTTTTCCTTATCTTCGAAGTAACCGGAAGCATTAACGCCGATCTTACCAACCTTCGAGCTCGAGACGTCAACCCCAAGTTTCAGATGCAAAGAGCTTCAAAAAGGCTTAGACGTTCAGAACCAGTGACCATCAACGATCAAGACGCACGCCAAAATGCAGCCGACGCTTCTGACACTCCCTATAGTAATTATACTAACATCAATACTTCGGACAAATACCCCAATGGTAAGTTCTTTTGGGCATAATTTCCGAACATCTGTGATTAAGTCTGACTTGAAAATCCCTTAATTGTTGTGTGGATTTGCTCAGGTACCGAAAAATCTACGGCACCCAATCCGAATAAGAAGGTAGATGCATCAGGAGATTATTCTTCACTTTATCCGCCGCCACCTTCCGTATCATTACCTCCTTTCAGTGCGATTCCATATCCATTACCGCTCACCGGATCAGGGAAAAAATGCCCACCTCGCAAGCACGATGATGGATTGACGGTCGCTCTACCTTCAGATCTCAATACCGGAAGATTCACAAAATGTGGACAACAGGTAGTGGTGGTATTCGATCAGTTAGCAGGTCGACCATGGCAAGGGAGCAAGAATAATCTGACCTTGACAGTGAGCGACTCATTTGATAGTAAAGGTCATTCAGAGTTAGATAGAACAATCCTTTTGAGTGAGAAGGCCTGGAAAGAAGCAACGGGTAACTCTATCATCAACAAGTTCGAGAGTTGGCCAGTGAGGTGGTTCTTCCTAGATGCTGCTATGCAACAGGAAACTGCGGATGGTCAGCACGAAAATCAAAACGGTGAAGATGATGGTAAGTTTGAGGAAACATTTCGTGTGAATTTCATCTGTATGTCTAACAACTTCTCTGTTTGACAGCTTCAGCCGGTAATTCTACGGACGCCACTTCGGGTAACCAAACAGTCACTGATCGAGGAAACAAATCACCTCGAACTGACGAAGGATCCAATTCAACGACAACATCGACAAAGCCTCCTTCCAACAAGAGAAGTTTACTCTCAAGAAGAAGCAGTTCAAATCCTTCAACTCATCAGCATCCATTAAATGTTTTAAAAGATAAAAAGCTCGATGACCTAAGTGACGATCTAGATGATGCGGTTTCAGGTTTATTGGGTGGTGGTTGGGCAACTTTCTTCACACAAGAAGGTAGGCCAGGTAAGTTTCTTTGATTCCCTCTCTTCGAATCCTCTCTCACATGAAGCTTATCTTTGATTACTCTTAGGTGCCTGTGGTCAAGTGCACAAAGACTCTGATACTATTGTTGCCCTCGACTTTCGACGATATGGAAACTTGGATGAGATTTCACAGTACTGTAACAGAACAGTCCAGATCACAAGAATCTCGACCGGTAAAACTATCACAGCAACAGTAGCAGATGCATGCCCGACTTGCAAAAACAAGAATAGTCTTGATTTAAGTGAAGGTGCATTTCAAAAGTTGGCAACTAAAGATGAAGGAATGGTCTCTATCAAATGGAAATTTGCTTAATCTTGTACTATTCGCTGAACCTTTCTGACTCAGAGAAATCTTGTACTTTTTATTTTTACTTTTTTTGGTTTTTATTGGGTTCCGGTTGTGTGCGAGTTTTTTGAAAGCTTCATGAAATCTTAAGAAAAATCTACATTAAACATACACCACTTGCCTTTGTTACTTTTACGAGGTCGAGAGAGTGCTATCTTGCAATGGGATTTGTATAATGATTTTGGTCCCCCTCAATGAGTAGTTGATAGATATTATAATGATCTTTCAAATATATACTTTCGATTTTCCCTGCGGTGTTATCTCGTAACTGTGATGCATTGATCATTAGATACGATGATCAGTTTTTGAGCCTGTGGCGCAACTTGTTTTCCAACAGAAAACACCGAGCAGAACATGCAACTCGTTTTTCGACAGCAATTGCTCAGAAGAAGAGTCCTTGCACATGGTAAGTCAAATGCTCCGTATAATGACTCCAGAGAAAGACTTTCTAGCTGACATAAAGAAACACTTGGTGGAATAAACACTGAGCGGACAGGGAGTGACAACGAGCAAAGTGCGTCGGGCGGACTTGGGATAGGCTGAACAGGGCCTTGCGGACAAGTTTCAGGTTGATTCTTTGCACTTTGGGGGTTTGAATCATTTGGTGCTCCACAGCCATTGTACTTGATACGCGTTGAATACCAGAAGTAATCTATTATCTTGATCAGAGAAGCAAACATGTATCAATCACATTATTACAGTCGAAACTTCTTTGAATCTCATAATCTCTTTCAGCTTTTACTGATACATTTGTACTTTTCCGATGAAACATCCGAGCCGTGACACTGATATCATCCTGGTACACAAAGCACTGCTGTGAGATATATAAGGGGCGATATTTGAGATGGGGACACTGGTAGAATGAATCTTGATTTTTTCATCTGCCCAATACTTACTAAACCTTTTGAAAAAGCTAGAGACTGGGCCTCTCAAAGATGCAACGAGCTGTCTTTTTGCCAATTATCAACATATTAATTGTGTGCTACTCTTTCCATGTGGTTCGGGCACCCATAAATCCTTCTTTTACCAAGCCTCATCAGCTTGAACCAAAAACTACAGAAAGCATCGAGAGTATAGGGAACTGTGAACATCACTTCAAAAGTAGCAACATACCCACAGAAGACCATGAAGCTAATGCTGAATTATCAACTCACTTGAAAGACAATGAGGATGTACTAATGGAAAATACTGATGCTGCAGCACTAGAATATCTCACCAGCCATCCTGAATCTGATACTATTTTGTTTTGGAACAATTTCTCTCAAGAGATGAGCACCATTCTTGGATCTATGGATTCAGAAAATATCATACAATCTCCAGATCAAACGGAAAGCAGAGGGATGACAACCTCTACACACTTTCCATTCCTGGAAGCTCAACACACTACGGTTGATGAGGATTCAAATGTGGGATCTTTGAAGGGAAACCAGTTTGATTCTTCAGCATCAAGTTCTGATCCCAGAATGTTCCAAGATTCTCACAACATCAAACAACAAAAACAAAAGCCAAAGCTTATTGGAGTTCAACATAAGGCACATATATCTAAAAAGAAAGGAAAATCAAAATCAAGGTTTCAAGTTTTAAAAAATTTGCCAAAGATTGAGGAAGTAGAAGAAGAACTTCAATATTCCCACTTCCAATCCAGAAGTGTAGCTAATTTACTCAAATCAAAAGGAATGCTAGCTTTATGGCACAATTACGAGGTGTCAAGACAGATTGATGTTTTCTTTCATAATCTAGATAGCATATTCTACTCAATACTTTGGTCTTCATCAATCATCCCATGTACCCCATATCATGTCAAGGTAGCAATCCATAGGGTCAAGAAGGATGTTGTGATTGCTTTCTTTGGGGGCCTGAGTTTAATCCGTCAGAGAAGTCAAAAAGATGTCCCAATCAAAGATCTAGTTTCTGATGGATGGGTTTACCTTCAAGATTATTTGCATCAAGTGTTTTATCCTGGTCAAAACAAAATCAGTACACTTTCATTACTATTCAACAATGATGTGGACGACTTGTCAAGCCCTTCATATCTACCAAGGTATATGTTGAACCTTGATAAATACTCACCTGTTCAACCAAGCCATATAGCAGCATTGATTTCAAATTGGACAAAATACTATATCTTTGAGCCAACTCAGTGCAAGATTGAATTTTCAACACATTCATTTCTTTCTGAAATTTTATCTGAAGCAGAACTCAGAGGCAAGAGGATCTTGACTCCTAGGCTTATCAAAAAGAAACAGAAGCCCTCATTGCCAACTTTGGAATTCTCAATTTCCATGCTCCCACATCTTTCAGAGCTGGAGCTGTCTAAATTAAAAGAATACAAAGGGAACCGGCCTGCAAATTATCTTGCAGTCATTGGTATGTCTGCACTGACAAAACACACAGACATCTTGACAAGCACTCAAATCTTCTTTGGTTGTCTTGAAAGAGATATGAATCAAAGCTTGATAGAAGGCATCCATTCAATTGGTGGGCCATTGAGAAAAGATCTGATCTTTGACTCAAAAAAGATCCAAGATGTAATCAAAGCCATTAAATCTTTCATGGTTCCAGCCTTTTTGGGTGTACTGGTTGTGTTGCACTACAATCAGTTAACAGACCAAGTGATGGAAATTTTACTTAAGACTGGCTGGGAGATTCTGCAAGATTATTTTTCTAAATGGCGAAACTGTTTTCATGAAGACCCATCATCAATTCTCCTGACCAAAGAGGAAAAGTTATCACATGAGGTTGACTGGTATCATGCTAAAGACACCTTACATTATTTCTCTCAGTCTAGAGTCAAGAAAAATTTTCCTATGGATCCTGTTTGGTTTGTACTTGAGCTTTGGTATGAGACTATAATTCAAAAGAGAGATAGTTGGGTTCATGATAAGATTGAATTTGAACCATCACTACCAAATCAAGATGTATACCATAAGTTTCTTGCTTGTTTGAAAAAGTATAACTCTTGATTGATTTTTTGTATTCTCAAATGGGTTTCCACAAAATGAAGACATATGTGTGACTTTCATAATACACTGTCACTGAAAGGATTGAATGCAACAGTGGGTTTTTGCATAACCCATATGTTGATTCCTTTAACCATTCCATTTTCCTATATATGATAATGTACCACTAATTCTCAGTTTTACACTTGATGAAAGCTAGTAAGAAACCAACTAAAAAAATGAAAACTATTGCGCTGAGTTTAGCTACATAGGTATCTTGACTTGTGATCTGCTACAATCATAAAACTCAAATCTGGACTACAAAGGGACCCACTGCTTTTAGAGCCAAGCCCAATGCTTTTAGTCTTCCACACAATGATTTTTGTCTTGGACAATATACCATTACACTTATGGTGTTTGGTCCCATCCTCTGATTGATGTTCTTGCTTTCCTTAGTGGCTTTGTTTTCATGCCACAATGTGTTGAAGAGCAAAGGTAATTGCATTCTACCTGTTGGTTAATGCTTCAATCCAACACTTTTTGTCCTGGGGAATAGATCTTTGGGCTTTTGGGGTGTGGTTCTTTCCTTTTGCAGAATTTTAGTCCCAGAGAAATGGATTCAAACTTGATGTGGTCACTAGACATTGTTTTTGACTCATGGCTAACCCCTTTTCTGATTTGGTCTACTTTCATTGCACAATGTGTTGCAAAGCAATGGTGATCACATGTTCATGTCAAATGGTAACATATAAATTGGCCCATTGTTTGTCAATGATCACCTTTCAAGTTTGATTTCTCTTCATAATCTGTAACCATCAATCCTTCTGCAATCACTACTGCAACTTCCTTAGCCCACATTCTTTGCTTTTATTTTCATTCCAGCACTCAACCAAATCTTATGTAACCAATAAAAGTCCCATTAAAACAAGTTCATCATTGTGTGGGCATGGCTTTGTAGAATAAATAACTACATAATTCTGAGTTGGAGTATCAAATTCAAAGTTCAACCCTTGCAAAGTTATTGTTGTTTTCTTGGTTCAACTTCTGGTATTTCACAAGATCTGTGAAGCCCTAATCACCCTGATAAGGTTGTATTGAATCCTGATCCCAAGAATTAGTTGTTATCAAGAAGAGTCAATTATTGTGATTGAGATAAGCAGTTAGATGAAAGGCATACAAGAGATTTGATTTCTTAAATGAAAGTTGTACACATGGCTTTCTGGAATCTGAATCGACATGCTGAGGTTAAATAATCTGTCATTGATTGTGGAGAAATGTGATGTATGTGATAGGTGACTGAGTGACATTTCGATTGACTGAAAGTTTTTGATCGTCACTTCAGCCAAACCCAACCTACCAACTAACCAAACACCATCCACTACCAACACCATCACCATCAGCACCACCAACGATGACAAGTTCAAGTTCAAATGATGCACTCTTACTATTCTCAACGGCCATCTCATCCTCACCAAACTCAATTCAACAACGTAAAACTCTCATTCAACTTAAAAATCAATTCGATTCAAATCCTGCTTTATTGCCGATTCTATATCCTTCTTTATTATCTCTCATCTCATCTCAATCAAATCATCCTTCGATCAAAAAATGGGTATCTTCAATAATCGAATTGGCTATCTGTAGACCTAATCTAAACTTATCATCTGATCAAAGATTACAAAGTAAATTGATTTCTCTTGTTCTGCTTCTTTTCTGATGATAGATTACTCACTTTTTTTGTTGGTTGACTGCTTTACATAGTTATAATTCAATCTACAGAAACTATTCATAAGATTTTAAATTCACAAGATCTAGAACCTAATTCAGATTTAATCGAATCCAAGAAATTCGCAATCCAAGCAGCCACCACATCATATCCCATCATCTTTAAGTTAATCAACACAAAATCAACTTCAGATCATACAAGAACTTGGACATTCATCAATCAAACCAAATCAATCATCTTATCAATCTTTAGATCAACTTCTCAAAACGTTCCATTAGGATTAAAAATCACTTCAATCAAATATCTTCAAAGATTAATTCAAGTCGGAACCAAAGGTGGTTCAGCTGATCCTAGAAAACGATCAGAAGATCCTAGTATCTCAATGTGTTCTGCTAATGGAAATTCATTCATCAAACCAAAAGAAATTGAACAAGAATCTAATTTATTATTAGAGGAATTGATTAGGTTACTTTATCAAACTAAGTTGAGTCAATTTGTTTTTGGGCTTCTTTTAACACTTTGGTTTGATTTCTTTGATTCTGACAACGAAAACTAACCCTATCCTTGGTATATTTTGTGATACGCGATCTTTTGAAAACGCGTCGTCAATAGTTCACCGGAGATAGCATCAGCCATCATCGTTACTACAGGTACATTAGTACGACATCGACCCACCCTATCCACCACGATCATAAACACCTTAACTTCCTACATCCCACCTTCCTCACCACTTGCCCATAACAATAAACCAGGACTTCAAATCAAAGGAGTCGAAAAAACACTACGGATCACCTTATCACATTTAGAAAGACATACACCAAGTCCACAAATCAGAGAAGCTTTAGTAAACCAATTGAAAAGATTAGAAGAATTAAATGAAAAAGAAAAAGATCGAAAGAGGCGAAGGAAAGAAGAGGATGCGAGTGCCAAGAAACGAGCCAAGAGTGGGAATACGATGGTGACCCCTGTTGCTCAACAACCTACTGTTGTGGAAGATCATGAAAGGAATCAATCACAGTTACAAGGATTTGATGTGACTAGTCTTGGATTAGAATTAGTGGTCGAACTTGTGATTGCTAATTTACTTGCATTGGACGATCAAACCTTACATGAAGCCATGGCTGTTTGTCCTCCTTAATTTGATTCCTAGTGTTGACTTGTTAAATTTCTCAAAGAACTAATGATCTGATATCTATTTCATGTAAACAAAACCCAGAGCTTTAGGTATACCCCACCTACCCCGAATAATATCCCCGATCAATCAATCCAACCTACAGCCGCTTTACCCATCCCATCAATGATTTCTGATCCAATTACAAGGCAACCTCAAGTTCCGATTCATGTCTCGCCACCAACCACAAGAACTTCAACTCCAATCCCAACGGGTTCACCTGTTAGACCTACCATGGAACCCATCATTTCAAGTTCAGATATAGATCCAGAAGAAGAAATCATCATACCGATCATAGAAGAAGAAGAAGACATAGAAGAAGAAAAAGAAGGCATCATAAGCAAATGGGAACCTGAATCTCCTTTATTTCTTAATGAACCAAATCGTAGATTGTTATTGAAATTCACTCTGGATCGAATTGCTATGAAGGAAGATGAAGTGGGTCATGAAGGGGTTTGGTCTACTCTTTTGGCTAGATTGGTTACTAGAGGTATGGATGGTGGTGGGGGTGAAGGAGGTGAAGAAGTTGAGGAGAGAAGAGAAGATGTGAGAGCTGCACTTTTTGGATTTGTTATAGCGGATTTTCCAAAACGGTAAGTGAAGTTAGGCTTTTTATCATTTCGTATGAATGCTGATTGGGTAGTATGATAGGATGCATTTTGCGAGGGTTTGGTTGATGGAAGAATGGCTTGCAACACGGAAACAACAAGTTGATGAATACCCTCACTCGATAGGATTCACAAGTAGTACTACAAGTATTGGAATGAATGCATATGATAGATGGTTAGGACATATACTAGATCATATTTTAACTCTTAGTACTAGTACTAATTCTCAAGGAGAAAGGAACACACGACATTTATTATCACAATTCTTATTAGATTTACCTAACTTACCTGAAAAAGAATTGAATAGATTAGTCGATCTTTGTGAAGAACCTGAGATGTTGACGATTGGATTTACATCTTTAAGAGAAATCACCAGTTTGCGACCTACACTTAGGTTTAAGACTTTAGATTTGTTATTAGGATTGACTACACATAAGTCTAGACAAACTAGAAATGCAGCTATCGTTAGTGTTAAATCTTGGGTTGGTTCATCGGGTAGAGAATGGAAAGTCTTGGGAGAAAGAGTGGTTAGTTTTGCCATCCAATTGGTACAAAGGTTAGAAGAAAATAATGAAGAAGAAGAAGAAGAAGAAGAGTTACAGACAGAAGAGAATTTAGGTGATGGAGATGAAGGAATGGAAGATGGTGAAGTCAATGGAAATGATCATGGAGTTCGATTTGCTGTAGTTGAAAATGCGGTCTTACAATCTGGTTTAGGTAAAGCTAAAGATGAAGAAACTGTTGTGAGACATCTTGAGTTACTTTTGGCTTTATCAGTTAAGAATCCGGATTTATTGGATCAGTTGAGTATTTGATTTCCATTACTAATCTCTTTTTAATTAATCTCTTCTTTCCAATCAAAAAGAGGTAAAGGTTGAATACTAATTAAAGTCCCCTCCCCCCAAAAAATATGATTTCATACATAGTCTTTTTCGAGTTTATCCAAATGTATCACCACATATCAGAGATTGTGTACAACAACTTATTACACCATTAATCCGATCACTGGGAGCCAAACATCCGAAAATAGTTTCATTAATTGAAAATTGTCAAACCGGATCCGAATCCTTAGTTTTAAGAATTTTAAATATCTCGACCGAAAAAGGAGGTAAACCACCGCAAGTGATTATAGAAGCGATTAAAAATTTAGCAAATACATCGACTAACCTTTCACCCAGATTTATTATACCATTGATTGGTGAATTAAATAAAGAAGAGATTTTATTTAATTTACCTAAGATCTTAAGTTTATTGAATGGTACCTTACAAGAGAAATTAGAAGTGAAATCTGTATTTGAATCGATTATCCAATTACCACCTAATAATTTCGGATCTGTTTCAACTAATGCACCTAGAATCAATCGAGGTAATGAAGTTTTATTAACACCGGTTGAACTTTTAGTGAAATTACATCAGACTGATGATTCAGGTGGTAAGATTTCGATCAAACAAGCTATTGAAGCTATTGGACTTTGTTTTTCGATGACGGAGATCTTCAAACCTGAAGTTTTGGCGGCTTTTATGCAACAAGTAGTAGATGAAATGACTTTACCTACTTTGTTTCTTAGAACAGTTAAGTTTCTTTTTTTTTTCTTTGGGGTTTTCAATTTTTTCGAATGAATGAAAGAAATTCACACCAAATCATAAGAAACCATGAAATCTTAATCTTCTAATGTTTTGACACCTGTCTGTGTGATTTGATTTTTTTTCGATGGACATATATTAGGTAATCCAAGCCGTTCAAACTTATAAATCATTACAACCATTTGTTTCTACAACACTTTTGTCTAGATTGATTATTAAGAAGATTTGGACGATTGGACAACTTTGGGAAGGGTTTATGAGATGTTCAAAGATCATTGCACCTCATTCGTTTGGAGCACTTTTACAATTACCTAGAGAACAATTAAAAGAATTGGTGGGAAAACAAGGTGTATTGAAAGCTCCATTAAGAGAATATGTGGTTAAGAGTTTGTTCATTTTTTCTTTTCTTCTTCTGTGATCTCGGTTTGGGTTTTGAAGAAGTCGACGAAGAGGGTTATTGATGTTTGATTGTTTTTTTGGGTTTGGGTTTGATTTAGAAGCGGGAAATAATAAGAGTAGAGTGATGGGGTTATTGGAAATCTTGTCTGATACTCCTACCACACCTACTACACCATTACCTACCACCCCTACTACGATTACGAATAATGATGGGAATCATGAGGGTAGTATGGGTATTGAAGGTAGTGGTACTCGTTGTGAATTAGGATTAGAGAATGGGAAAGAAGATGAAAAGGTTGGAGAAGTAGAAAATGTTGGAGATGAAAAGGTTACAGAAGAAAAGGTTGGAGAAGTAGGAAAGGTTGGAGATGAGAACATCACAGAAGAAAAGGTCGGAGAAGAATCGGTTGGAAATGAAAAGGTTGGAGAAGAAACGATTGGCGATGAAAAAATTACAGAAGGAAAGCTTGGAAATGAAGAAGAAGAATCTAAACTTGAGAAATGTAAAGAGAATGAAGTTGAAAAAGTTAAAGAATTGAATGGTTTAGTAAATGATACTGAAGAAATTGAACCTCAAACTCAAACAGAAGTTGGAATTGGAGCATCCAAGTCAGAAAGAGAAGGTAATTTGAATCTATTGGAATCTAATTCTACTATTAATACAAATCAATCGGATCCTAAAAGTTTAATTTTAGCTGATGTGGGATAATCTTCAATAGAAATCAAAACTCAATTTTAGTGTTTTCCGTTTGTTTTGTGCTTTTTTTTGTGTTTTTTTTCTGGTGTTTAAGTTCTTTGTTTTTATGGATTTTTCTTTTTTGATTAGGTTTTTTTTGGGGATATATATATATGTTTTGAGATGAAATTTAAATTAAATTGAAATGAAATTATATATATATAAACAACAGGATTAAGAAATCTTTTGATTTATATATTTTTTGGATTTGAATTTAGTGATTTGATGTTTTTTTGTTAACTTGTGATATTTCTTTGGGTGTGTGATCAATTATGAGTATAAATTAGAGATTGTTACATTTTGTTAGATCAGTTTATGGTTTGAAGGAATTAAAAGAGGAAAGAAAGAAGAATTGTACACTTGTTTGTTTTTATGAGGTTGTGAAGTGGGAGTATGCTTCAACTTAACCAAGTTTACTCCCAGTACTTCTGAGAGAACCCATACCTTTTTATGGAACCCAAAAGCCAAGGCACAATTGTGGGCTGGATTAGTGTTTTGGAGTTTGCTGCACTAAATGTTTGCAGAGCTCAACAGAGAGCCCTCCCACGAACTTTGACTTCCTCAGAAACTTTGATTTGTGACAAGATATGCAGACTTGAGTAGATTGGAGTACAATGGCTGAGCAGGTACCTCAACTGAATGTGAAGGGCTTTAGAGAAGGTGTGTCTGCGCTGTGGTTGCATTGCTTGATCACTTGAAGAATTTCTCCAGAGTCCAGGTCTCAAGGCTACTTGCATGCTCATTGGTGGGATTCAAGAGTTTGGAAACAGACCTCATATTATCTTTATGGACAATCTTCAATGATAGTATAGCAGCAACTTATATATTCTTTTTACTTCTCTATCTTGGTAGTTACAGAAGTACAATTCATCGTAGTAGATCATCACACAGATTATGAGCAGTAGAGCTGTTGGTTTTGATAAAATTGATATTACAAGGATCAATATAGAAAGCATACAGAAAGAAGAGAGGTCAAGGAAGACAGCATCAAAGCTGTGCCAGCAGCGGGAAAAGATAAGAATCTCCAAAAATTTATCAGGTCAAGAAAGACTCAAGAGTGTAAAGTCGAATAAGATCAGATAACACCTGTCTCCAGATAGGATTGTGCAAGTATGACTTGACCCATACACCTCTAAAAGCGAACTGCACGAAAAAGGACTTGTCCCGCTCGAAAGACACAGTGCCAGTACTGTATCAAGGAGGGGAACCCTTTAACGCTCCAAACACCTCATCGTCGCACTTTTGAGGGGTTGGGGCGGTCTCCAATTTGTTGAAAAACAAATAAGTCAAGGTCAAATTATCGTTTGGGCTCGGTGGAGAGGTCCATTCTTGCTATTTATCAAAATGTAGGGAAGAAGATCAGCAGAGTTTTCTCATCTTCAATAGTGAGATTGCAAGACTCACACGCGGGATCGGACACTCGACTTTGCAGTCGTCGCTGAGGTAATTTCCAAAAGCATACGCAGCTTCATCCATAGGCGCCCTGTGTTCAGAAGGATGGATCGAAATGGCAACCTTTGTGTCAGTTGGCGCTAAATGTGAATCCGAGTCTCACCAGACACGCACTTCACAAGAGCCGTTGGAACAAGGTCTTGATTCCTTGTCATGAACTATTGAAATCGGCTCATCAGCTTGCGGTGAAATGTATTGAATAACTTGTTTGAATCACATCGCACTTACCGCACAGCTTTTGAACATGGCGCATGGCACACTTGCATTTGCCATGAATCGAGCGACACTGTGTACCCGCCCATTGGAAATTAAAGTAAATCAGCTTACCAGTGCAGGTCACAGAAGTCAGATTGATACACCAAACATGATGTTGGTGGCATGAAAAATTGCGACGAAGGAAAGAGTGATCACTAACGCTTGACAGTCATTAGTGTCAGCAGTCATGCTCCCACCTCCTTCAGATAGACATATTACGGGGTTTGCACCATCGCATTTCTTTCCGATGCCTAGTTTCATTGCCAACTTCATTCTATTAGACGACGCGCTGACTGGAGCCTCCTGCAAGGTGTGATTATTCTTTTTCACGATGCTGCTGTTGTCAGCGCGACGAATCATATGCCTGGTGGAACGCACTTGAAGTCTCCGAGTCCCAATCACCTTAGTTTCTCCGACCTGGAAGAAAACATAAGAGAGAATAGGTACAAACAGAACAAACTTCATGATGAGACAGGAAAGATTGAATCTAAGAGAAAGATCGCGTTTGATGGCAAGTGAGTATCTAGGACTAAAAAGTGTTGGCAGAGTTGAAGATTAAATCGATCGAGTTTGATGAGAGGGAATTGATCACGCTCAAAACCACAGCCATTGGTGAGCCTTTAAGTAAGCAGCAAGAGGAGTGGCCTAGTTCATGATACTATAGCCTGCAGCGGTAACGTATTTGTTGGTTGTCGGGTAGTCGAACAAAGTGCAATGCATTCATCTCAGTCCACGTGTCCTCAACACTGACAAACCTCCGCAACCTAGCACAACCAATATCGCTGCTTCATTGCCACTCTTCGCTACCTCAATACTATTTATGTCTCTTTTGTGGTCTGCTATGCTAGTATTGTCATCGTTCTTCGTTTTCGTGTTCTCGAAGCCGAAAAATCGCTGCAACCTAGCAGTTTCAAGAATACAGCTCGATTCATCCACTTCGCGACCTTGGTACTGTGCACAGTGTTGAACGAGGTTGAATAGTGTACTGTGCAGCCTGGCAGGTCTCGATGTTCATCTCACATTCACTGGTGTTCTTTACGACAGTGAGAAGAATAATTAAAAAGATGTTGCTGAAGCATTCCTGAAAGGATATCAACTGAGGGAATCAATCCTTTGGCGTCGACAACCACTTTTGATTAGAGAAGATACATTCCAAAGAATGATTTTTTTATCTCATCAAGCCTCAAGGTGCAAAGCCCGGGTTTTGAGAGAGGGCTTTGTTAAGCTAAACTCAAGCTTAACGCTTGACCCGTTTTCAAAAAACACGTCCCGAACGGTTCAACACCCAGGCACTTCAATTGTATACTGCGAGGTCGACGGGCCACGGCTACCGAAAGGGCCCATTATTTATGTAGCACCGGCCACCACCATCACACCTCGACGCGGTCACGTAAGAAGAGTTTAGTCAACCTCATCACAACGTACTCGTCCTTTAACATGCTGTCAGTCCAGACATATAGAGTTATCGTTGACGGGATCTGGCGTTGAGTATGTGGTATTTACATAATTCGATTTGGCCACACTGGATGAACGTAATGCCTCAGCCATACTCGATCTCAAAAGCGATCCATTGACCGACTCAACTTTCTACACAAACATATCTGAATACATTGCCGCAAGTGTTAGGGTACGAAAATGGTTTCTTTGAGTTGTACGAAAGATCCTGTGGCCCGGGCCAGAACTATGACAACTGCCACAACCACCCAACACGTTCATCTTTATGAAATCCTGGAATAGCCCAACAGAGCTTATGTACGTTCGGATTGGCTTCTCTGACTGAGTACGCCTTGGATTTCGCGACGTCTGGGTAGTGTGAGAAGTTTGAGCGTAGCCTTAAAGATGGGTCGCTCGATTCCTTTACACAATTATAATCGTTCCACTCTTTCCTCACCTTGACAATTATATTTTCATCTTCATCACATTATTTTAATTTTTATATTTTCAAATTTTTATATTTTTATATTTTTATATTTTATCTTTTCATATTTTTATCATCAACATAGTAAGATGTCTTCACCTGCTGCTGCCGCTCAAACCATACGTAGACGTACCTCAGCAAACCCAACCATCAGGCCAACTAATCCTCGTACTTCAAGCGCTTTCGCGACAACATTCCAAGATGGAGCCGTAGCTGTGAAATGGGCGGAAAACGAATTCGCTCAAGTCAAACATGAACTTTCAGAACATGATCATTCACTCAACCAGCTTAATCTTCACCGCTCAGATACGTAAGTTGACCTCAATTTCCAGAAGTGTTCGACTGCAACATCGTGATTCAAATTTTCATCAATCATATCCCATCTTAAATTCCCCCTCACAGGAAGTCGACTCTGGAAGACGACAAAGAAGCACAACTTCAAGATATCAATGAATTTGATTTGTTGGACTTCTTGGTACGACCTCAAAGCCACATCCTTCCACTTGATGTAGCAGTTTCTGACTCTCCCTTCCTCGTTTGCTTCACATCTCAGCGTGGAGAAAATCAAACCATGCAGGCTCATGGTTTCCGCCACAAAAAAGTCGGCGTGATTTTTTCAGATCTTGCTGTCAATGGCATGGGCGGCGCAAAACTCTCTATTCGAACGTCTCCGGTTGCGATCAAAGATCATCTTCTTCTCCCATTCACGATGCTTATGAGTCACTTCAAGAAGCCAACTTCAAAGGCAATTCTTTCTGGCTTCAATGGAATCGTCCGACCTGGTGAAATGTGTCTTGTGCTAGGTCGACCCAATGCAGGCTGCTCTACCTTCTTGAAGGTGATTGCAAACCAGCGTGGAGGTTTCACGGATGTGACCGGCAAGGTCGAATATGGTGGGATAGATTCTCAAACTATGGACAAGCTATACAAGGGAGAGTGAGTAGATTTGTATGCTGTCAATGTCCATGCGTCGTATCACCATTGATCTCAGAGTGCTCTTTCCCTCGCTTTCTCGATTATTTACAACAGAACTGTTTATAATGCTGAGGTACGCAGAATACGCTACCATTTCATGTTGCAACCCTCTTTGCCAGTATGGAGCTCTGACATGAGTTGCTTATTCACGTAGGACGATATACATCATCCTACCCTTACAGTCGGACAGACTCTAGATTTTGCTCTTTCAACAAGAACACCAGCAAAGAGGCTTCCCGAAGACACCAAAAAAATATTCAAAGCAAAAGTTCTCGATTTGTTGCTTCGTATGTTGGGTATAGCGCATACCAAAGATACATGTTTGCATATTTTCTCTTCCACGCACTACCCGTCATGGATTCCGAGTAAGGAAGTTGTCTTCGAAACTGACTGTAGACCTGTCCTTGTGGAATTCCAGATGTTGGAAACGAATCCTTTCGCGGTGTATCAGGTGGAGAACGAAAGCGTGTATCAATAGCCGAAATGATGTCCAATAAGGCTTGTGTACTATCTTGGGATAACTCAACTAGAGGTCTTGACGCCTCTACGGCACTTCAATACGCTAGTTCACTCAGGATCTTTACAAACGTTTTCAAGACGACCATGTTTGTGACACTATACCAAGCCGGTGAAGGTATTTTTGAACAATTCGATAAAGTATGCCTTATCAGTGAAGGCCGTCAAGTCTACTTCGGTCCTGCCTCTGAAGCTCGAGCTTATATGGTGGGATTGGGATACAAGAATCTTCCTCGACAGACTACCGCTGATTACCTAACTGGCTGCACTGATCCGAACGAGAGGCAGTTCCAAGAGGGTCTAGATGTAGCAACTATACCAAAGACACCTCAGGAGATGGAAGCAGCCTATCTGAAAAGTGACCTTGCTGAACGAAATCGGGCTGACATGACGGCCTACCGAGCACAGGTATTAGCTGAGTCAGATTTACGGGATGATTTCGTTCGCGAAGTAGAAAAATCTCGCCACAGACTCGCATCCAAGAGGGTAAGTGCGATATCATTGAAATTATACTCTTCCTTAACCTTTACTCATCAAACCACTCGTATCTAGTCTGCTTGCATAGTTCCTTTTTACACTCAAGTTTGGTCTTTAATAATCAGAGAATTTAGACTGAAACTTCAAGACAGAATGACTTTGATTATAAGTTGGTCCACAACACTAATTATCTCGGTCGTGGTAGGAAGCGTGTTTTTCGATTTGCCTAAATCTTCCTCAGGAGCGTTCACTAGGTGAGTCCTTTGATAAGAGCCTACTTTTTTAACCCTAACTGATGCATGTCGGCCATCTTTCAGGGGTGGAGTGATCTTTCTGTCTTTGATGTTCAGTATTTTCATCGGTGAGTTCAAAAATTCAGTCGCATCTTCACAGCAACTTCATCTGATACACTAGGGCATTGTGTTTTTTAGCCTTGGCAGAAATTCCTGCGCAGTTGGTGGGCCGGCCAATCATTTGGAGGCAGACCTCTTTCTGCTTTTATCGTGGCGGGGCACTTGCGATAGCCACTACTCTGGCTGATATCCCATTTTCCGCCCCCAAACTGTTTGGCATGTGTATAATCGTTGAGTCGGAATATTTTTCTAATCGTAACATCACTTCCAGCTGAGCTCATGTCCCAACCTTGTATCATATATTTTGCAGCTATACTTCATGGCAGGTCTTGTCGTAAATGCGGGGGCTTTTTTCACCTACTTTCTGATCGTCTATATGACCTACCTCACAATCAGTACCCTCTTCAGGTTATTGGGAGCCATCTCGTCCACTTTTGATGGCGCATCTCGTATGTCCAGTTGTCTGTTCATGATCATGGTTCTCTACAGTGGCTACATGATCCCTCAACAAGCCATGAAGCGCTGGCTGGTTTGGGTAAGCAATAATCTTCTGATTACTATTGCCTAACATTGATACTAAGTTTTGCTCATTTGTCATTCGTCGGCATCAGTTGTTGTATCTCAATCCGGTCAATTACTCTTTCGGTAAGCTAACTTCATTCGACAGGATGCTGAGTGCTGTTGGCCAACAGGAATCAAACTCATCTCTCCGTGTCCTCCCACAACCTACCATCTTACAACAGAGGCCCTAATGGGAAACGAGTTTGGGCGTATCGAAATGTGAGTAGTCATTTACAAAACTTTGAATAGGTATTTAATTTTAATGGTGTATCCAAACAGGCCTTGTGACGGAGATTCCATCATCCCGCGTGGGCCCGGTTACCCCTCTGATCTTGGCGCAAATCAGGTCTGTATATTTGCTGGTGCCCGTCCAGGTATCACTAATGTACGCGGGGAGGACCATATCGTCGCAGCATACTCTTATAAGTCGGAAAACGTCTGGAGAAATTTTGCGATTCTGGTAATTTACTTCATCACCTCTGAGCCATTTTGTGGGAATTTATTTACTGATGTCGAATCGGCTTACCTGTTCCACACACACACGACTTGAAACAGATCATATACTTTGCCGCATTTCTTCTCTTTTTCTTCATGGCAACGGACAGAATGTCATCAGCCGCAGGAGGTGCATCATTCATGTCGGTGAGTGAAAAGTATCTGAACTACCCGAAGATAGTTGCAAGATCCTCACTAAATTGCACGTCATTTTTAAGTTTGCCAAAGAAAACAAGGAACGCAAAAAGTTGAATGAGAAACTGGATTCGCGCAAGGATGCTTTCAGAAATGGAACAGCTCAACAAGATATGAGTGGGCTTATAACTACTCGGAGACCATTCACATGGGAAGCATTGACATACGATGTCAAAGTACCGGGTGGGACGAATAGACTCCTAAATGAGATTTATGGCTATGTTAAACCTGGAACTCTCACTGCTTTGATGGGATCCTCAGGTTTGCGAAATTTAGCCACCCATGACATGTCAAATTTACTTATAAGCTTTTTTTCGATTGCTCTGCAGGTGCTGGAAAAACCACTCTGCTCGATGTCTTGGCCAACCGCAAAAATACTGTGAGCCAAATCTTCAACTCAAAATTGATCGATACATTACCTTGCTAACTTTCTTACTCAATGTCAGGGTGTGATTGGAGGCCAGAGATGTATCTCAGGACGTGAACCGGGACCAGAATTCCGACGTGGAACCGGTTATTGCGAACAGCAAGATGTGCACGAGCCGACTGCGACAATAAGAGAGGCTTTCAGATTCTCAGCTCATCTGAGACAACCTGCAGATGTTCCAGTTGAAGAAAAAAACGCATATGTGGAAGAGATCATCCAGCTGCTAGAATTGGAAGAGTTTGCAGATGGTGAGTTACTTCACGTCCGATTATTTGGTGAGAATCTAAGCTTATCTCGAACATCCTATTTTAAGCTATGATCGGATTTCCTGGCTTCGGATTGGGAGTTGAAGCAAGAAAACGGGTTACAATCGGTGTCGAGCTTGCTGCCAAACCCCAATTGCTACTTTTCCTTGATGGTAACCTTTTTTGACTTTCTCAATCTTTGCGTCTTCTTTGAAAATTAATCACTGCCTTCTCGTATTCTCTCGTCCTTCAAATTTATGACACAGAACCTACTTCCGGATTGGATGGACAGAGTGCTTTCAACATCGTCCGATTTTTGAAAAAATTGGCAGCAGCAGGCCAGACTATTCTGTACGTTTCATCCCTCATTTTCACTCCTTCCCAAAGTGAGCCGGTCAAGATACTCATGTTTTATTTCCATCACATCTTTGTAGCTGTACGATCCATCAGCCTAACGCACTTCTTTTCGAGACCTTTGATCGGCTTTTACTCTTGAAGAGAGGAGGTAGATGTGTGTACTTCGGCGACGTCGGGCAAGACTCTCATGCAATCCGCGCCTACTTTGAGAAGAACGGAGCTCGTTGTCCGAATGATGCCAATCCAGCAGAATTTATGTTGGAAGCAATGGGTGCTGGAAACGGCCGTCAGATGGGAGGTGACAAAGATTGGGCAGATAGGTGGCTGGATAGTGAAGAGCACGCCGAGAATCAACGCGAGATCTTGCGCCTGAAAGAGGAAGCACTCGCAGACCCGCTTCAATCTTCGAATCAAAAAGTCATCAATTGTCCGTCTTTCTTTCTTGTTCTGTTCATAGAATTCCTACGCGAAAACTAATGAGGATATTTATGTCCTTCAGATCCAGGTTTCGGACTCCAATTGAAAACAGTGGCCAAGAGGACTAACGTCGCCTTTTTCCGTACTCCTGATTACCAATTAACGCGGCTTTATGTTCACCTTTTCATTGGGTTCATCGTCGGTATCACCTTCCTGGATGTGAATGGGGCAGTCACCGCGTCGGCCCTGCAAAATCGAGTTTTTGGAATTTTTCTTTCTACTTTCTTGGTAGCCTTTGTGAGTCTTGAAACTTGGAAACTCTGAGTCGAAACCCTCCTCAAAACTACAACAAAAATGCTCATGCTACCTACCTTACAGATCATTGTCGAGGTCGAGCCCATGTACATCATGGCTCGGACAGTTTTCCTTCGAGAGCTAGCTTCCAAGACATATACAGAAGAAGTATTTGCAATCAGTCAGTTTTTGGCGGAGATTCCGAACTCGACTCTATCGGCCATAGTATATTATATACTTTGGTACTTCCTTTCGGGGTCCAATGCCTCAAGCAGCAGAGCTGGCTATGCAGTCTTCAGTTGAGCTATTTCCACATCTCTCTCAACCCCGTCATGCTTGGCGCCTCGAAATCTTTCAACACAGGCTGAATCTTTATCCTCCACTTTTTGGGTGATATAGTGATCTGGCTCCTGGAGATGTTCGCTGTGACCCTGGGGCAAGGTATCGCGGCCTTGTCCCCCAGCGTTTTCATCGCGATGCAAATTAATCCTACAGTGATGACGGTGTTGACCCTGTTCTGTGGTATCATTATACCACAGCCCCAGATCAAAGCTTTTTGGCGACAATGTAAGCAAAGCCCTGGTTCATTCAGTTTTGCAGAGGGTAGACGACTCCCTGCTGATTACTATTCACGGCTTTTCAGGGATGTACAACTTGGATCCCATGACTCGAATGATGGCCGGACTAGTTGTGAATGAACTCCATGATTTGACTGTCACTTGTGGTTCGGAAGAATTGTAAGTATCATCTTGCCTCAATACCTTGATTCGTGTTGCTGAGTTCACGCAAACATCCCCTATTTCTAAATTCAGTTCCAAAATCCAACCGCCTGCTGGGAAAACATGCGGTGAATGGCTTTCTAACTTTACATCGACATTGGGGGGTGCTGTACAAAATGCGACAGCCACTTCAGATTGCAATTTTTGTCGGTATGCTACCGGGGACGATTGTAAGTTGACTTTGGCTTCTTTTGGCTTCGTTGACGCACCACAAATCTGACACAAAATCCTTTCATTATCTAAGATCTCCGTCCTCTGAACTATTCCTTTTCCAATCGATGGAGAGACCTGGTGATCATGGCGTGCTTTTGCATTTTCAACTTGATGATTACCGTTTCAGCAGCGAAAATTTTAACATCTAGATATTCGAACAGATAAGCTAGCTTATAATATTCCCTAGTGTTCAAAATGAGGTCTTTCCACCGTCCATCAACTTCTTCTGTACGTAATCCTCTCTTTGATAAAAATTCATAGACACCTTAGATTTTGAAAATCTTGAAGTATAGAAATTTTGTACCTTGCTTGGACTTAATATGTTCATAATGTATAAATGCCTATAAATCCCACATGTAGCCGTAAATTTTGCAATCCACGTAACACATTTTTAAAATCCCCCTTGCTCACTCGCACCCTTGATCTTATATATCAACTTGTCAAGTTTCGATTCGTGAAATTGAACAGCTCAATTTGTGCGCCGACATCGGAGCCACATAAACCCAGTCAACTGATGATGCGAATAGAAGCTCTCGCCGGTGATTTGAACAAAATCAATTTATTTGTTATCATTTGAATCCAGAGCCTTGTACTTTCATCTGAAGCAAAACCTCCTCATCAGCTCTGAAATGCGATTTCTCTATACATCACTGCTGGAGTCCTTGAAATATTTAAAGCTTATCCTTTGAACTAATCATGAGACTCTGGCTAAGCTTGAAATTGAATGATTTGGGGGACTGTCCAGCCTGAAAGATGGCAAGATTTAACGTACTTTCAATCCTAGCAACACGGCCACTGCGCTTGATAGTATAGCACCATACCTGGTATAGTCAATATAGCTATTGACTGTACTTTGATAAGAGTATATGTAGCATATCACAGTACCAACTATACTATCCTTCATAATCATATATCAAGTGTTGTATTGGAGTATATTCACCATACAATCAATCACATCCCTTCAACATCTTTACTGGTGCTAGTCACTGTATATGAGAGATTTGTGTCCCATCATTTGATACTCTCATGCTTACTGATGGTTTTCTGGTATTATGATAATATTATGATATAGTTGTATTACTGTGAATAAGTAAAATTAGCTACACAAATGAAGTAAGGTAGAGGAAAACATATGTACCGTGGATTCAGCAGACTGCAGAGTCAAAATATATATACGGAAGAGCTCCTTTGGAATCTTGACCACCAAAGATGTTTGAAAAATTCTAATTGCACCAACAAATTAGGAGAAAGAATACAAGGGTTTCATTCCATTTCTTCAAGATTTTGTATTTTGTGAGGCCATTAGACTCGAGATACACCCAGACAACTCTGAAAAGTTACCAATCATTGATGTATGAGAAGCAAGCCCCCCTCTGGTGATGGACTCACCAGCCTCTTTAGACAAGCTTGTGATAAGCTAGGTGAGTTGTAGGTTTCTTGAGCGCAATATTGAGGTATGAAGGAGGGGTGGCATGAGAGTGGTTGGTCAAGGAAAGATCTACTAGAGAATCAGAAGGACTATTGTTTAATGTCCTCAAACTCCTAAAGAGTGTTCCCCATCACAAGACAATATAGGGGATAACATAAAAGTGTGCCTTTGTCTCAGCAAAAGACAAGATGAAGTACCCTTAGGAAGATCTTGGGGGTTCAAATGTGATATCTTCCAATGTGCAAATTTTCACATCCAAGCATCTTCATATGTGACACCCTTTCCCATGTCTTGATACATCATGGTTTCCTAATTTGCCAAATGGACGACATTGTGTAAACTATGTGTGTCATCAACAATTGTATTACTTGCCACTTTCATCCTGTTGAAGTGCATGATCAGACTGGCTTCATTTGACGGCCATTGTGGTAGGGCATTCCTCATCCCGTGTAGATATTGGTTTGAGGACAGCCCATCCTTTTTCAGGATGCTGTGTTTTGATCTATCCCGGAAGAATTAGACAAATTTCTACAAGTGAATTTCAATCTCCATGGCTACAACTAGATAATCTACGTACACACACACATATATATATAAACAAAGGCACTACAAATGAATACACCACGTACACATGCACCAAATGTCAACATTTGAAAGGTTTAAAAATATGAGGGTGTCCGTGCAGAAAGGGAGATGTACAAAAGAAAGAATTGGGTAATGAACAGAGGGTAGTTCCTGATAGGAAGACAAAGGTTTGTTTGAATTTGGAAGCCATCTCATCTATGCGAGTATCTTGAGGTTAACAATTTGGCTGCTAGAACGGTCACGAGAAAATTGAAGCAGCAAAATGAAACCATGATTCCCAAGTCTCTCCATCGATTAGCGTACGAATAATTCAAAGGCTTGAAATCTATGATCAAAAGGGAGAATCATTTGTTGATCGGTATTATAGTCCATGAGCAAGCTGCTATCAAACATGGTAAACTCACAATCATCCCCCACAGCGTACCGACAATAATTGCAATCCGACGTCGCTTCCGCATCTTGTACGTAGCCACCCAATCTCGAAATGAAGTCAGAAAGCCAGGCACCGCATGTATGGCCATGGGGCGGTTGAAGCTGCGCGCTGATTTGACGACCCGAAAAGATTAAATGGTCTCAGCGATGTGAATCAAAGCGGTGGAGGAAGACAAGACTTACAATTCTTCGGGTCGGCAAGTGACACGCAGATCATGAAGTCCATTGACGATTAGCCCTGACATCAATCTGGTAAATGGATCCAAGTTATACATCCCTGAAAAATAGTAGTCATCGATCAGCTTTCTTCGTTCCCCTTCCGGTCAGGATATTGCGGACGCCTTACACTGCCGCCAAAACGCTTTAATCTGAGGCTGTGGCACGATTATACCACAGAAAAGGGTCAACACTGTAACCACCGTTGGATTGACTTGCATTGCGATGAAGATGCTCGGGGACAAGGCTGCGATTGCTTGCCCCAGACTGACGGCGAAAATGTCCAAAAGCCAAATCACTATAATCAAATGAAGAACAAGAGATATCAAAACCTTCAGCCTTGATTCACAGATAGAAGAACTCAATAAGGGAAGATGTGAAAGACTGTCAGAATGACTCAACTTAGGATTGCGTAGCCAGCTCGGCTAGGTGTTTTGTTAGATCCTGTCAAAAAATACCATAAACAATAGTATGCTACGGCCGAAAGAGTTGTATTCGGAATCTCCGCTAGAAACTGGCTGATGGCAAACACTTCCTCTGTATATGTCATTGATGCCAGCTCGCGAAGGAAGATTGTCCGAGCCATGATGAACATAGGCTCGACTTGAACGACGATCTTTTAGGTGGTCATCAGTATACTGCAAAAATCTCCCAGGAATTTTTTTGGTAGGTGGTCTCAAACTATGGACTCACAAAAGCAAGCAAGAAACCAGAAATGAAGATTGCGAAGACCCGGTTTTGTAAGGCCATAGTGCTGACTGTGTCACTCAGATCGAGGAAGGTGATTCCGACAAGAAACCCAATGAAAAGGTGATCGCACAGTCTTGTTAATTGATAAGCAGCATTTCGGTAAAAGGCCACATTAGTCCTCTTGGCCACAATCCTTAGCTGACGACCGAATCCTGGATCTGCAAGATATAAAAGCTTTCATGAATAATTTTGAAGGGGATGCGGTAACAACAAGAAGAAAAAAAGACGAACAATTTGTAGCTTTTTCCTCGGAGTGCTGTGACGGATCTAAAAGCGATTCTTGTTTCAAACGTACAATCTCCTGTTTGTTTTCAGCGTGTTCCTCACTTTCCAACCACCGATCTGCCCAATCCTTATCACCGCCCATTGGGCGAGAGTTTCCAGAACCAATCGCCTCTAACATGAATTCCGCGGGATTGGCATCACTGGGACATCGAGCTCCATGTTTTTCAAAGTATGAGCGCAGTATATACGAGTCTTGTCCGATGTCCCCAAAGTAAACACATCTGCCTCCCCTCTTCAATAGCAGAAGCCGGTCAAAATTCTCGAAAAGAAGTGCATTGGGCTGATGTATCGTACACCTGAAAAGAAGAGGTAGAGATCAATCTCAAAGATCTCGGCAGGTCACCTTTTGAAAGAGCTGGGTATGCATCATAAGACTTACAGAATGGTTTGGCCGGCTGCCGCCAACTTTTTCAGGAATCGCACAATGTTGTACGCACTTTGTCCATCCAACCCAGAGGTAGGTTCTAGGTTTTCAAGGTCGGAAATTTAACAAATGCATGGGTCCGATGATCAGAACTCAAGTCGAGCTCTCGAAATTTAGAAACTTCAGAAAACGCACCATCGAGAAAAAGTAACAATTGTGGTTTGGCAGCCAGCTCCACACCAATTGTCACCCGTTTTCTTCCCTCAACTCCCAATCCAAAACCGGGGAATCCAATCATGGCTTGCAAAAGTAACACACGTCCAAGGTAAGCGTAGGTCTGACCAAACAGTCGAACGTAGAATAGCTCACCATCTGCAAAATCTTCAAGTTCTAACAGCTGGATCACCTCCTCGACGTATGCATTTTTGTCTTCAATTGAAACATGTGTAGGCTGTCGCAGATAAGCTGAGAATCTGAAAGCCTCCCGTACTGTCGCAGTTGGCTCGTGTACATCTTGCTGTTCGCAATATCCTGTCCCGCGTCGGAAGTTTGACCCTGGTTCCCGTCCTGATATACATATGTCACCCCCAACTACACCCTACATCACGGAAAAAAGTCAGCGAGACTGAATTCTTCATGATAATGGTCTAGAGTCGGCTCACAGTACTTTTCCGATTGGCCAAGACATCGAGCAAGGTGGTTTTTCCAGCACCTGTAGCGCAATCAAAAAGATACTTGATCAGGGGATATCAGGCATTCTGACTGACTATAGAGTCCACAAACCTGACGCGCCCATCAATGCAGTGAGAGTTCCCGGTTTTACATAACCGTAAATTTCATTCAGAAGTCGATTCGTCCCACCAGGTACCTTTACGTCATATGTCAATGCTTCCCACGTTAGGGGCTTCCGAGTAGTTATAAGCCCAGTCAAATCTTGTTGAGCTGTTCCGTTCCTGAAATCTTGCTTTCTGGATTCCAGTCTCTCATTCAACTTTCTTCGCTCTCCGTTTTCTTGTGAAAACTATCAAGGGAAACGCGTGAGTTTGATTCTCACAATGATCTACAGGTGATTGAATATTGAAGAATTTCACTCACTAAGATCACCGATGGACTTCCTGAGGCTGATGACATGTTATCCATGGCCAAGAAATAAAAGAAAAGAAAAGCAGCAAAGTATGCACACTGTTCCAAATAGTATACAAGGATACACTCCAAACATCAGTCAAGACTCTCGACAAAACTTGGCACTACGAAGTGATGATGTATACCTCGATTCCGACGTTCCTCCAGATGTTTCGGGAATTATAAGAGTATGCAGCGCGGATGTAATGATTTCCGGTTACTGTAGTGAAACCTCGTCGTGAACCAGGAAGGATGCAAACTTGATTGGATCCAAGGAAAGAAGGGTACCCTGGCCCGTTCGGAACTACTGAGTCTCCTTCACAAGGCCTGTCCAGATCCACGCATGAAAAATCAGATATTCGTAGAGGACTAATTTTGTAATTATACTCACATATGAAAACGACCGAACTCGTTGCCCATGAGCGCCTCTGTTTCAAGTTGACACGTTGTAGAATGAAGGAGACAGATATTTTCAGTTACAAATGGTCAAATTCAGTAGATTTAATTTTTATGATACCATCTTACCAAAAGCGTAGCTGATCGGATTGATATACCACAACTGATACCGATGTGATGACGGAAAAGAAACCCTCAGCCTAAATCGCTGATAGTACACATCAAAGAATTTCTTCTTACCCAAAACAACCAAGGCTTCATCTGCTGCCGAGGTATCAAATAACCACTGTAAAGGACCATAGTCATAAACATGATACTGGCCATACGTGCTGCACTATCAAAACTAGACGCGGTTGCCCCCAAGAACCTGAAGAGGGCACTGAGGGAGAGGTAGATGAGATAGATGATGAAATAGAAAGTGAAAAAAGCCGCCGCATTCAAAGCCAGACCTGCCAAGAAGTATAGCTGGAAATCATTCGCAATGAAGTATCAGCATACCGTCTCAGTCGAAACTGATGTTTTATGCGATTAGAATTAATATTGTGACTCAACAATTATACAGAGGGCAAGGATCTTTGGGGCGGAGAATGGGATATCGGACAAAGTAGTGGCTATAGCAAGTGCACCGCCACGATAAAAGCAAAAAGAGGTCTGTCTCCAAATGATTGGCCGACCTACCATCTGGGCCGGAAGTTCCGCCAAGGCTAAAAGAAGACAATGTCGTTATATTAGATTAATTTTCGGTGAAAAAAGCACAAATGTTTTTGCTCACCAATAAACATACTAAATAGCAAAGCCAAAAACATCACTCCTCCCCTGAACAACGACGGATAGAGATCAGTTTGACTGCTTGTGATCCAATTTATCATCAAAGTGCTGACCTAGTGAACGCCCCTTCAGAAGATTTAGGCAAATCAAGAAACACACTCCCAACAACGATCGAGATGAATATTGTGGTGGCCCAGCTCAATATCAAAGCCAATCTATCTTGCAACTTCAGTCTAAATTCTCGAACCATCAAAAACCAAACCTGGCTATAAAATGGAACTATGCAAGGTGACTAGATATGATCGATTCTAATGAGCAATATTCAGCAACAATAAGAGATAGATGATATGACACATACCCGCTTGGAGGTGTATTTATACCGAGAATCCTTTACCTCTTGAAAAAAATCTTCCCTCGCACGTGATTCGCCCTTTACTTGTGCACTGTAGGCTATCATCTCCGCCCGAGTTCGTTGACAAAGATCACTATTGAGATAAGCATGCTCCATCTCCACAGGTGTCTTTGGTATTCTTGCTGGGTCTACACCATCTTCGAACTGTCTCTCATTCGGATCGGTACAGCCAGTAAGATAATCAGCAGTGGTCTGTCGAGGTAGATTCTTGTATCCTAATCCCATCATGTAAGCCCGAGCCTCAGAGGCGGGACCGAAGTAGACTTGGCGACCTTCATTAATGAGGCACACTTTGTCGAATTGTTCATATATGCCTTCACCGGCTTGGTATAATGTTACAAACATGGTCGTCTTGAATATGTTGGTCAAAATCCTAAGCGAACGAGCGTATTGTAGTGCAGTAGATGCGTCAAGACCACGAGTTGAGTTGTCCCAAGATAATACGCAAGCGCGATTAGTCATCATTTCAGCAATTGATACACGCTTCCGCTCTCCACCTGATACTCCACGAAAGAACTCGTTTCCGACGTCTAGATTCCCAGAAGGGCCAATCGAATATTAGACAAAAGGAATAACTTGAACTCAACTGACAAAAGATACGTGCAAAAGGAAGTCATACTGACATGTATCTTTGGTGTGGGAGATGCCCAACATACGAAGCAACAAATCGAGAACTTTTGCTTTGAAAATCTTTTTAGTTTCGTCTGGAAGCCTCTTTGCGGGTGTCTTTGTTGAAAGAGCAAAATCTAGGGTCTGTCCAACTGTAAGAGTAGGATGGTGTACATCATCCTGAATTGGTCCACACCCGATATGAGAACTTCACATATCCAAATAAGAATCCAACGTGGAATGGAAAAGTATTGTGCTCACCTCAGGATTATAAACAACTCTATTTTGGAAGATCGACACATCGTAGGTAAGATATCAATTCGGACACGGAAATTTTTCTTCAAGGCGTTTGGATAGACTCACTCTCCCTTGTAGCGCTTGGCCATCGTTTCGGCCTCTATCCCACCATATTCAACTGTGCCAGTCACATCCACAAAACCGCCTCGTTGGTTGGCAATCACCTTGAGGAAGGTCGAGCAACCTGCGTTAGGCCGACCTAGCACAAGGCACATCTCTCCTGGACGAACGAAACCGTTGAAGCCAGAAAGGATCAACTTCGAAGGAGGTGGCTTCTTAAATCGACTCGTAATCATCGTTATTGGAAGGAAAATATGATCCTTGATAGCATGCAGATATGTACGGATCGGGAGTTTTACACCACCCATACCACTAACAGCGAGATCTGAGAAAATGACGCCAATTGTCTTGAGGCGGAAACCGTGAGACTGCATAGTTTGATATTCACCACGCTGAGGTTTCAAAAAAAACGGCAAAGGAAGTGTCAGAGTCTCTTAGGTGTGACTGAGTGGATCGACATTCTTCAATGTTTAAAATTGAAGTGGAGACAGATCGTTAAGATCAAGGTTCGTACCAGATATGCCAACAAGTCAAAGTCATCGTCAGCTTGAGCTTCCTTGTTGCCGAGAGACAGACTCGGCCGGCGTCCACTGTGAGATGATGTATGATGGGACAGGATTTCAAGTATTTCAATGTGATATCGCAACCGGTACTTCTGGCAATGAGATAAACTTACGTCTCGCCGCGCTCGAGCCTGAGTTGATCAAGTTGGTGCTGAATTTTTATAAGTTCATGCTTGAGTTGAGCGAATTCAGATTCAGCCCAGTTCACAGTCACCACCCCTTCCTCGAAGGTTGCCGGGACCATGCCTGAAGCATGAGTGTCTGCAGACCTGTTTGCTGGGCTCGGTGAGGTCTTTAGAGAAGCGGAGGGCATTATGTACAATCCTTGCCAATTATTTACAGGTGAAAGGGGCGACCAAATGCAGCGCAGAGAACTCGAGCAATCCCTCTTTAATCTTATATAACCTATGCTGAGCGAGACCCAAGCGTGGCAGATATCAGTAAGAAAGTCAAGCCTCATCCGAATTCACAGCTGGAAAGGACTTACAATAGGAGATAAAGGTCGGAGGAAATAAAAAAATAAACACGAGAAAGCGAGTGGAGTGAAGAGTGATCTCTTAGAGGAGGAGACAATATTTATTCAAAATAAGTCTATTCGGGCAGACACGATGTTCCACGAATCCACAGTCAGATACTTGTTCTCATCTATCCAAAAAAAATATCAAAGGCTTAATCCGTACATATTTTGCTGCGTCTCATAGATGATCATCATTTGTTCATGTGTTGTGCATAGTAACTCCTTAAGATCAACCAAATTTGTCATATCCCAGAAGTTGATGCCGACGCCGCTGAATCCAAGCGCAAACTCAACTGCATTGGTGAAGACAAGCCAGAATGGAACTATCTCAGGATTTTACAAGGGCCGACTGGTGAGAGCTTGTAAGTTTTTGTGATGGTCGCCATGGTAGCCACCATCAAGATCGAGTGTTTGAAATTGGTGCAGCATCGCATCGGCGCAGCATCGGAAAAGCAAATGTTCGGTCACCAACACCTTTCAGTTTCACTGAGTAGGATGTTTGAACGGGTTGATGATCACTTTAGAGGGATCGAGTTCGAGTGAGCATCACGCTGATCGTTGCTCAATCAATGTGGCTAGGTTGAACTAGGTTGAACTAATCGACGGATCGTTCTCCTCCACGAGAGATCCATCGAGTCTTTGAAGTTAATACAGACCCAAATGTGTACACGGCTGCAGCCTGCACCGGTGCTCGGGACTGATCAAAATTAACCGGAGGACATTGGGTTATATCGTGCTGCCTGTACCAGTGATCAATCACGCACTTTAGGATGAATGTTCATCGTTTAACAAACTTTTAAAATGCGGCTAGACTATACATACACATGTTCAAAATCCCTCATCCAACGCCCATCCCACTCGTTCACACAAGCGTATACACTAGATAGGCATCAAAAAGTGATTGACTTGAAAAGAATAAATATACAAAAATCGAAGCGAGATGTTTCAAAATAGTTTAAAAGGCAAGGGAAATGAACTGTGACATGACAAGGTGAATAATTAGGCGATTGTAATGATGATCTACACAAATTAGAAGAATGATACTCTTTCCTTTTGCGTTTGGCTTGATGACACTGCTTCAAATCAGAATCTAAGCGAACAAAATGCATAAGGGTCAGTCGTTTTGCATGGGGAATTTTGTTAAATCGAATGTAAGAAAGTACTCACAGCTATCAAGACAATAGCCAGTACTATGATAAAGATAAGCAGCAGGCATAACATCCGTTTCCCTGCTTTGCGTTGATAATCATGAGCCTGATGAAGTTCTACAACAGCGCCTCTCATATCATTGCTGATACTGTGTACATTACTCTCGATGTTATCTACATGAAAAATTCATCAGTATCACACGACGACAGATATTCTGGCCATAACTAGATAAAGAGCAAAGGAATGGGATGAAGTGAAGAGGTGGAGGACTCACCGATATGACCGCCTTGTTCTTGAACGATGGTACCAAGATCTCGAAAGATCTCATTAAGTTCATGAATACCAGTCTCAATTTCCCGAATCTCAGCTTCTCGTTCCTCAATCAGGGCATCCTGGTAATCGAGCTCGTGGTCTGGGATAAGCTCTTCCTGGTTTAGTTGGTGTGACGCATGAAGCTGTTGTTGCTGTTGACCAATCCTGGTCTCTGAGAGCTCCACACTGTCATCATCCGCTGCAATTCTTGTGGGACTCCTGTAAAGATGTAGTAGAATGACCGAATCAATAGGATGATGATATGAAACAGCCGATATAAACCTACGATGGCATGGGTAGTGCTGCATATTTTGCTCGATCAACAAATTCCTTCTGCCGTTCAGCGCTTAGTCTCGAGACTCTTTGGAACGCCTGAATTGCGTTAGCATAATCTCGAGAAACTTTCTGTTGCTCCATTTTCTGGTGTCAAAAGAAGCTCGCACAGCGAGAAGTTTTGAGTCAGCTACCCATTTTTGTGTAACAAATCTGCCCGGAAGCTGAAAGAGAACATTCTGGATACTCACAAGTTGTTCCGGAACTTGCCATACAGCTAGCTCCTTTGCATCAACAGATGAATTCTTGACAAATTCTCGAGTAGATTCAGTCAAATCATGCCTGATTAAGAAAATACCAGTGTCCATTTAAAACAAGCTAATTTGATTAGGTTAGGCATATAACGCCTGGATTGATTCTGAAGAGTAGATATGAATGAAGAAACCAACAATTTTTTCCGAATATCAGCCGTATCTCTTGATGAACCTAACAAGTCGATGAACTTTTGAAGGCCCGAGACGTTGCTATTGATTCGAAAGATGTGAGTTGAGACCTTGGTGGCCAAAGCCTGAAATTTTCGGTCACGCTCTGGATCTTTTTTCAGAATGTTCACATTGGAAGTAAAAGAGAGCTGAGTTGAGCAACTTTTGAATGGTGCATAGGTGTCAGATTAACGGTTCAAACCTTGCGAGAAGGGTGAGTCCCTAGCCAGCGGTGCATGTTCATTGAGGCCACGTTCGAGATCGTTGAAAGACATCGGATAAATGAATTGATGTTCAAGAAGGCTAATATGTGATTATTGTTGAGGATGACCTTGAGATGACTTGAAGGATGAATGAATTGTTGTTGGTAAGGTAATGGATTGGTGTGGTGGTCTGATGTGGTTTACTGCGATGATCACTGGTCATGATGCATTGTCGGTCGATTTTGAGACGCTATGTAGCCGGGGCCACAAACCCGACCCCGTCACACCCTACACAACCAACGCTATGATACATATTTTTTGCATGTAGCACAACTGCTGCATCTGAAAAATATGCCAGATATGGCGTCAAGTCATCATAATTAAACCTTTGACCAAATATTCTTTCTCAGAGTTGGCAGTTGGAGGATATTAGGCAAGAGTCGGTCAAATCTGTTTATCATTCTAGTTTAAACTTTACACTCAACCGCAACTAACACAGGTATCAGCTACCTCCATGCACAGCCTATCTGATTCTCAATACCAAATCAACTTCCATGTGTACACATACTACATGCTTTAAGCTGATATACATTTACTTCCAACGGAAATCCAATGTCTGTGCAATGATTCTAAGAATTGGAATTTATGGGTTTGTCATGTGGTCTATATTAAAAGTGAGAGCCTGTTATTCCTAAACATCTGTTTTCATTCATCCACCTTGTGTGAAAGCTGCATCCACGAAAGCATTTTTGCCAGAAGCTGTGTTCAAAAAAAATTCACGATGAAAAAAAGTATGCATAAAGTTATTGGAGTGCGATGAAGAATGTAGCTCCTGTTGAAAGAAGAATTTGGCCGACCATCAAAGGCAGCTATCCCATAGCATTTTGTGTGGGACTATAGTCTATACCTTTCAGAAGTTTCACCACACATACTTTCAAATATATTTGGTGTTTGAGAGTCGAAAGGCCTGAGGACTGGTGAGTGAGGACCCTGTGAATGACGGGATTGTTTTTGTAAAATACTTAATTAAGGTGTTCTTTCTCAAGTCGAAGAAGGGAGTTTCTGGTAAATAAAATCGTCCGGTCTGACTATGAAGGAATTCCTCACTTCGGACACTCCTCCGCGTCAGAAGAAATGGCTTTCGGGATTATAGAAGTTGAACAAAGTACACATTCAGTAGAGACCTCCTTGTATTCTGGTCAACAAAGATCAAGCAACTGTTCGCAGTGTGAGACAAATATATCAGATAGTCAGATTAAGATGTAAGGAGTGAAAAGTGTGTTGATAATGTCCATCTGGTCACACATTCGAGAAAATTTGGTTATTGGAGATAACAATGTGGTGAGTCTAAAAATGTAATTAAAGAAATTTCGAAGGTAAGATCGGAATTAGGAGAGCTTTCAAATCACTGCACGAGGTTCTCATCATCGATTGAAACCCCGAGATCAAAAGACGTGTGGGAAACTTTTACTAAAGTTTGCAATTTCTTGAAGTTGGGTGTCCCCAGTCCCGTGACCCTGAGGCGACGAAATGCATCAGTGAGATTTTCATAGCGAAGGTAGATGAATATAACTCAACGGATCCCACCCCTCCCGAGCAGCGAATCCTTTCGTGTCACACCCACTGGAACTACCAGATGTGATGTCATTCAGTCCACGAAAGCCCACTGAGTAAAGCCAGGGATTTAAATAGCCAAGAGAGCGACCACCACGAGACAGACTATAGTCGTTCAATAAGCTGATAACTGACGCAAATGTAGGGGCAGATGCAGATGTACCCCCGACTTGAATTTCTCCCAAGATCAGCGTCTGAGGCTATCACTCCGAATGATGCCAAGGGAATCACAAAAAATACAAACCTCTCACGAATCTTCCCTGCCAGGCGATCACATATTTTGCTCCTTGCGCGGAAACGTCTGGATATCCACGACCCGTAACATTGTATAAACCAGAGTGTGTGCTCCCAAGCGATAAAAAGTAGTTCTTCACTACAGATTTTTGCCACTTCGGTCTTGGGAAGTAATTGGCTAGTCGTGTGATATTGTGTGATACATGAAGGATATAAACAAGCAGGGTTGATGCCACTTCAGCTGCCTGCACATGCCATTTTATCACATGGAGAATTGAGATGCCTACAGAATCCACCCCCGCTGCTAAATCCACCAGGGCCCTCCTTGGAAACCGCGACTTCAGGCTCAAAATTCTCCGTAGCCCCCACAGACGTGACGCTGATACGCATTCAATATCAGTCGAAGTAGCCCTTTTTTTCAAATTCTAATGTGCCTCTCGGAGACTCACTAAGGACAACTTGCAGGAAATATAGGTGTAAATGCTTTACGCTCCTGCGATATGACATATACAGATACCGTATTCGATTATGTATTCGTCAAAAAATCAGCCTTGAGAGTAGGTATCAAGTTAAGGAGATACTGACTAAGCCATCATTTGTTACGCAACGGCCATCTTTACCAACACCGTCATCACCAGAAGAAAATATGACCGAGACTCCGCGAGCCCCCAGCTGGGCAAATCCATGACAAACCTTTCGAGCGTATGACAGAGGGACAGTCTGCTCATCGTCACCGTCTGAAGATATATTGTGAAGAAGAAAACATCACCATCAGAAGAAGCACATTCAGCTTGATGGTCAAGTGATTTGAGCAATGCGAGAATCCAGTCTTACAAGAAGTAGAAATTACTCGAGGAATTTCAGAGTTATTCAAGGAAAGGATATATTCTAGCCATGCAAGATAAGGCTCGTTGGTGTTGACAGAGCTCGTACGGTCTGGCTGGAAGGGAGGACTCCCACCAACAGTCCAAAATACATTCGGAGTAGGGGAAGTGAAGCCCAAGACGGTTTGAGTATCTAAGTTGGCCTAGAACGAAATGGAAGAAAGTTCAGTTATGTCATTTGAGGAAGCGTGATTCATTCCTTTTTTTTCGAGCGAATCGATTTTTATACAACATCGCTAGCTTGAAATCCACCGACCTCAATACCAGTTTTTCGAGAAATCTGGTCGGGGCTCAAGGTCTATGGATACTCACAAAGTAAACAAGAAAGTTATTCTCAAATATGAACGCGAGGTCCGATGGCAGTCTTGATCAAAAACATACCTGTGGATTCTCACCACCATTGACTGATACCACCTCAAAAGTATGTCCCTTTTGGTCTGGTCTTTGGAGGGCGAGGAACCTCTGAGTGTCGTTGAAATTTGCAGCCTCGCCCAGAAATCCGGTGATTCCGATACGATTTCCCATTTGGATAGCCTTTGGTTCATAATCAAAGGTCTGGTATAGTTTTCTCAAACAGTCATTTGTGACAACATCAGGATTGGTACAGTTTTTGGTCATTGTTGTGTTGAGGAGAGATGATTCGTCTTGAGATAACTCCTCTGCTACCCTTACCCTACTGCGCTGCTTTTTCAAACGGCCGAACTGCGTAAATCAGATGTAACAGGTCAAGATCAGCGCAATAATGGAGAGGATACGTTCATGGCTTCAAAATCACTCGAGTCTCATAGCTTACCATCGTAGTAGGCTGTCCGAATATAGAATCATGATCAACGTAAGACTGAGTGAAGTAAAAGTGACCCGAGGACGCGGGATGACTCACCTGGACAACGTCAATATGCCTATGCAAGTTATGAGGGAGACTAAAGCTTTCTGTCCGAATAATCTGATCTCCGTCAAGATGCTGAAAGATAGAGTAACTCGTATCTAACATGTATTCGACTTGTGGCAAAGGCACATCTGTCACAGTGACCCAGTCTTTCATTTTACTCCATTGTATTCTATGTCGTTGGATTTCGTGGCTCCTTAACCAGTCCGATACTGTAGCTATCGCGTCGTCATCCGGTTTGCTTAGCTTATTGGACTGATCATCGGTTAAATAATCAAGATAAGAAGAGTGCGAAGGGTCCGAGATCCTTCCGAGGAGCTCATCAATGGCGCCTTCCAATCGAGTCTTCAGCGCAAATCGGAGGTCTATCTTGTGGTCTTGTGGAGGCCGGGCGGAAAGCTTGGTGAAGGTACTCGGCGCTCGATGCGTCTCAAACAAGACCTGCCGTTGATGCCAATAAAACTCCCTTGAAGAATGGACCGCTCTCGCAGTACTCAAACAAGTCAACACAAGCAGGAGTGATAGAGTCCCGACCCAATCCCTCATATTGATATTATATTGATATTATAAAGGTCCGATAAGGAGACAGATGAATGATAGAATACCGGGATTCAATATATGAGTTGAGGTTACTTGGCTTGTAAACTGAGTTGACGGACAAAAAAAATCGGTTCTGGAAAAAATGCCAGGCATACGCTTCGCTTTTTAGGCTAGGAAAATAGCAGCTATAGATAAATGTGGGACAAGTAAATCCGACTAGATGCAAAGACAGCTTTTGATATGCACATTGTGTTGGCATATCATTCTCTCTTAGGCTTTGGGTGCGCCGTAAGTGATCATCCAAGCTTGTGCCCGGTGGTGAGTAGACCTCTACAAGTGAAGCAATATACCCCAATTATGTGCGCTTTGAGAAGGCTGAAGAAAACTTTGTCTATGCTTGAGTGTTAAAAAAGATTGAGCCATGTATGTAGATTCTTTTCGGGCCCCATTCTTTTCCCTGGGCGGCCAGTGATCAATAGCCTGATTCTGGAATTTCATTTGGCAGATTCGACAAAGGAAATGGATGTACACAGCCGATTGTCGTATATTTTGATGAAAGGATTCGATCGCTTGTGTGTTAGATAGTCGCCTTGCAGGAGAGCTTGTTGATCTCAGAGCCGAATTCATTATCTCCATATTGATATGAAGAGGATATGGCGCATTCATTTCTGAGATTCAAATTCTGCGTCCGAAGGGTGGTCTCGATAGGTCTCGTTTGAGCACGATGTGCGAGGTGTTTGACCAGAGACCATTGAACATCGACACAAGTGACTGACAAGGTCAATGAATATAGATAGTGACTGGATATATAAATTCAATACCAACATTAGCCAATCTTTTTGGTAAGCTGATCAAGGTTCAAGGCAATTAGGGCACCCAGAAACGCTGGACTCATATGATATTTTACTGCTGAAATTACATTTTGGATACCAATTGATTCAGAATATTTGGCCTTTGATGCTTCACTGATAGAATGGATGGCTTCTTTTATACTCTGTTCCATGTCCTTTTCAAGCCTTTCAAAGAACATGTGGACATGTTGTGAAAAGTTTATATTTTCATACACCACAGATCTGCCAATTCTTGCAAGATAACTTGCGGGTCTGCCACTGATCTATTTTGTTTTATCACATCCTGCTCAGAAATATATGGGATCATGGAGCATGAGAAGCTGAAACTTGGCAATGGGGCCTTAATTTACACTTAAGCTTAGCTAAGTCTGGGGGTGTGGATGGTCTTCCCTTGGAGCTCTCCTTGGAAGAAAATTGTAAATAGAAATGGATGTGTTGAGAATTTGATATTGTTTTGAGGGGGCATAAAGACAGTTTTTCTTCCCCAATTCAAAATTGGATTCCCTATCAGGCTGGGTTGAATAGGGAATTTCTTTTCAATATTCAACATGTAGATTGGTAGATTGGAAGGGGTTGAGAAGTTGATTGGATCATTTTTAATGAAAGTTTACCAAGTTTATTTTGATCAAGATCAAAGATCTCAACCAGGTACTTTTGAAGATTGAACCTGCCATTAGAAACTAGATCTTTGATCAAGACCTCTTTTGGACTTCCTTGAGGTATTATACTCAACCCCCCAAAAAATCAATAACCACAGCTTTCTTCACTCTTTCAATTGCTAAACTGACCTGATATGGGCAATAGGGAGTGTTTGATGAAGACCAAAGTTTTGAGTAGACATTGTTGTCTATCTTTCCAGATAAATCATCTATCTGCCTTGGAACCATGAGATTGTGCCATATTGCTAGAGTTCCTTTTAATATGAGTACACTTGCTGTAATTCTGGATTGGCGGTGGGAATAATGAAGCTTTTCTTTTGCCCCTTCAATTGTGATCAAGTTTTATGAACCTTGAACTTTTGATTTTGTGTATGTCCGTACTTTAGGACAACATGCACCGTGTTGAGCACAAAAGGATTTGCCTAGTTACTCTTTTTGCAGATGTTGTGAGCAAGGTGCAGCCATGACCAGAATTTGATACTGCAAGATCAAGCTGATTTTGTTCAGCAAACAATCCCAAGCTTGATTCCTCGTGGATTTTCTTGCATTTGGAGTTCAAAGCTTCTTTTTCTTGGGAGGTTGTTATCACAAGTATTCTTTTTTAGATTTTGTAAGCTCCATGATATCTCCTGATTTCTGGTTAAAGGATGGTGAGGATCTCATGAGAGATTTGGTTCCATTGATTGAGAGATATTCCAGCACTTCAACATCCGCATCCTACATTAGTGCATCCTCAATATCTTCCAGTCAACTCTGCAAAGCTTGACCAAACTATCGCGTCGAAGCACGGGACTTTGGGGATAAACTTGGGCAAGCTTTGCAGCAAGACCAGAAACGAGAGAGCTAGTAGACTCGTTCGAGTACAACCATTCGGATGGGCACTGTGATGGTACCAGCCATAGTTTTCCGCAAGTGATACTGAGCCTAGCTCCCAGTTTGTAGCCATACAAAGCATACGACCCCAATCTTCAAAGTGAGTCCCCGTTTCTCCAATGATAAACAATCCATCAGGGAGGAAGTATTTGATGGTTTCGAATTGAAGTCGATTTCGGTATATTTGCTCACATTTTCTCTTTTCATGTTCATTGGCTAAACTTTTTTCAAGTAAAAATCGAGGTACAGCTTCAGCAACACATCCCTTACAATCACCCTTAATAGCGATCGGTTTCCATGAAAATATGTTCTTTTGTTTCAGGTTATTCAACTTCAAAATATAGCATGTGACATTACCGGACAAAGGTAGACAAGACAAGAAACAGTCTGTCTGACCCGTTTAGCAATGCGACTTTTTCAAGTTTCGAGATGGCGAGAAGACCACGCAAATTTGCAAAATGATCTTATCTCACTCGTGACTCAGCAATCCATCTCTGGTCTCCAGCCAAACCAAACCTGATGATTCAATTATACAGTATAACATAATATTAACTCTATCAACGCAACACCCCATCAAACTGGCGTTCACCTACTGTACCAATCACCGTTCGCAAATTTGAAGTAAGAACCCCGTCTTTCCTTGAAGCTCGTCCTGAATCAAATACCAACATCTGGGCACAATAGATGAAGGTATGAAAAGATCTAAAGCTGAAATTTTCTGCATATTGTTGTCCGAATGTGATTGCAAAGTTTTCAAACTAGTTTTCTTGAAAATTTCAATATTTGATCAAGTATGACTGATTTGGATTACCTACATATTTTACTTTGATACAGATTGGTTCAATGGTCAATGGAAATTTGAGAAGAATCATTTTACTAAGCTTAATGTCGGGGATTGCAGTCAAACCAACAATTTGTGACTTGTTAAGTGATACAGAGAGACTTGAACTCATAGGCTTCTCCGACACTAGAAGATTGCGCACGAGTCTTGAAGACGACGACAAAGATCCGGCGTCTGAAAAGATTGACTGCGCACAGGTGACATGTGACTCCGTGGATAGTGAAGTATGCGAGAACCAGGGTTGCTGGAAAGGCTGTCTTGCACATTTAGGTCATTGTAGCGCCGCAGGGATGTAATGTTTGAGTGGAAAGGTGGATCTTTTATTGTATTTCTCGAATGCTTTTATTTATACCATCCTATCCATACTCAAGTTGTCTCTCCTGTGCCAGAGTTCCTTTTGGTCTCTACTTCTGCAAGGTCTTACTGTTATTTATTCTCCATGTTCTTTTGCAAGTTTTTGTATAGTCGATTCTCACAGAGCTTGGTATTGGGAACCTGTTCAGTTCCTTTATAAATTTCATAGAAACTAATATTGTTATCAGGCTTTATCCAATTTTGTTTCTGAGAGGGGCTCTCTGAGTTCTTGAATCAGTCTTAATCAAAAAAATGATGACATTCATAAGATCTCTTTCAAATGATGTATTTCTGTCTCCTATTGTAAATATAATCATCTTCCATCCTATTTTTTTTGTTCTAAAATCTCGTGTCAAATTACACCATGGGAGGCTTCTGTGCCAGCAATCAGTCGAGCTCGGCCTGAAACCGGCCGGGCCAGCACCCGGTCCTCAGACTGCCCCTCGCCGGCCTCCTTCACGGTCTGTAGACAGCCGTTCATGCAGGCGCTTTTCCAGCCGCCGTGCGGCCACATCCGGGCTGCCTGCAGGCCTCGCAGGATATTGTACGAAGCAACACCGCCTGAAAACCGCCCAAGCCCAGGATCTTGAGTCCTCCGTTCTTTGGCAAAACTCCGGACGAACCACACCCTTCACCCATCATCATGCCCACCGATCCTTGTCAGTTTACTCACAGACTTCAATGATTGTCCCCCAGCTGATCTGATCAACAATCCAGACATCGAATCCGTCTCGAAAGACCCCGCCAACCCCAGGTTTCGATGCAATGCTTGCAACACCCGCGGAATGGCCAATTATGAACATCACATCAAGTCCGCTGCTCACCAACTCAAGGTTGCGAGGTTTGTCAACCGCCTGGCCGACGAAGAGCAGATGCTCGTCGGGTTATCTGGGCAACTGCCGATAGAAACGGATACACCAGTGACCCCTCTGATGGAGACAACCTTTGAACCCGATCCCCAAATTGGAGATAACATTCGACCTCCTTCTCCTCTCACTCGCCTTCTGTCACTGGACGCATCCGACTTTCTTGGAACGAGTTTTGATACAGACAACTGGAATGACACCGATGCCCATATTGGTTTCGATAGGCTGCGTCAAGCCCTGGAGACCCTTGATAACCTCGAGTTTGACGACGACGACAACGACGTTCCTGAAGACGAGGAACCTCATGATCCCAATCTTGCGCGTGCTCGAGCACGCGAAGCCATTGAATGGCATCCATTTAAAAACAAAGAGGTTAGTGAGAGCTTCGCGCGTTTGCTGGCCCTAGAGACTGACACATCCGTCTTCTCTCAGCAGGTCGCAGGATTGTTAATCATCGGGTCACCTCGACATCTCATCTCGCGCGCACAGTACCAGATCATACGTTCTATCATACGTATATGTAATGTCTATCTCCCTGAATGGGGAACGCTCAGGGCCCTCAAAGAACGACTCCGGTCAAGGCTGGACATGTCATTGTCTGAATGATTTAGTCCCTCCGGAATACCTTTGTTTGGCTTAACGGTGAAGTCGATAATCACAAACGTAAGTCCCTTTGATCATTATTGACTTGATGGGATCAATCGTAATTGCCTGGTTTTTCATCCCAGGAGTTGGCCAACCCAATTGTAAGCCCTCACCTGGTGTTCGTACCTGAGCTACCGCAAAACGAGAAAATCACCCAACTCTCTCAATCGACCAAATGGCGGGAGTGTTACTCCCCTGACCTTCGTGTTCAAATGGTCGTCGCAAACTCTCATCATTTCTATATATACGAACTAGTGGAGCTCCAAACCGGCGAGCTGGTTGTGCCCGTGTTCTTCTTCCAACACGAGAAAAAAACGAAAGCCAAGTGCCTTCGGGCAACAATTCAAAACAATATAAGTAACCCGGACCATCTTAACATTATCATACCTCAAGAACCTCCGTTCAACTCAGACGAGTTGTACACCTTCGACGTAGAACTCTTTGGGAAAACCTTCAACGAGATTACCCTGGAAAATGGTCAGCATCTAAGAGATCTTTGTGGTTCAAACATGTATCGTAGGTCTCCGAACAGAATTGTTTACAGTGATGTTTCTGGTTGCTGACATTATATATTGCTATGTCTGGTGCTTGTAGAGCATCATCAAGTGGGCGTGGTGACTCAACCCCTTCAAAACCCATGGCGAGCCAAAGCAGGAGGCAAAGTCATCCGGCATGTACCTATCACACTATACTCAGACGATACATCGGGGAATGTTTCCAAAAAATGGAACAAACACATGAGTTTGTACTTCACCCTCTCTGGACTGGCCCCGGAATGGACCAATCAACAGTTCCATATCCACTTTTTGGCGACTTCGAATTCGGCTTCAGCACTGGAGTTACTTGACGAAGTGGTGGATGATGTGAAGTAAGCACATGTCCTTCCCTTTCGTTATCCACATGTTACCCTTTAGTGTCATGCACGCTGACTTGGTGTGGCCTTTCACAGTGATCATGCCGAAAACGGCTTTGTCGCATATGATCACATGCTGAAGCAAGATGTGTTGGTTATGGTGGTGGTTCTGTGTCATTTGGGGGATGCCCCCATGCATGCAGAGATCTGCAACACGACAAATCCGGCAAATACATTAACACCATGCAGGATGTGTGACCTTCGCGTGGACCGCAAAATTGATAAAGAACAACCGCAGTTTGTGCGCGATTTCTTGGGCCGGAATGAGCGTGGGGAAAAGGTGAGTGCTCTTCTGTTGCCCTGACGAGCGGTCTGTTCTGACCATGACGTACAGATCTCTCTGCCGACGCGACAGTTGTCAACCTTTGACTACTAACTGGTAAATAGAAAGTGAGAAAAGGTTAAATGAATGCTCACGAAATGTATGTTCAAGCCAAGCTTTTGAACTTATTTTTCGGTTCTTTGTGAAAGTGATCAACAGCCAGTCTTTGAATATCTAGAGTAGGGTAAATTGGTACCAAAGTGGATACTTTCGTAAACTAGCTTTGGCTTTGCTTCAGCAAAAAAGTGATGAACACTAGTTCGATCACCGATTTATGTTAGAAGTATACGGTCGAATAGCTCTGACTAAACGATCTTCGTATATCTTCGAAAGAAAGATAGGAAAAAAAAAGAGAAGATGACAAAAGAAAAGGATACGAGGATTACTGAGCGAAGTGTTTTAAAGGATCTAAGATAAGATGTCTGAAATAACAGTTTCTAAGTAAATTCGTAGGAAGATTTGGAAAGTGGGGCTGTTCAATTTCTATTCTAACTAAGTGTTTTACTTTGAGAGAATAAAGTTTTTGTTTAAAGGTTCTAGATGATAAATCGGATGATCCTCCTTCTCTCTGTTCTTAGAGAGATCTTATTTATATATCTGTTTTTCTTGGTTAAAGAACTTTTGGTTCGGAGTCTGATTGACTTGGCGTTTCGAACGTAATTGGGTTAATTATAAATTTTAACCAAAGTGGTTGGTTTCTATCCCTGGTTTTCTCGATAAGGGTTCTTCTCTAAATCCCTGGATTAGCCTAGGTATCGATCTGGGCTAATTCGGGATATTCCTTTTTTCGTTTTGGTTCACAACCATTTTATAAACTAAATTTGTGAATCTATTCGTTATTAGGTCTTTCTTAATTGGTGCACTCTTGAAACATGAGTGGTAGAGTTGTGTATGAAATAAATAAATATTTTGTTTAAAATAAGGGTTCAACCCTTACTGAGTTTTGTGTTCGTGATCTTTGTCAATGCGATAGAAGTTCTGCTCCGCAGAACTTCTTACTGGTGACAACAGTGGCATATGACCCTGGCACGCACTCGAGAGCTTTGGGCTCTGGCGCAAAAGCGCAACACAAAAACGCTGGTCGAAGACAAGGCACGAGTTTATGGACTGCGAGACCCTTTCAATGATTACTTCGTCAAAAAGGTACATGTAGCTCTCGAAAAACTTACTCAGAATGAGTATGACACGCTATGCCAAGAGCTCAATGAGGAAAAAGGCCTCAAGTTATTTAACCCCATGCTAAGACTGAAAGGTGAGTGTTACATTGTTTTATCACGCCCAGTTCCCGAACGTCTTCATCTTCGGATGTTCATGTTTTGCTTTTGTTGTGATGTTACCAAAGGTTTCAACGGGCACTTAGACACCCCTGTCGAAGTGCTTCACGTCGTTTTGCTGGGCATCACGAAATATCTCTTCCGTGACCTGATGAAGGGTTTGACACCCATGAAGGTAGGTTCAGATAAATTTAACAACATCACGGCCCGTTGGCGATCTTTCAGTCCCCGAGGTTTAAATATACCTCCAGTTCAGCCCTTAAATCTCATCCAATACTACCAGAGCTTGGTTGGCAAGGACTTTTGCACCGTCCTACAGACAGTGCCATTCGTCTTGTTTCATTATATGACCAAAGATCAGCATCACCTATGGCTATCTCTATGTTTGTTAGGCTCGTATATATTCCAAACAGAAATCACCAACATGGAAGTTTACCTTGCCGAGTTGGACAATCATATCTCTTCCTTTCTTCATTAACTCACGAGCATCACCGCACAATGGTGTAATAAACCAAAATTTCACATGCTCCTGCACCTTCAAGAATCAATACGTCGATTTGGACCTGCTTGTTTGTTTGCCACAGAAAAAATGGAATCTTATAACGGGAACCTTTGAGATGCTTCAGTACACACTAATCACCAGAGCCCGAGTCGTGATATAGGCAACTCATTCATTACCGAGGCAATGTTGCGCATGATAATCTCCGGTTCGTCTTTCTTCGACAAGGATCTGCAGGCTCGAGTTACTGGGGGCCCTCGCGTGGTTGAGCTATTCACCAGAATACCTGAATTAAAGCGGGCAATGGGACTGAATGAAATTCCGAAACGGGAATCTCTCATGAAATCTGGACGTGAGTGGCCGTGCGTTTGCATTTTGGCGTTTTTGTAAGGTTTCTAATTGGAAACCGTTTAATTCTTAGGCCTGGTCAAAGGCTTAGTCACGTGTCCACCGATCTTACAGGCTCAAAATGCTGAGGCTCCGTGGCAATGCCTCGAAAGCGTCACCTTGGCCTGTGGGCAAACGGTGCGCCCACATGATTTTGTGTTGGTATGTACTGGGCACGCGTTTGGTTGAAGAGTTTCATGGTCACAAATGCTGACCATAAACTTCTTTGAAGCTATGCACAAACTCAACCCTGGCCCAAATCCAAAGTATTTGGATTCCCGAAGGGAAGGCCGCGGCCAAGACCGTTCTGGTTATGAAACAGTGTAACAAAGGACGCCTGGTACCGTTCTATGGGATGCGAGAGATACGTAAGACGGATCATGAATTCGCAAGGGGTGTGAAGGTACGCGCAATCGCCCATCTATTTATTTGTTGATACACCATAAACATGAATAACCTGGTCTTCATGTTAATTCGGTTAATACCCTTAGGAGGTCGACATGGTTTTAAACGTTCAGCACAATTGCCACAAAGGCAAATGCGCTATCACCATGAACCAAACGAAACGCATTGAACGGAAGATATGTGACGTGCTTGTTTCCGGAATGAGTCATGCTGACTCAACATCGTACATTTTGAACTCAGCGGCTCAGTACTCGGGAGAAACCCATCGTCGCATAGCTGAGGTCACGGTGGCACCAGTCACCCCGGAGTTATGGAACGAAGGAATAACTGAAGGCGTGAAGGTCTGGAAGGAGGCAACCCGGAAGAAGCAAAAACCCTCAAACGAATCTCATGATCCAATCTTGTCATGAATTGGATCTTGTGTGGGACTCACACACACCATTTGTTTTTAAATTGGTTTTGTTTTTCACTAGAAGAGATAATGATCTCTGTGACCGATGACGAGCAAGAACAAACCTGAGAGGAATCTAGTAAGTTACTAGAAGAGATAATGATCTCTGTGACCGATGACGAGCAAGAACAAACCTGCTCGAAGTGATGAGTGAAAATCGGTAAGATATTTATTAAACAGCACGAGTACAAAAGGTAAGTGAAAGATAATAACCTGAGAGGAATCTAGTAAGTTACTAGAAGAGATAATGATCTCTGTGACCGATGACGAGCAAGAACAAACCTGCTCGAAGTGATGAGTGAAAATCGGTAAGGAAAAAGAGAAATACAATGAGCCAGAAAGGACCTCTTTATATACCGCACACATCACGTACAAGGACACAGTCACAGCAAATGATGTAAGAATGATATCATCAAATATGAGACGAGATAACAATCATTAGAGACGAATAAGTAATATGAAAAAGGATTTAAATATAAGATAAGATAACCCAAAGTAACATCATCGTCTACGACTTCAATTACTCACACACACCATTTGTTTTTAAATTGGTTTTGTTTTTCACGGGAAGCCGCTCGTTCTATGTTATTTTTTTCTGATTCACACGATGTTATGAGATTAATGGTCTAAAGAGGTCCAAAATAATTCAAAGTCCCTCCTTCCCACTGAAGGAAACCCCCGCCGATTTAACCAGTGAATCTGCCTTCGCCTCGTTCCAAACGTCCCGTCGCTTCAAGCATAAATGGCAGAGGCATCAGTTTGTTTCAAAAGCGCCGAAGGTCGCGCGTGTCACTTACCATAAGGATCAAAGTGACGACGCAGGCAAGTGATTGCGGCACGCGCCTTGCTAGCATCACATATGATTGTTTCATGATCAGGATGAATTGTGCGACGAATCACATCGAGGGCCAAGCGGTCTATGACTAAGTTCACCGCTGATGCAACTATTGGCCGAGTGATATCCAGATAATCCTCCACCCCGGTTAGCCACTCAATGGCATCTTCCGTGGTGTCAAGCCATAACACCCAGTTGGACGCATCTTCCTCTAAAGGATCCACCGCTCGCAGAACGGTCGGTATCTCTTCCATTTTCAGAAATAAATCGCGGACGGCTTCGTATTCGGCCCTTTGGAAATCGCGAATCGCATTCATCACGCCTTGAATTGACATCGTGCCTAACCCCCAATAAGGAACCAGTGGTCGCGACGATGGCGAGGTCAGCTATTGTCTTTTGGACTCCTTTGGCTGAAAAACAACTAACCTAAACTCCTGAGCAAGATGATCGATAGGCGGTATTGGTGATAGGATGCAAAGGGGACTGAAAATGCACATGCAAAGAACGTGCCTCAGTCGAAGCCGTTAATGGAGCGACACGCGATAGCAACCTCCGTCCATAACAGGCCTGCCAATTGCCTTTGCGAATGGCCTTGCGGCGGCGCCACTGTACGGTAGGGCCAATTCAAATCGACGTTTTGGGACAATTCGGCTCCCAAATGGGCAAAGTCAAGTGGACAAGGTCAGTCTCCTTGAAACGGTCTGATTGCGAGCCCCCAACTAACACCATGTCTCTCTTTGGCATCAATGGTCATCTGGCCCACTCACAGTTTGATTTGACCTCTGAACTTCATAAGGCCTCACCCGAGGCCCCCATCATATTTCAACGTCCTATAAACCCAAACCAATTTTCCTTTACATCTTGATTTCCATCACGGCGATGTCTTTGAATGTGCACCGATCAATTGGTCTGTCATCCCCTCGCTTGTTTATTTGGTTCAGAAGGACATCTGACCCCGATCATCACAACCTGCAGGCAACCTCTCCCAGGAGTCCAGTGGATCGCCAGCTGGCTCAAATACCACTCGCACGCCGGCAAATCCCAGTTCAATCCGATCACTCCACAACATGCTCTCCTTACGGAGCCATTCTGGTTTGTTTCAGTCTGATTACCTAAATTGATTGACACGACATTCACCATTTTGTAACTCGCCCACCTCTCCCACTTGCTAGGTGGTTGACCGAATCTTGTCTCTGCTAGAAGCAGAAATGATCGTTCCCAATTTCCAGGCGCCCGAAAGTCCGGATCCGGCTCTTCTAACCTCACTGAGTTTGACCGACCCGATCGGGATGACAGTGCTCACATGGTGGACACAGACGAACAGAGACCAGCCAGGCCACTCCGCGCAAACGAGATGATCTTTTTCAAAGATGCAGTGACGGATAGCGGCATCAATGAACTCCACCGACTCCAGGCGCTCGCCCTTGCCGAGGTAATTTATCTCTTATGAGACCCCAATGATGGCACGGATGCTGAAGACCAGCTCCTCAGGCCCAAGGCCCTTTCCGACAGGTCCTGATAAGTGTAGCGCACGCGCAACATACCTTTCAGCTCTCCCAGATGTCTGAGAACATCTTGTCGTCTTCGCGCAAGGTTGATGGGGTCATTAATCACCTCGAGGACGCGCTCAATTCATTCTTGAACAAGGTCGAAGGTGTCATGAATAAGCTTGAAGACGTGATGGAGAAAGTCGAACGCATCTCGGACAAGGTTGACGGGATTGCCGATCACATTGATACTCTCACTGAGCTCGTTCAGTCCAACCCGAATGCCGCGACCCATGCGACTGGCAATGGACATGTTGACGCCGATGACGCGACATCTACTGGCAGTGTGTGGGTCTGCGCGACGGAACTGCGGGTACGTCACCAACATCTAGACTGGTTACTTTCCTTCATCATACACCTGCTAACCCCAAAAGTTTTCAGGGCAAAATATCCACCCAAGCTTACCGGTTCATCAATAAGGCCACCCTGGATTCCTACACCGCCTTGGAAACCCCAGGACGAGTTTGGCTAGCTAACTCGCTCTACAATAGCATCAAGGTGAATTGATCCTTGAACCCATCCCTCCCGCACGTGGCTCATTATATTTCACTTCTGAATGACTAGAGTGCCGTGCGTCAAATCGCGGCAGTTGAACCACTGCTGCCGCGACAAGTCAACGGCGTTACCTCCGTCCTTGCGGCAAGGGCTTACGATTCTGAAGTCAAGAACGTGTGCAAGCACGTCCGCGAGAAGCTTCACCTGCTGGTGCGTTCTATTTTGGTGTCTTGATTAGGAAATAACCCTACACACACTTATGACCATTTGGCACAGCTATTGACTGGGGTATATGATCCGAAAAACGCTGTGGTCCACGGCGCTGTGCCAACTCTGAAGTCACTGGTGCATAAGGTTAGTCTCTTCATGTTTTGAGATTGTGCATCTCCGTAGTCACCCTTGCTAACGTGCCATTCTCCAGATTGCCATTAAATTTAGACAAGTGGCGGACCATGTTCCGATCGAGACCGTTTGGGCCAGCACCAGCGAACCTGAACGTGTTCGAATGGCTTATCTTGTGGGTTATAATCTCATCATTAGCGTGTATTAAACTTCCTCTGATGTTTGGTTCATTTTGAACGCTCACAGCGTCGAGAGGCCCTTCACATTTTCCAAATCGGGAGGGGGTCGAGCTCGATCTGGGCGGAGGTTGACCGGCAGCTTGATGTTCTACGAGTCTGTGGGCGTGATTATGCAGCATCGTGAGTATTTAGTACCTGATCATGATGCTCAATGTTCACGCACTGATGCAATAATATCTTTCAGATTTTATAACATCATATATGACGATGACTGTAGCGCGTTCGATGGCAGAAACACTTATACTGATATAGCCGAAAATGTTTCCTTCCGTTTACCATTTGAGGAGGACATCGTCGCGGGCATTGTGGTCACAGGGGGCGTCGTCACAAACGCCTAAAGCACTGGCACCAACATCATCCGTCAAGCGCTATCACAGTGCCACCATTGGCATTGCATTTTCCGCCATTTTTGATTCAACTTGTGTGCTCAGATAGTGTTTTTCTTTACTCAAAATTCACATGCTTGCCCCGCCAATGAAAAAGATTATATGTTTTATGTGCTCGACTGGTGCGGCGTTCTGATTTTGCCATGCTGTCCCCAGAAGGCGTGCTGGCTTCCACCTATATGTGCAGCCGCGCTCGTGCGTGCTTTGGTAGGTCGCTGCGGTGCGCCCAGCTGAAAACCTGCGTTGACCGCCTTTGGGCCACCCTAAGTTCATCTGCAGTCGGCTAGACCGCCGCCTGGGTCCCGCCTGACCAGGCGGCCTGCGGCCCGGCTAGCCATGGTCTATCTGCAGACCGCCCCCCTGTGCGTACGCGCGGGCCGCCTGCCAACCGCCGGGCAACTTGGTCCACGGGCGGTCTGGGCCCTCCTGGGGTGTAGGCTCACATCTATATGTTTGCTTTTGTCAAAAAAAAGCATTTATGGCGTTCAAACATGCGCGAGAAATTTGCAAGTTGTGAGAAAGTTCTGTGCAAGTTCTTTTAAACATCTTGCATAGAACTTCCACAAAACTTGCAGACTTAAGAAAGTTATGTGTGAACCTAGGCTTCCCCGCTTTGAGGACTCAGTTTGCCCTTGATGAGATACATACAGCAGGGGGTTGTGAAAAAATTAATTAAGCAAGATCCGTGCAAGATTTCTTGCACGGATCTTGCACGGATCTTGCACATCGGTTTTGCAAATTTCTTGCACATGTTTGAACGCCATAATTGTTCAAACCTCTATTCAGTCTCAGATCAGTTCTTTTTTTGGTTTGTTATTGAAAAGGCGTGCCTGGCATGCCCCAGTCCCGAGAGCCACGCGCTTTGTTAAGGGTGGTGTTATGTTTAAGCTGCACTGTTATAGTTATGCGATACAGATCACGTGATGGGCTCTGAGGTGAAAGGTGATCTGAAAATTTTGGAGTCTCGTGCAATTGGCTTCACCACATTCTTCAAACAACTTGCTCGTCAATCATCAAAAGTACACAAACATTGATGGCCAACTCAGGCTCAGGTTCGAAAGCCAACATCAAGGCCGTCATCTTTGACATGGTAAGTCTCTAGCTGATCTTCTCCAGACCTAATTCCAGAAAGTTTAAACTGACATTCATAATTTTTTTTCAGGACGGCTTACTGATAGATTCTGAGGTCAAGATTCTATGGACCTAAACAAACCCCGAAATCTGTGAAACTTAACCCATAAATTTTTGTTAACAACAGACCATTTATACCACCATCACTAACGAGATCCTAGGACCATTCAATAAACAACTTACTTGGGAAATCAAAGCTTCTTTAATGGGTAGACCAGCATTTGAATCGGCTGCTTTACTTGTTAAAAAGACAGACATACCGATCTCAGGAGAAGAGTTTACATCTAAAATGAAATCTCGTCAACTTGAAATGTTTCCGAATGTTAAACCGATGCCAGGTGCTGAGCGACTTGTTGAAAATCTTCACAAAAATGGAATACCCATGGCGGTATGTACACATAGTCACTATTGATTGATAGATTTCAGTGATCTTGAATTTTACTTGATGAAACCATTGCTTTCTCATTCAGATCGCCACTGGATCAATTCGTCAAAACTTTGATCTCAAAACCTCTAATCTAAAGAACTTATTTGCCAAGTTTGGTCAAAACGTAATATGTGGAGACTCACCTGAGATGAAACGAGGAAAACCAGATCCAGATCCATTCCTTTTGGCTGCCAAGAAGTTCCTCGGCTTAGAAATCTCACCAGACCATCAAGGCAACTTTAATCCTTTGAATCAAACTCAACTTGATCAATTAAAAGGTTTACGTCCAGATGAGATCTTAGTCTTTGAAGATGGTATACCAGGAGTTCGAGCAGCTAAAGCAGCTGGTATGCGAGTGATTTGGGTACCTGATCCAGAACTTAAGAAACTACAACTTTCTCAAGGTATGGAAGTAGTTGAAGCTGATGAAGTCCTTGACTCTCTTGAAGAGTGGGATGGGGCAAAATGGGGCTTACCACCTCTATAGTAAGATGGTCAGGACGATTCAAGCAGATATCTCAGCGATCTTGGGTGCGAACTTTCCGAAGCATACCCTTTTGTATCTTGCCCCTGGTCTGATATATAGTATCTTGATGTCAATTCATGTATGTGTCCTCTGACTCTCAATGAAATGGTCAAATTGAGAAGAACACTGCCCAACACCCTGAAATGGTTTTTGAGGGATCTTTGACCACCAATTCATTCCTACATTAGCCCAATGAGTCATATCCAATCACCATTATGACCTCTCCATCACATCCCAAGTACATGGTACATGAAGGAACCCAAGCAGAGTCAAACCCTTCAAATCATGTAGTCTGTATGCGGAATTTGACAGAACTTTCATAGAATCATTGAAGCACAGCAAAAGGGTTTTCAACTTGCTGACCAGAAATGACAAAAGAGCTCTAGAAGTAAGATATAGTGAAGCATCATTGCATACTTTTCTGAATATTAGCCTCTAAACATGTACACAGTCTCTGTCCTTTTGAAGTGGCGAAAACCAGGCTTTGAACTGCAAAGCTCAGGATTGATTTTGATATTTCTTCAGGCTTACCAGACATGGCAGAGAGGTGTAGAAGCATTATAACTCGGCACGAGGATGTCGAAAGGTGATTGAGATTGATCAATGCAAACACTTGTTAGAATGCTTGAGACTGTCGGTCACCAGTGGGTAAGCACCGGCTGGACTGTGTTTATTGTGGTGATGTCACTCTGCGGCCCAAGATGACTGGCAGGCTCACAAGGTCAGGAGCCAGACCTGGCTTTATGCAAGGCATACTTACGCCATGTGACTAATGCTCAAGAATTACACAGTTCTCGTCGGTCATTGGAGGCTTCACTGGACAAGTGTGTATAGCCATCGGTAAAGCAAGCATAACAGAGGTCACAAAGTCTGCGCGCGTGACTTGGTGAGACACGCAAGCTGATTGGATCAATGAACAGGTCATTATCGTGAAGGGAAAAGGTAAATCAAAAGAATAAATTGCTACTCAGTCTAAATCGAATTCAACGGGTGGAAAGAAATGAAACTTGACACGACTCAGTACCATCAACAACGCAAGTGAGGAGAAGTGATCTCAATAACAAGTTCCTGGTGAAATTTTGATTACCAAGCAGAATCGAAACAAAGGGTCCATTGTTTATTCACTTCCAGGAACAAAATTATAAGAGAAGATCAAACAGAATAAAAATCAATTACAACGAGGATGTATCCAAGTAGCATCAGATCACATCCGCTCCAAGTAAAGAGATGACTGCGAGTTCTCAAAACATGAAGCGAAGCGGCACACTAGGAGACAGCAAGTTGAAGGTAAAATCCAACTTCTCATGCAAAGACAGCGACGGCAGCAGCAACGGCAACAGCCATGATTCCAGCACTGCGGAGTCAATAGGAAAGTATTAGCTGTAGAGATATAGCAGTGATAGATAGTAGACACAAAAGTTCACGTACGCGGAGCGGGAGGCTTCACTCTTAGCATCAGTGCTGGCTGAAGAACCAGTGGTGTTAGTGCCAGCAACAGGCGTAGTTGTGCCAGGAGAGGTCTTGGGTGTGGTGCTAGTAGTGTTAGTGGTCGATGAGCCTCCAGTGGTTGATCCGGTGGTTGATCCGGTGGTTGATCCAGTGGTTGGGGTGGTTGGGGTGGTTGGGGTAGTCGGGCTAGTGGAAGAGCTGCGTGAGCATACACAAGCATACAAAAGCAAACAGAGATAAGAAAACGTAGAAGACCTGAAAGTCTTGAGCTGGAATTACTCACGGAGCCGAAGCAGTCCCCGTCGTAACGGGGGAAGTAGCAGTGCCAGTACCAGTACCGGAGGTACAGGTAACTCCAGAGGGAGCTTTCTGGACGGTAAACTTATCAGAGTAGTTCAAGACACCAGCACTGTCACGGATTTGGACCGTAACGTCAGTGTTGGCAGGTAAATCGGCTTTCCTAAAAAGGTCATATAGCAACAAGGCAAGTCAGAAAGGATCTCAAAAGGCGTGATGCAAAGATATCGACTACGAACCATGAGAAGCTGGTACCAGTTTGTTGACCGAGGTCTTCAAGAGGAGTACCAGTTGGTTGGCCACCAGGGATAAGTGACAAAAAGTAAGGAGCTTGACCACCAGACCACTGTGGAACAAACAGCAGAGTTAATAGTGTATTCCAAGTACAACGAGAGATTCAAGTAGGGAGAGCTACTTACACTGAGCTGAACAGGTAAGCACTGAACCACAGAGGCTGCATTGATAGATTCATGTTGATTAGATTCGAGAACTCGTAAGGGTATCGAAAGCTTCGATAACGATGACCAGATAGACAGGACTTACTAGGGGTGTTGACCATGACACCCTGGGCAGCAGCACCAGCAATAGCCGTAGCAAGGATGACGAAGGAGGTAAGACTCATTATGAAAGTTTATAAAGTGGATGTAAGGGTGGTGATGGATTTAAATTTGACGTGTCGAAGTGAAAAACGGTCAAAAGATGCGGAAAAGATGGACGATGGTTAGATTTATAATAAAAAAGTAAGATTGAACGGTAGGGAAGGAGGAGAGAGAAACGATGAATTCAAATTGGTATTTAAGGGCTGGTTTCGATATAGTGTGGGAATGATCGATGATAGGTTGAGAAGGAGCAAAGCAAAGCAAAGCAAAAAAAAAAAAGGTGAACGCTCAGACTCTGAATTGAGCTGCCCGATTGGGTAAGAGTTTGATGAAAAGAAATTTAAATTTAATTAAGTAATAAGCTGTTTAGTGAGAATCTGGCCTGAATTAACCTAAAAAACTCGACAATTATCATGAATCTAGCTACATAAGCACTATGTACCTACATACTAGTGGAGATGCGTGATGGATGTTGAAGCGCCATGGACACACACCTACACACACACACCAAATCGGAACCGACTTTCAAGCTGACCTGACTCTGATCACATCGGGCTCATCAAGAGGGGTGAGTGAGACCAATCGAATGAAGGTCAATGCTGATCTGCTTCGTGACTACGCGCTCACGGATTGCGAAAGGCATCACTCAAAACATCTGAAATCAAAACTGAAGGTAGACCCAAAAGTCAGGATACCTAGCGTTAAGGGTAATTACTTTGGAGGGTTATGTACTTGAATTTAGAAAAGTCCAAAATCGGTTTCGAAGTCTGTCATTCCAGCTCATTCGTCAGTCCTCTCTCGTGCATGAAGTTGATTCTTTCGTTTCTGTTCTCTCGGCAGAATCATTCCTTCGGGTTGCGTCATCATGACATTCTGTATTCAAAAAAGGAGGCGCCCAACTCTAAAAATGAGGGACTACAGTCGCCGCTCGATATAAGCAACCTTTTAAATGCAGAATACCTGATGCTTAAAGGGAGCGATGCATCACTTCGAAGTAAGCATAAAAGCATATTTGGGAAGAAATTGACCCTAATGCTTATTTCATCAAAGTCAAAATTGCATATGATTTTTATTGTAATTGGCATAGATACATCATAGATAATAAAAAAGCATACAAAGCATAAGAGGGCATACAAAGCATAAGAGTGTATGTCTAGGACAACGACACAAACATTTAAGACATCTGGTTTTATTCACCTTCATGGAATAGGCTTGGGGCAAAGAAGTCGGTGATACATTTTTGATTCACAAATTTGAAGCGGGCAGTACTAACATCATTTCGAAGCGAGTGTAAGGCTGTGATGTGCTTTCTCCAGTCGGGTCCATGATCATCCAAGTCGCATGGTTGATGGTTCAGCGCGTGAATGATACTGTTGATGGCAGCAGAGACTTGAGAAAGTGGCATCGGCGGGAGTGTGAGAGCACTTTGATCATCATCGTCCTCGGGATCGTCGGCGCCTACAGGTGTATCGGATGCACTAGCTTGAATGATTTCTTTATCTGTTGGCATAACCAACTCGTGATTGGGTAGTTGATTTTCAATCTGAGGATTCAAAAGATTTTTAATGCTGAGCCGATGGTCGGATCGGCATTCATCTACACCAGGGGGTAATTTTCTGTCGGAATACGAGCGAAATAGTGGTTGTGTCGAAATCTGGCCAAACGCTGGCCGAAATACCAGCGTTTGACCAGATTTTGGCTGGTATGGCTATACCAGCTGATTTCTGGTTAAATGCTGGTATTTCGGCCAGAAATCAGCTGGTCACTCGGATGGTCGGTCTGGCGAGATATTAGGGGTTGGGCGATATTTCGACCAACCGGTTTTGCGCCTCTGAGAAGCCTAGCGAAAGCAGTTGAAGATGGTGGAGAACAAGTTTTATGGGTTTCACACATCTCTTACGGATCTGAGCTCAGGGCCGAGAGTGTTAAGGTGATACCCAGGCAAGCTTTGGCCTGAAGAGAAGGGTTAGGGGATCTGTGAAAGGTGCAAAAGGCGTGTTTGCATGGCTTGTACTTCAAGCCCAGCGGCGCAAATCGATTTTCCCTGTAAGACTTTTGAACGGGTGAAGCTTTGGACTTCTGAAGACGCACTTCGTACCGGTCTGTATTTTTGCAAAGCAAAAAGACGGATCAAAATGTTGGTTAGTTATGAGTGGCTTTGGTATTGCTTTCGAGCAATCTCCAAAGCATTCCTAAAATATTGAATTGCGACTGAATTGCGTTAGGAAACCGGTTGGTCGCTTTTTCGCCCAACCCCTATTGACCAGCTCTTTGGCGAGCAGAACACCGCCACAAACCGGTCTTTCGGCCATCTTTTCGAACGTTCAAGAAGATGGCCAGAAGATGGCCGAAAGACCGTACAGAATACGGCCGAATGATGGCCATCGAGTTCACTGGCAGACTCGATGGCCATCCATTACGACCAACATGGATTGATGGCGGAAGTGAGGGTCGTACAACCCTGAGAATAGGGTCAATAAAACCGCGGTAAATGCAGTGAACAGGATGTTGATTTTTTTGAGAGCTTCAAACCGAAGAAGATCGATGATTTTTGCCTAACGTATAAAAAATAAAAAAGGCGAGACGCTGAGAGGAAAAGTTGAGAGGAAATTTGAACAGCAGGAAAGTTTGACAGCCAAAAATCCAGATGGAGAAGGGGTTTAACCTGCAGTTAAACTCATGTCCACCACGGGAGGGTCTTTTGTCAGAAATTGGCCTGACGGCGTCTGAGAATGGTCAGGTCAAAAATCAGCCTCAAGACCGACTCGCAGGCCATCTATAGGCGGGCTGCAGCCAGGCATACTGCCGGAGTGCAAATCTGTCCAAAATTAATATTGAGGAGCGGTCTGCAGGCCATTGATAGGCGGCCTGCCGCCGGGCACCCTTTACGCGGCCCAATCCGGCCAGAAATGCGCCTGCAAGTGGCCAATAGACCGCTTCCAGTGGGCTGCCACAAACGTCGCTCAAGTTGCAAAGTCCGCAACTCCAGAGATCTGTCAGGTCAAATATCACACGTTCATCCCTGGCCTCCTATTTGAAAAGGAAAACCTTCCCCAGTCTTTTTTCCACTCCAAAGAAGAGACAGTCCAGTTCAAACTTGTCGTGCTCTAGGTAAGTGTCTATTCTCCTTCTCTTACTTCCTTTACATGAACACGTACATTAAATGATTGATCTACAATTCCACAAGACGAAGACGCAATGGATTCCATTTGTTAGACAACAATTGTTGTTTCAAGATCCATCGGTCACTCCTTTGGAAATAGGTAATGTATCTTCAACTTTAACTTTGATAAAAACATTCAAATTGTTTCCAAACATTCGACCTTATTGTTCGATTCAAGGTTTTCAAACTCCTTCTGATGATGTTAACTTGGCACTCATTCCTGAAAGATCAGATTCGATATGTCAGCGTTCAATCATCACCGTGTCCATTTTCTAACTTCACCAAATCAATCAACACCAACACCCTCATCATCATCAAGATACACCAAATTATCAAAACTATCAAAAGCTATAACAACTAATGCAAATCATTTCAACTTGAATCATGATCTCATCAACTCATCAATTCATTTAAATCATTTTCATCATCAAATTACTCAAACTCATCAAACTCATGATCTTAATTCTAAGTCGGGTTCATTAATCAAACTTTCAAATAAATTATTCTGTTTTCAAACTTCAAATAATCATCAAGAACAATTATCTTTGACTGAATTTGAATTATCAATATGTGTCATTAAATCTCAACTCGATCCTATTGAAGATTTTATTCAAATAAGTGAATTATCTTCAAGTAAATGTAGAAAGGTATTTTCTACTATCTTGATGATCTTTCTGAATTTTGGAAATTAATTCTGATGATTGTTTTATCGGTTGAATTAGTTAAGAGTCAATTATCAAAAGATGAAAGTTGAAATCAAAGAAACGAGAATGAGAGAAGTGAGTCCAAATCTAAATTAGATTTACTTTATTCAAAGGATAATTGAAGCTTGACTAATTTGATATTATGGTTTTAGCATATCTCAGCTGATGCAGAACTTCCAATCCTTCAATTATCTAGATCATCAGAAACATCTCAAGAAAAACTAGTCTTAGTAGAGTCATCATAGATGAAGCTTTAGCTAAAGAATTAGGTGTTCTATATCATCATCAAGAAAAACATTCAACTCATTCATCCATCGATTCGCTTCAATCTACTGCTGCTCATCATCATCATCAGCCACAGTCACAGCAGCAGCATAATCCTGAATCGAATCATACTCCCATCATCAACAATCATCATTCATCTCGTGATCGGAGTTCACTTTATAATTCAGATGGGCTTCCTACTCGATCTGCTTCATTTAGTACCACCACTCCAGTTCGTACTCCTCAACTACAACGACCTAATCCCACTTCATCCTCTCTCAAACTATCAACTTCAAAGTGACGTTGGACTTGCTTTCCAAGGAAGCCATCATGGTGCGAATGCCTGGAGGCGGGGGAAAATCAATCATTATATTGGTCAGTTTTTTCTCTTTGAAGTTTTTTTTTGCTGTGCGGAGTTCCTCTGCCTTATCACACTTGTACATAGACTGTTACTGTGAAATCAATCGTACGTTGGATATCATGTAGTGCTGTCGCTGTTGGTGCGATCAGCAATAGCTGATCTGAGCAATCGCACCCAAGCAAGTGAGTCCGAGAGCTGAATACCCGGCTAATGTGTCGGGCCATCAAGCCTGATGACCGTCAGCAGCCAAATTGAAGCCGGCCTGCAGGCGGAAACCAGCCGGCCTGCAGACCGAGCCACCTGGCGCCTGGCAGACGTCTTGCGTGAGGGCCATCTGCAGACGGCCTGCCCCTATGCAAGCGCTGGCGGTCTGCAGCTGGCCTGCCATGGCCGCCTGTAGCCGGCCAAGACACCTCTGTGGTGTCCTTGATCGGACTTGCTATTGATATCAAAAAGTCACACCTCTGCAAAGTTCTTATCGAAATAATTCAAGTTTTTGATCCTTTTCAACCATCAGTGGCCTCGTTTTGTGATGTCTGCACCAGGAGAGCCACCACTCGTGGCAGAATGTAAGTCAAATCACCCTCGATAGTATGAGCTCGAAGGCTGAGCTGTTGTGGTCAGATTTTCGCTCAATCTCGGATAGGCCATCGCATCCTTTGTACATATGTACACTCTGTGGACGAAAGCCCTTCTCGTCTTACATTACTCATTCCAAAAGCAAAACTCACAAATCCAACGTGGCTAAGCTGGAAGTGGACAAAATTGAGATGAACTTGCCAAATCCTTCCCTAGCTTCTGGATCAGGATCGGCCGCAGTCAATGCGATGAATTGGACAAGCGGCGACGGCGGCGACGAAGACGATCCACCGGATGACGGAATCGGAACTCACTCAGATGAAACAAATATCTGGAATCAGGATGACTCGGCCCTCTTTGAAACCCCAGCTAATACTCGTATTGAGGTTGAGGAGATTGTTCATGAAAGGCCTGATTTGATCTGGAATGCTATCTACAACCTTGGAATCAGAGAAGATGATGAAGAGGACAATGATGTACCTCCTCAAGAGCCCAGATTGGAAGAACAGGAAGATGAGATTGTGTATAATGATGATGATGATGATTTAAATAAAGATGAGTCTGAATCTGATGAGTGGTATCCATTTAAAAAGAAGGAGGTGCGTTGAAATTCCTCATCTCCTTCTCTTTATCTTGGACCATTGTATTTGTTTGTTTGTTTTAATTTTTTGAATGCTGAAACACGTTTTTGTTTTTATTGAAGCACCTTGTTGCAATGTTGATTATAGGTTCTACTCGTAGTGTACTTTCTCGATTACTATATGAGAAGATTAGGGAAATCTTAACTATCTGTGCAGTTTATCTTCCTACCTGGAAAACACTGCAAAGTTTACGAAAAAGTCTTAAAGAAAAAATGGGCTTAACTGTTACCAATACTCGGAGTGTGTTAGGTACTCCATGCTTTACATTACCAATTAAAGAAGGAATTACTCTGGTAATTATAAATTAATTCTTGATAAAGACAAAACCACACAACTGATTTTGTTTGTTTTTCTAGAACTTGGCCAATCCAGACATTAGACCGCATTTGATTACAATTCCCGAACTTTCTACAAATGAACCAATAAATAGACTTTCTCAATCTAAAAAGTGGCGAGAGGGGATCAAAAAAGAATTACGAACACCTATGATTGAAACTCGACACGGTCATTTTTATATCTACGAACCCGTTCAACTTCTCTCATCCGCTGTATTCGAGCTTTTTGTTCCAATTTTTTTTTACACAGACGGGGATAATCTTCTTTCAAAGTGTCTAACCACAAACATCTACAACAACTCAGTTACACAAGGTCTTGATATCTGTATTTATTCTGAACCCGATTTCTCTTCGGAAAATCTTATCACCGTCAATGCAAATGATTTCTGGCGTCCAATTTCTATGGTATATCTACCAGATGGGAGAAAGCTTAGAGATCTATGTGGATCATCTATGTATCGTATGTATTTATAATCTGTTAATGGAATCAGACGTATTCTAATGTAATTTGTTTTCACTCTTTTTAGAATCAACTGCAACCGCATTGCTTCCAATTCCCATCGAAAATCCGTGGAGATCAAAAGCTAACGGACGATTAATCCGTCACATTCCCATCACCTTGTACTCGGATGATACATCAGGAAATCAATCAAAAAAGTATAACAGTCATATGTCATTCTATTACACTCTGAGTGGTCTACCTACAAAATTATCAAATCAAGATTATAATATTCATTATGTTTCTACATCAAATGTTGCAAGTGCGCTGGAACTTGGAGAACCAATTGTTGATGAGCTTACGCAAGTCTCATGATTTTCAAATCCATCTCAAGTTCGAATTTTGATTTTCTTAAATCTCATCTGCGTAGTTCTCTGGCGACGGATGGCTTTTCAGCGTACGATTGCAAAATCGATCAAGAGGTCTTAGTCATGGTCGTAGTACTATGCTATCTTGGAGATTCTCCAATGCATGCTGAGATCTGCAATTGTATCAATCCGGGAATTACTCTTACCCCGTGTCGAATATGCAATCTTCGAGTGGATAGCAAATCTGAAAAGATGACAACAACTTATGTTCAACAATTTGTCGGTCTTGATGAAAATTTTCAACGTGTATGTCCATATTTTTATTTTTGATAATTTGAAAAACATAGAGATAAAAATAGCTGATTTTCTTTATCAAAACTTGTAGCACCCTCTAGCTTTTCGCGACTGGAACAACACAAAAGAGTTAACAAAATATATTTGGAACTTAGGTAGTAGCTTACATACAAAAGATGAAATTACAAAAGCCCGACGTCTACATGGTACTCGTGATACAGTGAATGAAAAGTTGATGAATCAAGTTCTACAAGTTTTCGATTCAAAGAAACCTGAAGAATCACGTCAGTTGTGGCAAGATCTTGACTCAAAATTTGGTTCTCGTGTTTATAATCCCTTCCTTCGGCTACCCGGTAAGCTCAATAAACATTTAATTTGATGTTCCTTTTACAGCTGACATCTTTTTTCATAGGTTTTGATGGACACCACGACACACCGGTTGAGGCGCTTCATGTCTATCTTTTAGGAGTAGCAAAGTATCCCTGGCAAGAGTTAATGACTGAACTCTCGCCGCTCAAGCCGGGAACTCCTCAACACTCAACTATCATGGCTCGATGGGCATCTTTTGATACGAAAGGACTGAACATCCCACTGATCATACCAAACGCATTCATCCAGTATTACAAGAGTCTTGTTGGAAAGGAGTATCGAGTAATCATGCAAGCTATTCCTTTTATTCTATTTGAGGAAATCAGTAGAGAAAAAAGATACTTTTGGAGCGCGCTTATTTCTTTAGCCTCATTAATTTTTCAGAACGAAATCTCAAATATGGATCGTTATCTCATTGAACTTCAAAGATCCGTTGACAACTTCCTTCTCGGTCTTGTTGGGTCTAATGCACGCTGGACAAACAAACCGAAATTTCATATGCTCACTCATTTACCCAAATCAATTCAGTGGTTTGGACCTTGTCATCTAGTTGCTACTGAAATTTTTGAAAGCTTCAACTTTGTATTACGGAAAGCTTCAATTCACTCGAATCATCTAGCACCTGGACGTGATATTGCAAATTCCTTCAACAGCTATCAAATGATTGTTCACATTCTGTTAGGTGGGACATGGTATGATCAGAAGCTTGGTCAACGGGTTTCTGCCGGAAGTGCAGTTCTCAATTTATTTTCAACAAACAAAAACCTTCAACGTTCTCTTGGTGTGAATACTGCTTGGAACACAAATAAAGGCTTGCGCGTGAAAGGTATTTGTTTTTCTTTGACATACAATAGATACAGATGAAAATTCTCACATTTTTTTCAAACTTCAATCAGTCACTCAAAACAAAGCTCCCGAAATTTCTCCTGATGATCTTCCCGAATTCCTTTCTATCACTCGTCCTAATGTAACTTGGGAGCGTGTGACTTGTTTGATCTTACCTAACAATCAGAAGGTGGAAGATGCTACATTTCTTTGGGTTTGTGATTTTTTTCAACAATATTATGTGCTGCGCTGACTTTTTTTCGCACCATCGTCAGATCAAGCCAGCAAATCAGACATCTAATGAACTGATTGCCTGTGTCAAGAGTATGTGGAAGCCTGCGGGAGAGGCACCATCCAAATGCATGATCGAGATGAACTATTGCACCCGTGGATTCATTCATCCATTTTACTCAATGCGCGAGATTACAAAAACTGATCATTCAGTGTTCCTCAAACCAAATGTATGTCATTTCACTCGAGCCAAACTTCTCACATGAAGCATTCCTCATTGATCTTTTTGTGGAGAAGGCGCTTGATACAGTTTTGAATGTTCAACACAACTGTCACGACAGCAAGTGCGTACTTGGTTCTAATAAATTCAAGCAAGTTGAACGTCAAGATACCACCATCCCACTACATCACATTGTTCATGCTGAAAATCCATCGTACATCTTGAACTCAGCCTCTTTTTACTCGGCCGAAACTCATCGGCGATTGGCTGACATTGATCAGTTGGAAATCACACCAACAGAATGGAGTCTGGCCATTAATGTTGGCGTAAAGAAGTGGACAGATGAAAAGGCAAAGAAACAGAAAAAGTGATATCTTATATTTTTTTACTTGTCTTTCACTTGTATTTGTTTACTTCAAGCTCTTGGTAGAGTCAAATATCATTTGACCCTTCTTTATTATTTTTCCAATATATCATCTACCAAAATATATGTTCCCCATGAGATTTCTGACTTATCACAAGTCTTTCATTGCCAAAATGGATGCTGTTGAAGGAGAACAGCAGATGCTCAACATGTCACTTGTTACACTTGTAACAGGTGACAAGGTGATACAGCATTGCACCAAAAGCGGTCAAGTCCCTTTTTCCAAGTCCCTTGCTTTTTCTTCTCCATCACCTTCACGTCAACCAGTCCATCCAACACTCCATCAAGTTTTTCTCATGTCATAGGGTGGTTCTGCCCCATACAATTACGGGTCTCACGGAAATGGTCCTCCACCTTTTCGTATGGTATTTTTTTATCCTTTTTTCCTTCAAAATTCTCGCAAAAAGAATTCTCTCAAAGGTGGACCTCTGAACCCAAACGATCTCAGCTCGAACCAGTATAACCTCGACTCATTTATGCCTCAGGATGGCCGTTTCAATCCCTACGCAGGACCCAACAACCCAGGAGGTCATGGGAACTCTTTACCACAGCGATTTCCCAATCCAAATCGTAAGTTTTCTTTTTATTCCCCCTTATTCTCACTTCTGAAACACATCTTGCACTTCAATTCTTTATATTTAGGTGGCTTCCAACCATCAGACCATCATACCCGTCGATCAACGTCTCCCTCAAATGATCAGAATCCTCCAAGCCATCAATCTAACCCAACTCAATCAACACTCCTTCGAGTTTTTGACACTCTTGCTGATCAAGCTAATCTGAACACCGAAAACCGAGAGCGTGCGCGAATTTGTAGTAATCGATTGGAAAACGATTCTCGATTAAACGCGTTACTTGTCTACACAGCTCAGTGTCATCAAGACATTATCCAAAGACTCGGTCAACCAACAGGATCCGAAGCCCCTTCTAATTCACCAAGCACCACTACTTCAACTAACTCTGCTCCTGTGTGGACACCTAACGAAGAACTCAAGGTCAACTTTGTTTTTATTTCATTTCCTCTAGTCATCAAACTAACCCAGTGATTGTAGAAAACCTGCGTGAAAGTCCTCCTGGAGTCTATCACCGACCCTACCCTTCAAGCTTATACTCTTACCGATGGTGTTATCTCCGTAGCAAGCGAGAAGAGGACACTCACTCACTCACTTGAGATGATTGCTCAAGTAAGTGTCTTTGGTAACCTCGCCTTTGATTCACTGTCCTAGATCATCTTCAAAACCAATAAATCCATACATTCAACAGATTGCACTGCAACGCAAGGATGATGCTTGGAAGACTCGGAACTTTCCACCAGGATGGACTAGTAAAAGTCGATTTCCCAAGGAGGTCATCACGCTCATCAAGCACAAAGCAAAAAATGCCCGAGAGAGATTACATGACATTGTAAGCAACTTTTCCTTTGATACATGCTCTCACTGACAATTATATCCATTTCTCTAGCTCCGTCACAATGCTAAGCCCAATCACGGATTTGTGAGCGACCCGCTTCCAACTTTAGAAGATATCTATCTATCTGTAAGTCCAATCGTCCTTGTTTAAATCCCCTTTTACAATCCCAATAAGTTGCCGACAGGTATGTTACTACACTTTGCATATGTAGATGGCTGGCTTTCCTGGTCTCGACAAAAAAATCGCCACTGATGAAGAAGTCATAACCGACGCTTCACGCGACCTCGCAAAGTCATCACGCTACGCATATCTGGTACGTAACATTAGATTAGGCCCATGTACATTGTCTCTTGTTCACTTATCAACATCTACATCTTTTTCAGAGAATGCAAGCCGTCTGTCTCGAGGTCCAAGGAAACGGCTCTTCAATCTGGAAAAGCGTTGATCAACAGCTAGGTAACTTGCGAATAAAAGGGCCCCGATTCACTGAAGCGTGAGTACTCCTTCTCTCATTGTTTTAATCATCACACTTATGTATTGTTTTCGTAGGTTCTACAAACTTATTCTTGACGAGCACAAGCGCATCTTCAACGGTTCAAACAAGCTGGCCGATATCAAAGCGCTTACCAACTTCAAAATACCAGACGAAGCAGCAGTGACTACAGCAGCAGCTGCGTTACCACAACCCCCCTCTTCCGAACAAAATACCAACGCTACCGGAGCCTGAGGTGGCTCAGTCATTTTTATTTATCCAATTCTCATTTATATCATTTATCATATGTATATTAGACTACTACAATATACATATATTATATTTTATTGTTCCTTTTCATGTATTGTTCTTATCATGTTTGTACCGATTGCAATACAAAAGAAGCCTATTATTTTATACAAAAAAATACCTATTTTTTGCCCGTGATCGAAGCAAACCCGAAGCGAAGAAACCTGCGAGGCCAGAATCGGTCGATGGATGGTCTTACAAAACGGTTTTCAGGCCATCCAGCAACCAGATTAAAGCCCAGTTGACTGATCAATCAAAAATCAATCGATCGGTCAACTGGGCTGTAATCTGGTTTTTGGATGGCTTGAAAACCGCCAGATGGCCCGTCTAGCGGCGGTAAGGCAATCTCGCCTTTTGACCGCCGTGCCACTGACCATCTGGCGTCGGTTCTCCACCACCAAGCAAATCTCGCCGTACGGCGGTATTCCATGACCGCCACCAGATCGTTCGGATTACCCCCTGGTGTAAACCTGGACAGTGATCAAGCTGCTTAAGAAAACCATGGTCATTTGGGCGGATCAAGTGAGATACATCTGCTTTTAGTTCAGCAACTATTCCAGTATGCCGCCAACAGTTTGTAATGGTTTCAGATGTCACTGAATTCCATGCTACATTCGCCATCTGCATTGCTTCGAGGAGGGGTATCCGATAAATTTCAGTTGCCGACTTCCCTGGATTATCTTCATATCGCCCGATGATGAGTGAGATGAAGTCGCGGCGGTAGTAGGCTTTGAATGCTGCGATGATGCCAGCGTCGCATGGCTGGAGAACACTTGTGAGGTTTGGAGGAAGGAAATGGACCTTTATGTTTGTCAAGTTGATTGTTTTGACAGCTGATCGATGACCTGAAAAGTTGTCTAACAGAAGGAGGATATGGTGTTCTTGTTTGCGGAAATCGGTGTCAATTCTCTGAAGCCAGTCACCAAAGATTGTGCCAGTCATCCATGCATTCTTGTTGTGGGTGTATTGAAGACCATAATCGTGTGCCTTTTTGCGCCTGAATGAGGTTGGTTGAGCTGAACTACCAATGAAAAGTGCTGGAAGTTTGTTGCTACCGTCAGAATTTGTACAGACAAGGACTGAGATCCTTGATTTGTCCCCCTTCACACCCGGCTTTTGTTTATCGGCTAAGGTCTTATTTGGTGGCATTCTGAAGGAAAATTTTGTGAAACCAACATCAGCTGAGTTTCTAGAACTTAAGCAGTCAGAATGAGCTGGAAGGATACATACCGATAGCATAGACCTGTCTCATCTCCATTGTAGATATCACAAGGCTGGTACTTCTTCGTCTCCTCAAGTAGCTCAGCGCGAGCAGACTCAACATCTTCGGGGTTGACGGAAGATGCTTCACCGTGGAGTGTAACCTTTCGAAGGTTGTATCGTTTTTTGAACTTAGTCAACCATCCATCAGAGCACTTCATCTCAATGTTTAGGATTGATGAAAAGTGCTGAGCTTTATTGCGTAGAATATTGTCGTTTACTGGAAGATCTCGTTCACAAGCCTCGATGACCCAGTGGTAGAGGGCTACCTCAAGATGTGGATACTTGGCCAACCGCTGTTTACGAATTCCACCTCCGTTTGTTGCAGCATTGTTGCATATCTTCTCTTCGTCTCGGAGCCAGCGACTGATTATGGACTGCTTGATCTGAAAATGACGAGCAGTCTCTCGTTGAATTTTACGCCCATGAGTGTTATGCCATGCAATAACTTCACTCTTGAAAGCCAGATCATAGCATTTACGTCTTGCAGGTTTTGGACTACGTGGTTTACTCTTCTTAGTGTTGCTCGGAGTCTCAACAATCGCATGTGACACCACTCGGCGTTTTTGACCAGCTACAACTGGTGGTTTAGCCACCGAGCCATCACCAAGCATTGTGCGCGGTTTGGTTTTGGGCACTGTAGCACCAGCAGCTGAGACGAAGGAAAGAACAGAAGTCAAAGACCGTACCACAAGAGATGATAGAGTCTACTCACCTTTCAGCTTATCACAAACTTTCTCAAGCTTTAGCTTAAGAAGCATTTGTCCGTTAGCATCATTCTTCCAAGTTTCGTGACCACGTGCGCGACCAATCCACTTGAGCATCAGCTCAATTCCAAATGGCCCAGTAAAAAGCTCGGTATCGATCGTGTTAACACCAAAAATGGTATCCATGTTTCTGTTTATGAGCATTCCAATGCCCTCTTCAGCATCAGAAATGGAGAGCACCGGAGGTTCACAAAAAGTTTGGAATATCTTGTCCGCTTGTGTTGCTGCTTGTATGGATCCCGCAGGACAATTCTGTGACAAAAGCATGGTAGAGGTGACGAGTTCATCTATTTGCTTATCAATTGAAGACATTTTGATTGAGGATGTAGAGCAGGATAGAATGCTGAAACAAAAGTGGTGTAGGGTCGACTTGATAAAATTTGATGGCTGGGTCTTAGTCAAGCAGAATTGCTATCAGGATTTGGGTCCACTGATTTCTTTCGAGTCCCACTGGCATACCTACTGTTTTTTTCCTCACCTGTCTGGAATCTAGATGTTTCTAGGCCACTCTTTATAAGCATACATGACTTGAGAGTGGTTACTTATGCTTATAAAGCCACACTTTCTCGTTCCTTGTAAGCATATTTCCAGAAAAAAAATGCGTTTAGCCTATATGCTAAAGTGCTCCAATTAAGCCCCCCGCATTTTTGTTTCACTGAAATTTGACCCTTATAGCGAAATATGCTAACTCGATGTGTGCTTATATCGAGCGGCGACTGTACATTTCTTTTAAAACCTCGTCAACTTTGACGCCGATTGAGCACTCATGAGTCATGCACACTCTTTTCATCTCTTGCCATCCACTTCGCTCGATTTAATTTGTATTCACGCAAACATCAACTCGATTCGATATTTTTCTTCACAACCGCTCCCAGTGTTCAAACAATCTTGGTGTCACATTTTTCCAACTTCAGACCATGTGGCTAATAAAGTCCTCCAACACCTCAGTCGTTAAGGCGATTCAAAGAAAGAAAGACGCAGTGCGAATTGCTATCCTTACGTAACATTGGTAGATAAGTGATAGTGTGGCTTCATAGCTTCTTCTCCTTGGATTCACGTGGGGTTTGATCATTTCTCCTTGGATCAGCTTGGTGTTTGATTAAACTGATGTCATCAATTTGTACATACCCAAAAGAAGGCAAAACGAAAAGTGCGTGTATCTCAAGATCCTACTTCGGCTCAAGTTATAGGGTTGAGGGTCTGCTGGGTCAGTATCAAGGTGTTACATGTACCGAAGTGGGTGGTTGTTCAAAGGACTCAGAACTACCTCTCACAGGATCTCGCTCCATTTCCTAGAGGGGGACCTCATCAAGGCTTACAAAATATTGAATTGATTAGAATCAGAGCTTTGCTTTGAAGGCTGTGTAAAGCTCAAGATAGTATTATGTATTGCCAAGAGGCGCAAGATGAGGCCAGCTGCATAGGATCCGACGACACCAACGGGACTCCCATCAGTTCGGACGGTCGAGGGTGCAGCCGGAGATGGGTCGAGAAAGCTTACATCTACTTGTTTCGTAATGATCAGTGACTTGTGCTAGTTTGGCGAAGATTGACGGGGCGATTCTGGTAACTGAAAACAAACGACCATTGGCACTTCTTGGGCTTCTCGAATCTAGGTTTGCCTTTTCATGTATTCTACCGGTTCGTCAGAGCCAGATTGTTGCATGAACATCTTGACAGATCTACTTGACAAATGATCAAGAAGCGAATTTTTCAACTGTAGAATCTCTCAACGAAAAAGTCCAGTGAGATATGTATCGGTCGGCGAAAGTCAAGAGTTTCATTCACAGCATCACATTTGGTGGTTTGACGAACACAACAGCAAGAGATTCATCAACTCCTTGCGGGACAAGAAAGCCAGCGTTCAAATACACTCTTGTAACAGCTTGTACTCCATCAAGACCACTCTTATTTACTCTCTCTGCTTATTGTGTTGAGGTTTTATCTCTGCTTAACTTGAAAAGCTTTCTATGATCATAGCAGGATCTAGGCAGACGTGTCATTTTTGATGACAAACCTATAGCTCAAAGACAAAAATCACCAGAGCAAAACAAAACCATTCTTGATGATCATGTCAAATTGAAGACTAAAAACCAACATCAAGACTTGGTTTAGAAAGCATGTTGTCAGCCTGTGGAACCAAATTCTGTGATGTAAAAACCAGGGTTGATTCTATTTATGAAAAGTATCTGGAGTTTGTGGTTGGGACGTGTTTTAACCAAGGGGAATAGGTGTAGGTTTAGAGAGTTGTGAAAATGGGAAACAGAGTTTAGGTTTTGTTCTTTAATCTTCTTTGAAGATTTGTATGTCTATGGTAAAGAGATCATTGTAACGGTTTTCCAGGTTCTTTACCAAAAAGTCTATTTTTCATCTTTGTGATCCCAAAATCCGAATGATCCTTTTTACTTCAATCTTCTTTACCAGTTTGATCACATCCATAACTTTATCAACAAAAATTTGTCTCTGTCCTGTTACGGTTTTTTACAGATTTTTTTGTTGGATACCCACCCTCCCATTTTTAGTC